CATTCTTACCGCGCCGGAAATCTTGCAGCCAAGGACATGACGGATCAAGAAGCTGCTACATATGCAGAATTGCATGAAGTTGGTGCTGATACCACAGCGGATGCTCAGCTTGTTGGCGAGGCTAGTGCAACTGCTCTCCATGACGAGGATGCCGAAGGAGAGCCAGAGAAAGAGCCTACCCCCCCACCTGTTGCATTGCCAAAAACTCCTAAAGCCAAGCCGACACGCAAAGGTAAGGCGACCAAGGAGACACCAGCTGCTGCCGGCTCAGATGCGATTGTTCCCCCCAGCTCAATCGTTCCAGCCAAAGCCGCTGCTCCGGAAGAGAAAAGCCCAGACAAGAAACGCAAGCGAGCTACCAAAAAGTCAACAGAGGTTGCTGAGGAACAGGTGGAAACACCAAAGAGCCAGCCCAAGAATTCGAGGAAGAAGAAGGCCAAAGCTGATGCTTAGGGTGTTCAATCATGCTCACACCTCGCCTATTCGATATTTACACTTGGTCGACGTGTCTCGTTTACCACGTTAATAGGCTGACTGAGTTCCGTTTCCTGTTTCATATTGAGTCTCTTACGGTATTTTTTGGTTTGGTTGGGATGAAAATGGGGGAAACACAGGTACATGTCACTTCCGTGACTTGGTGACGACTGTATTTTGGGAATGTTATCGGCTTGTAGGGTAGTACGTCTTGCGTAACCGGTTTGATTCTTTCCTACAATTGCTTGTTGGAAAGCCCGATATCAGGGGAATCACTTTGTTGGTTTAGACCATTGCTTATGAAATTATGTTACTGCGAAGCTCTCTGTGACATTCGAGTGCCTTTGTTGCTTCTCATTTTATACAAAGACTGAGAATATTCCTTGCGGGCTCTGGAGCTAGTCGAAGTTCTTCCACCACACTTGAACCCGGCCATCATAATGGGTATGAAATGTGGCTTGTTGGTGTTGACAATCGTGATTGAATAGTCCTCCATTGAAATATACACACGCTAGTACTCGGCTCGGCGTTCAGGAGGGTAAATCACATGATTCCTCCCCTGCTCGAGCTCGCGCTCCGGCTTGACGCTGTATTCCTCCTTCTGGACGACGACCACCCCTCGCACTGCTCATCAACGTCTGGGATTACACAAGTCAGACAATATCATCAATAACTGGCTCGGATTCTCTGATACCGATCCCGAGCATCAGTATAATCCTCAAAACCGAGGCACCCGTAAACGCCGACCCGGCTGCTGTAAGATGATGTTGCTGATTACTGGGGTCGCGGGTGATGGCTTGACATCCTAGGAATCCTCAACTAATGGGTTGTTTGTTGACTTTTCGAAGTCGGAAGACTCGTGAGATTTAGCAACTTTTCATATCATTTCCATCTTTTTTACATTCAATGGAACAATCTAGATAGAGTTATGGCTTTAACTAGCGTAAGAGAAATGTAGGAATTTCAAGGATGGAAATGGCCTTACGATGGCCTGCAGGGAAAGAAAAAATGTCCCGAATATTCGCAGGCAAGATAGCGGTAGCCATGTTAATCATCCAGCCTTGAACTGCACAGTCATCAGCCTCACAGTCCAATTGAGGATCAACAACAGGGTTTCTACCGAGATACCGCTGGTATGTTGCTCCTGATGGAGTCGACCGAGGCCAGCATGGCACGATATATCGTTACCTGCAGCTTTGGGATAAATCCGTCAGCCCATCCGGAGTTAGAATCGATTCTTCTCTCTTCACTGCTTCATCACATTGTTTTGGACTTTGACTGTCGATTTTAAGGTGTTATGTTGTCAATTACTTTCAGAATGTCATTTATTCTCTGACGAGGTTATCCAGCACCAGCACAATCCAAGATATCTGGAACAGCTCAATATGTCAGAACCACAGCCGTCGCCTGAGCTGGCATCAGGCGGAGCGGGAGATAGAGCGTCAATAATATCAAGCAGTTCCGTGTCACCCACGCCAATCTTCAGCGGAGAGCAAGCCAGTCCCCAAGACAATCAACCTCCAGCAAAGGCGTCAATACTCAAAAGAATTTGGGCCACGATAGGTATCAATGGGTTCGTGGTTATGATCATGGTGAAACCAGCTATTGCTGCAACCATCAGTATGGCAATATATCAGAAATATTCGGTAGCAGCGAATTATCTGAACTTTGGGTATCTGATCATCATTGTCTCAGTCTTGACGGTACCAATACTGCCGCGTGGTAAATTTTTGATGAATTTATTTTTCTGTTGTGTGAGTCTGTTCATTACTTATTCTCCTTCTTTGGCATTGCTGTCCTGTCTCTGGAAAGTCTCAGCTGAATACAGTAAATCGAGAGGCCTCTCATTTCAAGTAATCAATATACATCGCTAATCAGCTAACCTGTACACCTAGCTTATGACATGTTTAGCGGTAGCGATGATAGTGCTTGGGCAATGGGCTGGTATCAAAGCTCGTCAACACACGACTCCGGTTGGCGCGTCTCCAGCTGTTGCTCAAGGATATAATTCGTCGGCGTCCGCGATCAACGCCATATTTCTGTTGTTCAACGTTTTCATCATAAATTCCATACGCGCAGCCCGCCCGGCCCTCACGATTCCGACAATCCAATATACGGTTGTCGTCCTTGTTGGATTTACTTACGGACCCAGCGAAACAACCGTCTACAGAAGCCACAGATTTGTAAAAGAAGTACTTTATGCTTTTTTGACTGGACAAGCGATTTCTACAGGGGTCTCGCTGCTCATCATCCCGGTGTCGTCGAGAAAGGTCTTCTTTGGGGAGGTTGTAGGGTTTTTGCAAAGCTGTAGAGGACTCCTGAAAAAGCAGATGCAATTCATCGAGTCTTTAGAGCACTCTAAGTTCTCAAGACCTATTGTGACCAAGCAAGCTTTGGGTTCCGAGCAGTCAGTGGTTGACAGTACATTACACGAAGAGAAACGAGCTGCCTTGAAGACAGCGACGGCGGCACTCCTCGTACTTGGTTCAAAGCTTGACGAAGACGTTACTTTTGCGAAGAGAGAAACAGCATATGGTCATCTGGATGGAAAGAACGTTCACGCTCTGAATCTGATATTGAGAGGAATCATGATTCCTATCTCCGGCCTGTCTACCATCGCAGATATATCTGTTAGAATGGATGGCTGGAGGCGAGCAAAGAGTTACAATCCAAAAGTTTGCGACCAACTGTCGGCGGAAGATTTGGAGCTAGAACATTTGGAATGGTTGGAATTGGTCGAGGGCGCCCGGCTCGCATTTGAAAACATGACGCGGATTCTCGACGAGAGCATTTCACATGTACTAAAGACATTGAAGCTGATACCCGGAAAGAGCACGAGGAAAGATGTAGCTGGGGATGTTGAGAAAGGACAAAAAGTAAAGCCCATATCAGATTTTGCCGATAGCTTAGAACGCAAGATTGAAGCATTTCGAGACCAAAGATCAACAGATCTCCGAGCGTGGGCGCAAAAGCGAGGCTTAAAATCGGTCTTTCAGTGTGCTTCCAGCAAGCGGCACGAAGCTCCAGCACATGAGGCCATTGATCCAGCAGTAGCATCTCGAGAAACTCTGGCGTCAGCAAGGCTTCATATAATCCTGTATATGGAATACCTCTTATACTCGGTTTCCAAAGCCATTCTGGTGGCTGTTAGATTCGCAGATTCAATGGAGAATAACGGCACGATGTCGAAGAAGCGGTTCATATTTCCAACTGTCAAAACGGTAACCAAATGGCTCAAGTCCTTACTCAACGGCACCGAAGCCTCAACTGAGCTTGATCCGGCGTCAGAGGCTCAATCGATTTTACTGGGAAACTCGTTCCAGTCCCCTCGCGATCCTGAACATCTGGCTCCTAAGAATTTCGGCCAAAGGCTAGGGAATCATTTTCGTCTCATCCCAAGGTTCTTTGGATCGTCATCAGTCAAGTTTGGTGCTCGAACCGCCATTGCGGTCTTCTCGATTGGTATCATGGCATACCTGAAAAATACCCACGCTTTTTTCATTCGCCAGCGCCTGGTCTGGAGTCTGGTAATGATATCAATCGGAATGAATCCTACTGCCGGTTCCGCCGTCTTTAATCTGTTTGGCAATCTCACATTTACCCTTTTCGGAATGATAGGAGCGTTCATCAATTGGTATATTGTAGACCAAAAAACGGCTGGAGTGATTGTGATGTTCTTCGTGTTCATGTGTTTTTACTTCTATTGGGCTGCGAAATATCCAAGGTTCTTGACGGCAATCGTCGCGGGAGCTCTGACACATGTGTTGATCGTTGGTATGTACTACCCAAACTTATTTCGTTTTCTCACTTTCTTTCAGACAATTACTGACACTACCGAGGCTATGAGCTCCAAGTACGTGTGATTGGTGTCAAGCAATCTACTGCTACAGGGCAGTCATATTATGAGTTTTATGAGCTTGCCCCTTATCGCCTCCTTATTGTGGGAGGAGGTGTTCTTGTGGGCTACATATGGACGATCTTTCCTGTGCCAATAACTGAAGCTTCGGTACTTCGTCGAGATCTTGGCGGATCCTTGTACGTGCTTGCAAAGTACCTTAGCTGTGTGACGGCAACGGTGGACCAGAAACTCCTCGAAGCAGACGAAGGAAGTGAGATAGTTAGCGATCATGGCAAGAAGCTTGACAAAGCTAGGGCGAAATTGCTAGCTCAGCTTATCACTGGCATCAATGGGATGAAGGCCAATCTTTCATTCATGACATTTGAACCTAGATTTGGTGGTTCGTTTCCTTCACAGATATATAAAGACCTGCTGAATGAAGTCCAAAGGTATTTATTCAACCCGCATTTCTATCAGACGATACCTTGCTAATTAAAAATCGAAGCATAACCTACTACCTAACAATAATAGCATACGCATCAACCTCCTTCCATAGCTCTTCAAACTCCACCACAACTCCCGGCTCCCCAACCTGGCTCCACAATTTCACGCTCCAACACCGACAAACCCTCACCTCCTCCAAAGCCCTCGCATCCCTCTTCTCCCTCCTCTCAGCATCCATCAAAAACGCGCAAGCTCTCCCTCCCTACCTCCACGTCCCAGAGGTCCTCACCTTATCTCACGCCAGAACTCCTATACACCCCCAAAAGGAGCCGTCTCACGGCATCAGCAACGAATCTAACAGAAACGAAAATAGTCTTTTGGGTCTAGAGAATGTTAATGAGGATGGATATCGCGCGGTGGTGGTTATTGAGGTTGCGCAGAGGGCGGTGGCGCATAGTGTGGAGAGGATTGTGGAGTTGGTTAAGGAATTGTGTGGACAGCTTGATTTTGGATATTCTGTTGTTGCGCAGGGGGATGATGAGTCTGTTTAATGGTGTAGATTAGGTTGATTGAAGAATTCCGAGATAGTCATGGCCTAGCCATTCTCCCTTGTTATTCAATGCTATTCTAATATTTTTGACGTTAGCAAGGCGGGCGGGGGATCGTATAAGTGTCAGTCGAAAGACGATAATTCGCCAGCCTGACTGAAGAAATATCGTAGCTTGACTACCATTGTCAGAGATTACAATGTTTCCAGATTGGAGGTGAAACCCTAGGCTAAGGGAGTATAAATACGTACGAAGTTACTGCCACATATAGTGTTTCGTTGTGGAAATATAAGTGGCAGTCCAAACAACGTATTTCTTCGAATTAGGTGACGAAATATGGGATATTTCGTTAACCATATTCAGGGAATCATAAATTTCCAGATTCGTTTTAGAACCTTGAATTTGGTGGCAGTTGAGATAAGGTCCGTCTTCGATCTAGTTTAATGGTATACCGTATCGTGTTTCAGTAATCCTCAGTAAAAAGGACACATTTCTTAAACTCTTTTTGACAACGTACTTGTGAAATATACTTAGGCACACCGCAACAAAATGTATCCATGTTTACGACGCCCACAGGATAGTAGGTATAGCTTACATTTTCCGCAACGAGCAAGGATAGTATTAGACCACCTGTCTCATGTCGCCTGGAATTTGTATAGGATTACATTTACCGCTCGACCATCCGGATTGAGGATATGATGTGGTCTTTCATCTTGATAATAGGCCCTTACAGGCCTATTTTACACAAAAACAAGACGCCAATGTAGAGTTTGGTACGTTTACCAGGTGGTCGATCTGATTCTGAAGAGCGGCTGCTTGTTGTTCTCGGTCTTTCTCGAAGAAAGCCAGGGGCTGTGTAAGTTGGTATCTTGTTCATCAACTCTGATACAACTGAGGATCTAGTATGTTCGAGCCGGTCGTTTCCTCTTGGCTGTATGCATTCATAACCTCATTTTATTCACGTTCTTTAACAGGATTCCACCAATTATATATCTCACTTATCTGTGCTCATTCCCCTATTGACGTAACAAATTGTAGCTTAGATTGCTTCCTCTATTTTGAAGCATTATGTGCGTTTAAAACAAATCAAAAATCCTCTTTAATCAAATAGCTTGTCTTATCACATTACTCTGACAGTTCTCCTTCATGTCATCCGCTGATCATCCAAAACACTTTCCTTCTTAAACACATGACCATAATCCATCTCAGTATCCCATTATCCATTCAACCATCTCCTCACTCCCTTCGGAAACCCCTACACCTTCTCCTTTCTCCCCAAAATCTTCCTCCAAACCCTCGGCTTCCCCGTTCTCTCCCCCGCTCGTGTCGTCTCAGGAAGTGTCATAGAGCCAGGGGTTTGAGTGGTCGACGAGTGGACCACACTCGGCTGCGTACAGCGTAGAGGGGGCTGAAGCGTCTCTACTTTCACAAGCGCTTCCCGGAGCTGGTCAACTACTTCCGTTGTTGGGACTTCAGGGAGGGTTGTTGGAGGGGGTGGTGATTCCGGTCTAGAAGGGTGTTAGTGTTTCTGTCTTTCACTGGAAAGAGGCACTTTTGAGGTTAAAAGATACTCACCGAGATTCGAATACCGGTATGTCATTGTCCATGGGTACGTCCATGGCAACATCCACACCACTCTCCCTTCGCTCCTTCCTAAACAACCTTCTCGCAAAATCGGAACACCGTCTCAACACGCTCGGCCGCCGCTCTTCGCCGCCTTGCTGAGCCCTCGAAGACTGGAACCACGGCTGTCTACTTGGAGAACACGCATTCGTCTCAGTCTTAACCGCATTTGTCTCGGTTTTCGTTGCATTCGTCTCCGTCTTAACCGCGTTCGTCATATAACAATCCGAACTTCTTATGGAATCTGAGCAGATACTTGGATAGCCAGTGGATGTATTGCGAACAAGAATGGGGACACTCGCGTCGGCGAGTTTGTCAGATGATGTGCGCGTGTCGAGCTTCTTCCTCGGGGGACCAAAGTAGGAGGCGAGGGCCGAGGGAGAACTGAGTGTTCTTTTCTGCCTAGGCTTTTCTGGTACCGTCAACGAGAAGGTGATTTTTGCCGCCCCTTGGATCGCAGGAGGGACTACGGCAGGTTCTCCATCTGTTTGAGCCCTGTTCTCGGCCTTATGCTCGTCAAGCACAGGGAGTTCATCGCTCTTTGCCTTTGAATTCACTGTGCAAACATTTTGGTCGACAGGTCTCTCACTCGTCGATTCTTCTTCGAGCTTAGCAACCTCCTGTCGAGTCTGTATTGGCAGGGGTAGCTTTATGGCCATGCTGAGATCGCTAGCCAGATCACTTTCCAATGGAACCTTCTCACTTGTTTTCCGCCTAGGTGCAATTGGTGAGATAGGCCGCCAACTACCAGGTGCAGGAGGATAGATTTTATCTCTCGTTTCGGACGTCAATTGTCTATGAGGTGGTCGCTGGCAACCTCTAGGACATCTCGATGCTTCGCCTGGCCGGTTGATCTTGACTCTAAGCGGCGGGTCACAAATATCGCAGGCCCAAGAAACGATGGTCGGGGATGTTGGACGCTGTTCCTGGGTCTGGGTCTCGGTATTTGCTGTGAATGATGACTCTGGGGCCACCATCAGCTTTGCCCATCTCTGCTCCTTCGTTAGGCCATCTTCGGATATTAACTTTCCACGCCGAATATTGCGAGTATACAAGAACGTTTTGCGCGAAAACTTGCGAGCAATATTGCGCTGTTTGCGGCTCAGGTACGCATGTCCAAAGTCATGAGCCAAACCCTCGAATTTGTCGTACCAATCCTTCGTCGAACTGGCATTGTCTATCGATTGCGACTGGTGAGTTTGGTTGTCCGGGCCCATCGTCTCACCAAAACCGTCCAAGTCCGGGTTGTAGCCTAGCAACATCTGACTTTGCAACTGGGAATGAGATGCTCCCAGTCCCCTAACAATTGAGGTAACCTCTGCACCTTCTGCAGCAGAAGCCGTCACGGTAGGATTGGAGTTGTCCATAGTTTCAGCTTCGAATATGGAGAATGATTGTAGGTCAAACCTAAGCCAATTATTCTATACGCCGGTCTGAAAACGTGGAAATGTTTGCGATTGTCGTGCTGTCAGTGACTAGGTTGTTCTGAAATCACATGCCTGAATGTGGATGTGTCGTGAATAAGATTGGGAAGAAAACAAGGAAAGATGAGAAGCGGAGAAGAAGAGAAGAGAAGAAGAGAGGACACACGCGCACACCAAATAGTAAGAACAACAGATGGAGGGACTATGAGAAGTTGCGGGAGATGACGTTTAACGAGAAAAAGGGTATCATAATTCATCAGCGTACGCGCTATTTGCTAACCGTCGCTCGCAAGCCCAACCGACTCATTAACATCGTCCTCGATTAATTGGCCAGACCAGAAAAGAAACCCATAGCTTGCCTGACGGTCTACATGATAGATTCACCGCCAAGATAACCAATCATGTCCGCCTATTACCTATCCCTCTATAGTATTTCCGTCCATTTGCGGACGGTCCAAAATTTCTCGAATATGCTGATTCTCGAGCTTCCTCACCGTTTGGCGCTGGTCTTGTAATCTTTCCACTCCCTGCTGGATGTACTCGATGTGCACCGCCAGCGGTATGTCACCAATGCCACGAGATACTTCTGGGGACCCCACACGTTCGCGCAAGTCTTCTAGACTCGCACGCATAGCTTGGAGTCGTAGAACAGTCCCGGATACGTGGGCAAAAGCGTCCTTGCGGTACGACGAGACCTGACGCAATAGGTCTAATCGACGATCCACCTTGCTGATTTCGCCTCGGTAGCCGCCTACCATGGCCCAAAGAGAGGAAAGAATTTCGTCCTTGGCCGCTTTGGTATCTTCGCCAGCCTGCGTCGATATTCCATGAATGTCGTCGAGCCGGTTCTCGAGATCAACCAGGATCCGGAGTAATGCTTGGGCTTCATCGATTAGTCTTGATATTTCTACCTCTACCTTTTGCGCGTGCGTGATGTATTGATCAAGAAGAACGCCCTCTGTGAATTTACGGGGCTGAAATGGAGCCACGACGTAGTCATTGACGAAGCCTGACAACGCTCCACGATTGTGAGGCTGTTCTTGGAGGCCATCGAGCACTCGACTAGTCCACCGAGTCGTCGCAATGACGCTGTCGACTGCCCTCCCAACGTGACTATTGAACATCAACAGGTCATTTGACGCGATCCGTGCTGTTTCAATGAAGCCGTCAAATGCTAGCACAAGCTCATGCCTGGGTTAGTCAGTATGTGTTGTATGTAGATGGGTCAGGCGAGTGGTCATCGCCCGCAGAGTAACAAACTTACTTGGATTGAAGGTGGCTATAGCGGACAAGCTGTCGCAAATCCCGGATCGAAGCTTCTGATCTCTTCATATCGACCGGTAAAGATGCGCCGCCCGCACTTTCCTCTAACACTTTTTCAAAATTGCTTTGGACAGCCATTAACTCATCGAATTCTACATTCTGTACAGCCTTTCGGGTTTCCGCAGGCTCGCAAAATGGCAGATTCAGCAGCGATGACCCGGGTATGCGACAAATAGGACTTAAAGAAGCGTAGACTGACGACGTGATCAGATTTCGAACCATGAGACCGAGCCCGAATAGCAACCATATTGCCAGCATGTATGATATCGGTACCTTGAGGATTCGAAGAGCGCCGCAAAGCACATCAAAAATCCAAGACATAATGCTTGCGACGTTACCCATGGCAAGATCCAGGAAGCTTTCAGCAGGGTGACTGCGTTGGGGTTGCGAAAATTGCGATGGTGTAGAAGGAGGCTTGGTGTATCTGGTGCTGGGTTGTGTCCTACGAACTCGCTCGGGGCTCCCACTGTCTGCTGCATCGTAGGTAGGTTGCCGACGTGGCTGCACTCTCTCCGACGACGACTTGGTGTTTCGACGTCTTGTTTGAGTTTGTAGATTCTCTCTGGATCCATCTATTGAGTTGCCCAATGAGGGCATTACGAATTCGGGATCGGGAGACTTGGGGGCAGCTTTGCCATCTCGCGCTCGTCGTTTTGACGGAGTTGATCTGGGTAGAGGAGCCGGCTCTTTTTGCTCCTCTTCCTGCTCTTCTTCCTCCTCGTCCTGGGATGAGCCATCCTGGCCATATCCCTCGTCTTCTACGACCCAAGACTCCCCTAGAGTCATCTTTGGTTTTCCTGGCGGCATACTTCCGGCTGGTTGTATATAATTCTTACTCGACAAATCCCGACACCGTGGACGCGTAGAATTATCTATAGGCAAGTTGGCAACGGGAGTGTATCAAATTAAAAGTAGAAAGTATTCATTGAAGCAATCTATCTGAATAAATCATGGCGAGCGAAACTGCTAAAGGCTTCACTGGTTCACCCTATGTCTTCATAGAACGTCGTCTTGCCATGACGTTGATGGCGAATCCCTGTCCGACTTGTTGTCGCGTTTTGCCCCTCAGTCGTCCAGCTTGCAAGGGTTCACGTCTGCTCGTGATTGCGATGTAGCCATATCACGTGAAACAGGGGTGAAGCAGATGCATCAACATCCTTGTCAGCCTTCTCAAAGTGCCACGTCTAAAAGTTTCCCCTTAACGAAGTACGGCGTACGCGACCTGCAATTATCTTCGACGACGACCATACTCGACGACATGGTGTACACTCAATCGCTGCTGCGCACTGCCTGCAGCTTTTTCTTCCTCCTCGCCTGCGCCGAGGCGTTGAAATTCGACATTGAGGCTAAGAGTGCTGGAGACAAGAGTCGTGTGAGGTGTATCAGGAATTTTGTTGCCAAAGATACATTGGTTGTGGTGACATCTACGGTAGATGGCTACAGAGGGGATGGAATGAGGGTTGATATGCATGTGAGCTTGGGAGAAACAGTTCACAGGAACAATACTGCAGATGCTAATACAGACTTCTCCAGATCAAGGATGCTGTTGGAAACGAGTATGGAAAGCCCAAAGATGTAGTAGGCGAACAGAGAATGGCTTTCACCTCCCACGCGGATTCATCATTCGATGTCTGCTTTGAGAATCACTTCACCGGAGGTAAGAGCCTCCTTGTATGTACCAATTGCCCGGCTAACCGTTCCCAGGCAAAGGCGTTGCGAACCCATTCCGACATGTCGAACTCGATATTGATATCGGTGCGGATGCGAAAGATTGGTCCGCAGTCCAAGCTACAGAGAAGCTTAAGCCAGTGGAGACTGAGTTAAGGCGGATTGAAGAGATGGTACAGGAAATTGTTGCGGAAATGGACTACCTACGAAGCCGCGAGCAGAAACTCAGAGATACCAACGAGAGCACAAATAACCGGGTTAAATGGTTTGCCTTTTCGACAATGGGTATGTTGGTAGCATTGGGAGCGTGGCAGGTGATTTACCTGAGGGCGTATTTCAGGTATGTTGCCGGTCAAATAATCTCGACCGGGTTCAGACTAACACGCCATTAGATCAAAGCATCTTATTTGAACAGGTTCTTGGACACTGCAGTTGGTGTAATATGATTAGCAGATTTGTGGGTGATTTTAGCGGCATTCAAACTGCTTGTTTTACTATGGCTGTAGAAAATAGGTATATAATGACACCAAATTCGGCATGGAGCAAATGGCTCAGCTTTCAAACGCATTCTTGCCAATATCGCTGAACAAGAGCTTGGTAAAATTTTCCCCTACCGATCCTATCAAGACCAAGAGAAGCACTCTGTGCGGCAGCATTTACTGTCACGATACTAATATGACCTGCGCGCAACTCAAAAACCACGGTTGGCGAGGCATAAACTGCAAAGGGCCCTTACGTATGACGTTCCTAAGAATTGTCGCCATTATGTAGTGGATCTCGCGTAGGACAAAATAAGTGGCAGTCGAAATACGATACTTCCTCATAACAATCGACGAAGTCTCGTACATTTCGTCAATTAACCTGGCACACTCACATAGTTCGTCAATCATTTTGAGTAAATGAGGCTTTTTGAGCTCTATTCAAAGTCGCCTTATTCAGTCTCAAGATTAGTGGGCAGGTGACTGACACTTATTTTGTCCTCCACGAATGGGTTTCAATACCGTGCCTGCCCAAAACTCGTCGTACGAAATTGTTCTACTTGGGCGGGTTTCTCATGAGTGCCAGGCACCCTTTTTTAAAGTGAGAATATCGCGGTTTCACTAAATATCTTAACCACAATCCTATAGATACATTTAATATTACCTATATTAAATTCTTAAAATATTTCATCAACTCTAGCTTTATAGAGAGCTTGTGGGATTACTCCATTAACCACTACTTTTGGGGTTCCTCCGCCTTAAACTTAAGGCCTGCCTGGCACTCACGAGAAACCCGCCCAAGTAGTCGATATTGGGCTTGAAATATGTGGGCGTGCTAGGTAGGAAGCTTGATAGAAAAGATCCGACAGGATGGTAGTTGACATGGTACGTCCTCGTTCCCTTTTATTCGACATGGGTATGGCTTATTTCACGTCGTCACTTCAGTAGGACCTAGTCACATCGTCCAGATACACATCAACGGGAAAGATCTCGTATGTCACGAATATATTTCGTCGCCGTACACCTCCAAGTCACATATTTACAACTTCGCTTTCTCGTCGCTTTAACGCAGACACAAACGTTTCAGTAATTACTCGTCTCATACGTCCCGATTTTCTCGGTCCACCCACTGAGTTGACTTACGAAGGAGGCATAGTATCAAAAGTCTGAGCAACCTCCTTCTCCCATCCATACCTTGCCTTGCCGTAGATCTCTGCAGCTGGCTTCATTTTTGCGGCCGACTCGAGAAGCCCGGTTCGTACCACGACTTTGTCGCCCATTACTTCCTGGTGGTGGTATGCGTGGGATGTGCAGTCTGTCGTTGTTAGCGAGTCTTTTGAGCTAGGGAAGGAGTTGCCCAGAGAGCAATTTGGTAGGTGGTGAGGAGTACTTGGGCAATAGTAGCAGTTCACGGCTTTTCCGGAGTCACCGTGGTAAGTGTAGGCTTTGAGGTTTCCTTTGGTGACCTTGAGGTCTTCCTTGGGAATGATCTGATTTAGGGTGTATGTTCCTCCGGAGAGAATCTTGCATGTGTCACAGTGGCTATATGACGTTAGCCAGAGTTCAGGTCGGTATCCCTTGAAGAGGGCATGCTCAGACCAGAGAATATGTTCCTTAGCGTCTAGCTTGACCTCCCATTCTGTTTGTCCACAGTGGCAACGTCCTTTTTCCATTTTGATTGATTTCTTTTAATTTCTTCCTTGACTTTGAGTAATTGATTGATGGGCAAGTTGGGATTCTCGAAACAGGGGAGAGAGACGTATATATAGTCTCCTCATCTACCCCATAACAGACTTTCCACAAAGAGGGGCAACGCTACCATACGTCAGTCCGGAAACCATACACCAACCGTCAAGGGAGGGGTCTCTACCTGTTGGATCTTGTGGAGACTTCCTGTATTCTATGCATCTTTAGCATTGAGGCACTGCAGTGCCCAGTCTAAAAGCCGCATAGAACGATCATCCATCAATCATTTCTGCTCTTGAATATCCTCCAACTCTCCAATCGACCCGAGACTCGCAACCTTGCCAGAGTCCCACATTGATGTTCCGTGAGCCTTGCCCGTATCTAGGCAAACGAACCCCAGAAAATGCCATGCTTCTGGTTAAAGCATGCGTCCGAAGTCGACTTTAGGCATGCGTCCATTCTTTCGGTGCGAGTCGGGATTCGGGGAGTTGGTCTCTGGCGGGGCAGGTGTTTGTACAGGGCGGGGTACAGAACTCAATCTTCTGGCTGATCATGACAAATAAGCATCGTCTTCCTTTCGACCTCTTTGTTATGGAGCCGAATGCAGATAGCGAAGAAGAATTGAATTATCTCGGGTGTCTATGAGGGAGAAAGGTGTTGAGACGAAGTTCGAATCTCTTTACTTTCGTGATCTTTGAACGAAGTCCTGAAGTCTGCTCCCCCAACAGCTTCAGAGAAAGACAAGACAGACGATGGTTTGCGTTTTAAGTTCTCGATTAAATTGTCAAAATATATGAAGAATAAATCGATGATTGATTTAATGGAACAAAAAAGAGATGTGGGTGAGAGGTGCGCAGCAAGTCATTTATACCATTCTTCGGTTAACCATCAAGGTACTTTGAATAGTAATCGCGTTGCATCAACCGTTCCGTTTAATTGACATTCTTTCCTTTTTTTCATTTCTCCGCCACTGAATTGTTGATCGACTTATAAGTCGCTCTTCTGGGTTGCAACAGCCTCCTAATACAACCGAGAGTCGAATTATACGTGAGTTTAAACAGGTCTATTCAATCATATCAGATTCTGAGAGGAGTCTGAAAGATCTCATTTATTGAAAACGATAGGCGAAATGACGATAATGTGCGAGATCAATTGACTAAATATCATGTAACGAGTGTTAACCATTTTGTCAACGTCGAAAAGGGTTGTTTCTGCCAACACCCACTGAGCTAATACAACAAAGCTTACATTTGACCTAAAGCAGACGAATGCAGCTTCACACGAAAGCAACTTTATAAATGCTGTATCCTTGAATAAAAACAGCGTAGATAGTGAGCATATCTCAGGCCTTGAACCAGTATTAACGTGTAGAGAGGTACAACGACGAAAAGACCACTTGCACATCTAATAAACCAAAACTAGCTCCGCTGAGATCGCTAAAAGCATAAATATAATTCCGAATACGTTACCATGTGGCGTCTATATTGTATCCTCGTGGATCCCAACTCCTCGCTCAAAATACATGGAAGTCTACTTGGAAATATCAGAATCCGTGCCAGCCCAAAGTGCCAACTCCAAACTACCCAAAGACCTCCATCATGAAATAGTACTCGATGTAACTCTTGTCTTCCCGACCTCTGACAGTAAGCTCATGGCAACGGTCTGCCAATTCATATCTGTAATCACTATATTAGTAATCTTTCGAGCAAATTTAATAGAACACGACAGCGATTAAGCAGGAGCAAAACTTACCCTATTGGTGGCGCTCCACAGAAGAAAACCCCAACGCGCCTCTTTTTGATTTCCATTCCCTTTTCTTTCGTCTCTTTGATCGTCTGAAGCATACTCCCATAATGATCGTTCATAATCTCGGCAAGATTTGGTCGTCCAAAATGTGTTTCGTTAATCAGACCGGTCTCCAAGAAGTTAGCATATGAATATTTGCATGTTTCAAGAGAAAAGAGGAGTGTCTGAGGATGAAACTCTTTGGCTGCTAATTAGTGTAGGAGTTTAGGAGGGAGAACAAAGGAAAAAGTCGCATACCAGTGGAGACTCAGGATGCTCCTCAGTCCGGTGCAGCTCCAACAGATATCTGTAAATGTGCGTTGAAATATTCTTCCGCTTTTGTGTGACATGAGTCTGGAGACGGATGTCGAGGTGTGGGATATCATCACTCGCCTCGGCCAAAGCAGAACGGGAGATCGAATTCAGGAGGTTGGAAAACCAAAGGAGGTAGTTTTTGTCTTTTACGATCCAGTGAAAGTCAACACGTCTGTAAACTGGTTGTTCTGCTTTAAGCTTTGTTGGCTTCTCGGTAGGATTGCTCAGATGGAGTGTGCTTTCGCCTTGATCAATGTGAGTGCGTGAAGATGCAGGTGAGAGTTGTCGTCGATAACGCTCTTCGCGAGCTTGCAAGTCAGTTAGAATGCCGCTGAATGGAGTAACACCAATACCACTCCCAATGATTATACTATAATCAAACTCATAGAACCTTTGAGCCGGCGCGCCAAACGGACCATCAATGCAGATTTTAATATTGGCTTCTCCGTTTTCTCTTGCCAACTGTCTGAGCTTGGAAGTCCAGTTTCCGTCGGTTTTGATATGAAGCTGCATATCATTACCGATGCATGTCGAGATTGTGAACGGATGCCATTGGAACATTGACAACTCAGGGACCGTGATAAAGACGTACTGGCCAGCCCTATACTTCCAGTATCGCTTTTGCGGAACTACCACAGATATAACAACAGTCTCTCCGTCTAGTATCTCAAGCTTCGCAGGTATCTGGTAGAAGCCATAGCCAACCCGCACACTGCGCTCGACCACGATCAAAAGAACAGGGATGATGAGCCAGAAGCCAAGCATAGGATATTGCAAAATAGCCAAAGATCCATGGGCACAGACGAGGCCTACGAAGGGGTACATGAGCAGGTGACCCAGCTGAAATATCTCATAGTGCTTCTTTCGAATTACCGGCAGGGACAGCAGGGCGATCAAATAAAACGTAGAGAGAGCTGAAATGCCAGTCCAGCCTGGGAGAAGGGCGACATATTGGCGGTAAGAACGATGCACTCCTGTTACTGCAATTACCGCTTCTCTTTGGGATGGCCTGCTTGAATATAAGAAAGATCCAGTAAGATGTCCAATAGCTGTAATGACGAACATTAGCGAACGTACGCAGAGGATCGAGAGACGACTGGCTTTTTAACATACCGTGTAAAGTAGCAGCGGCCATCGCAACTACAGAGATCTTGATATGAAAGCTTTGGGTCAAATCCCAGTTGATCATTCTTGACAGGTAATATGACTTTCTGGCGAGAGCGTTCAAATATCTAGACATGGAAAGCAGGAGAAAGAAAAGAGTTGGATATAGTATTCCCGCACAAGTCTTTGCCAGCACCACCCCCCAGCCGTAAGCCTGGGTAGATTGAAGTCAGCATATTTCAGAATAAGGCCAACTGCCATAGTAATTGATTCCTCAACTATTATGAGCAAATTGAACGTTCCAGCCATTCGCGATTCAGTCGACCAACAAACAATAACCACCCTTTTTCAAAGGACATGTTGTCGGTGTATCTTTCGATCTAGCTCTCCAAAGATAAAGGTTTTCACTTACTGGCCTGTAAGCTGGATCCGTTATATATTTCACCATTTGCCATACTCCAAACGCAATCATCATGGCTATTACCGCAAACAGAAACAAGACTTCAGTCCCTCTTACACCCCACCAAGCCCTAACTCTTCTGCCCCAAGCCATACGCTTCATGTAATACTTGCTTCCTTCTTCAGATGTCTTTTCAGGAGATAGACTTGGGACTTTCCAGCCCTCGACTGTTTCATAGAATTCATCTCTTGGAATTTTGTTTTCGCTTGTTCCCATGACAGAACGAAGAAACTCATGTCGTTGTTTCTCTGTGGTGTTTTTGTGATGTAGATTGTAACTTTTTGCTTTTGGTGCAATTTCATTGTGGACTTGGTCGAGCTTGGATTCGACCTCGTGATAGTCGATGAACCCGTTGTTATTCGCATCGAGGTCCTTCAGAAACTCTTTGATTTCGTCTGAAGATAAGTATTGAGCCATGTGGCGGGTGTGAGGGATCAAGAAACGACAGTGTACAACAAAATTTATTTCACTCTAAGGATGCTCAGGTCGAGGAAGAATGAAAATTAGAGTGTTATGCCGTGTTGTTCTACAGTTTTGCTGGCTACCCAACATCGAGGAACATGAATACAGGAAGGAAACAAGAAAGTAAACAGTAGATGGACATGGCTGAAGATAAGTGCAAAATGAGACGACTCACTGGAATGCTAAGTGCTTGGGATGGCTTTGCATCCAACTTTGGTGAGGTGCGATGGCTTGAGAACGGTTGTTATTGACGTACGCCAATGAGGCTATCCCCTCAACGACGGGAAACACAGTAAGCTGCGGTCATTTTTATGATTGGCTAAGAATTCTTCAAGAGTATAACTCTATTGGATGCATCTATTACGGTGGCCGAAATTTGCTCCACTGTATTGTGTGCCGTCGCGGAGGACAAAATAAGTGGCAGTCGAACCAGAATAGTTCTTCGACTAAGTTAACGAAATATCGTAATTTAGTGGATGAAATTAGGACATTATAACTATTTAGTCCACTATTTTGAGTAAATGAGACTTTTTAGGCTTTATTCGAAGTAGGCTTATTGTTTAGTTTAAGATTTACGGGTAGACGACTGCCACTTATTTTGTCCTCCGCGAGGTGCGGTCCTTGAGGGGATACTGGGCGCGTCACACCCCTTGGCGCTGCCCAGATTTTAATGCAAGTAGGGAGATTTTAGACTCTCCAGAAACCGCCGATGGTAGACTTCCAGCCTAGCGTCCATAATTCCTGGGGTTGCATTGCCAATCTTACCAAGCTTGCAGAGAAACTTACGGGAGATCCCATGAGTAGAGCCCCCAAAGAAGCCAATCGTTTCACCAAATCACAACTACTGCAGCCGTCATGGTGTCATTGAATTTCTATTTTTTGATTCAGCTTCTGAGATGCCATAATCTGGAGTACAACCAGTCAACTGACAAGTGCACAAAGTCTGGAACGCAAAGCCTCAAAAGTGATCCCGACCATGTTTTCCCGCATGCTAGCAATCAAACACCTTAAATTCCCTATGCTCTCGACATAACACCCCAAGCACGGATGATGTTATCGGTGTAACCTGCAAAAAGTGTCTGTCCATCTGCACTCCATGCCAAGCTAACACACTCTGGCTCTCTGCTCTTCTTACCAACGGCCTGGAATTCTGGCTTCAACTCGTCAACCTTGCTCTTCTTCTCCAAATCGAAAATGATGATGCTGCTAGATGTGGCAGCGCAGAGCCAGTATCTGTTTGGCGAGAAAACAAGGGCATGGATCTCATCGCCAGCGTTCAAAGAGTACAGGTGCTTTGATTCGTTCAAGTCCCAAAGCATGGTGGTTCCATCCTTTCCACCGGAAGCACAGAGAGATCCATCTGGGGAGATTGTGACGGTATTAATGTAGCCGGTGTGGCCAATGTGGTCAGTTTGTAGGCGGCAGGAAGAAAGTTCCCAGACCTAAAGTGATGTCAGCATTCAATCCAAACATTCAGCGACAAAACAGAGGAAGCATGCGAATTCGATCAGGGCAATTGGTGAAGGGTAGTCTCATGGCCTAGTTTCCCAGGCTCTGAAGTAGCAAATACTTTTGGTTGCTTAACATCATGTGAAAATCGCATGCGTCCCCCCATAGACCAAACAGAGCATTATCCATACCTTTACGAGCTTATCCCATCCAGAGCTGACAATGACTGGGTTCTGTGGGTTAGGGCTGAATCTGACGCATGAGACCCAGTCGGCGTGTCCCTTCTCACTGATGGTGAATTTGCAGTCACCCAGGGTGTTCCACAACTTAATTGTTCGGTCGCGGGATCCTGAGACGATCTGTCTGTTATCGGCAGAGAAGGAGACGGAGAGGACGTCGTTTGTGTGTCCAACAAATCGGCGAGTGGTGGTACCGGTAGAAAGCTCCCAGAGTCGGAGAGTCTTGTCCCAAGATGCAGAGAGGGCATATGCACCGTCGGAGGAAATGACCTAAAGAAATTTGTCTCAGCAGAATTCTCAGAGTTGTGCAGCAATTGATGGTGTACTGGGTCTGGCAGGAGACGTATGGAGACGTACACAGTCAGAGACGATGTGAGAGTGACCGTGGAGAGATCGTTTTGGGTATCCGTAAGAACTCTCATCGCGGGTCAAGTTCCAGATGATCAAAGTCTTGTCGCGCGAACCGGAGAGGAGCATGTTTGGGTTCTCGAGCGAAGTCGCGAGCGAGGTGACCCATCCGGAGTGGCCCTCGAGGGTGCCCTTAAGAATGAGTTGTTCCGTCATCTTGAGGTTGTTTGTCGTTGCTCAATCGGTCTGCGACTAGAAAATGAGGTTTTGAAATATTTAGACATTTCCCCCCATCAGTGTGGGAGCTCGCTTATCAGCTGAGACCCTAGCTAGCGTGGTCCGAGCTTCCGACTGCAGCTCGAGTACGACAGAACAGTGAACGGCTAGTGAAGTCGAGAAGAATTGCCAGATATTCCAGGGAAAGGCCCAATCTACTGTATACTTGTATGTTAATTGTATTCATCTATAAATCACCTCGAGTTTCAACTGTTTCGATTTATAAGTACATGAAGTGTCATGCGTTGATTCAGCGCAGTCACGTCACGTGATATCCCCCCTCTTCAAGGTTTCCTAGTTGCGGCGCCTCATTCACTGCACTGATATACACTCGAACAATAATCACCCAATATCCCCTCAGCTGGCGTGAGAATCACACGTCCGTGCGACGCTTATTTGACCAACCAAACAGCTCTAATTGAAGCATCCTAATACTCTTATTCGATGAACAAGCGCGTGCACGGAAGTGTGATTCTCACGGCAGCTGAGGGGATATACTCTTCTTCTCGTTAATTGCACCATGTCAAAACGCTAAAAATCCTGACTGAGGATTATTTGCTCTACATATCGTACTCAACAAAATCCGCTTGTCTATCAACCCTAACAATACACGCCTAAAATCAACTCCTCCTCCCTGGCTATAATTCCGATGTACTCGTGAAATTAACAAGATCCTTTTACACCTTACTTTTTGCTCTTGCCTTTGCTGGTAGCCTTCGCCTTCGCTTTGGGCTTTGGCTTAACTTCTTCTTCCGAATCTTCTTCATCGTCCTCCTCTGCTTTTGATGCTTTCTTCTTAGCGGGTTTCTTGGCAGCAGGCTTCTTAGATTTTGGCTGTTTGATGAACTTGTCCTTCTTCAATTCTTCTTCTAAAATTTCGTCCTCTGCCTTGACTTCAGGCTCGGCCGCCTCAGGCTCATCATCTTCTTCTAAAGCTTCTTCTAGATCTGGCTTGTCTGCCTTACTCTTGGCTGCCGGCGCCATAACATTGCTTGCTTTCATGAACGGCATTGGGTGAGATTTCTGGTTGTACCTAATAAAGCGTTAGAAGCGCCCATCTATCACGAGGATGTAGACTTACAGTCGGGTAAAGGTAGCTTTCGCTTGTGAATCGATCTTCACTCTTGATTCGTCTTGTGGACCAAGTCCAAGCTCCATGATAAAGTCAAAGTCCTCTCTCGTCAAGAAGTAGCTGTCCATTAACTCAATCACCTCCTCTGCAGCAGACTTTCCCTCCCTCTGAAGACGATCAATAAGTCGAGTCCACAGAACCGGTAAGTATTGCTGCCGGATTTCATGGCGATCTCCAGATGTTCGCAATCGCATATGAGATTGGATTTCCTTTACATATCGAGTAAGCTTTCCCTGCTTGCTATTGTTACCAAGCCAGGTAGTAAACTTGGTTCCAGACCCAGCGCCAGATATGAAACTGGCTGGCCTGACCATACTGAAGATACCATGAGTTGGCATTAAACTCCACTGTTGTTGAGAGCCATGTATCATACGATCAACCAGATCGCCATCACTGATGCTTTCTGCAGCCTGGTCCATGAGCTGTAGAGTCTTCAAGTGCTGTTGTCGCCCTTGATAACTACTAGCCAGCATCGGTTTCTGATTCAAATAGTTCTCTTGGACCATCAAAAATGACTTTTCGTGATCATTGAAATAAAGTTCAAGCTTGTCGTTTAGTGTAGCTTTACTTGAGGGAGCAAACATACCCCCGCCAAGAATCTTATGACAGATATCCCAAGGTTTCAGGACGACAGATTTCTCCCATGCCTTTGTCATAGCCTTGGTGTCATCGAAATCCATAGAGCTTTCGTCGAGTTTGGCTGTGGATATCATGTTGATGATCTGTCGAATATCTTTGTTACTGCCTTCTATAAGAGCATCGATAACGTTCATGGGAAGCTTCATGCCTTCTCGATGGCAGATAGTTGCTATGCGAGAACGCACCATGTCGACAGTGGGTCGCTTGAAGGGAATCGGAAAGGTGACATGCTCGAAAGGCTTCATCTTCTGCTGATTGAACTCATTGCATATCAAGATCATTGGAATATCCGTTTTCTTGCAGATTTTAGCCATTGCTCCAACACCACCACGATCTCCAGCTGACATGCCATCCACCTCATCCATGATGAGGACGATATTCTTTTTGGTGGCATCGACTGGTTTCCCGTCTCCAGCATAATACCCTCGCAGGGAGTTATTAGACAACACTTCGTTCAGGCCAGTCTCGACCATTTTCTTGCTTCGCGTATCACTTGCATTGTTCTCCAATACATCGTAACCAGCAAGCTTCGCAGCTAGGTGTGCGGCTGTTGTTTTACCAATGCCGGGCGGCCCATGGATCATGATTGCTCGGTATCCCCCGAGACCATCTGGACCCTTTTTAGAAAACTCGTACTTATGAGCTTGTGCCCAGCCTTTCAGCCATTTTTGGATTTTCTCGACTTGGCCTTTATTTCCACAGATCTGATTAATTGCTGTAGGGGCATATTTGCTGGTCCACAAGAGAGAGCTTGGCGGCGGTGCCCTTGGAGGAGGGGCTCTAGAACCCGTAGCAGCGGCAAGTTTCTCAGCGGTTTTCCTGTCTTTCTCGGCTTCTAGGGCCTTTTTTCGCTCCTCCTTTTCCATCTCTTCAGCTTCTCTTTTGATTTTCTCCATCTCTGCTGTCTTCTTCTCCATGTGTTTCTCAGCTGCTTGGCCATCTCCTCCGTTCGCGGGCAGTTCGCGGATAATAGAAAACAGCCCATCCTCGTCGATTGTTTTAATCTTAAGTTCATGAATCTTTCGTAATTTGGAAGGACCCGCGTCGGATCCAAGAACGACAAAAGATGTCTTTCCGCTAGGGGCCGTTGTGACTTTACCACCATATCGCTTAACAAGTGCTTGCCCATCATCCCGCGAAAGCGTCTCGAGCAGACCTGTAAACACAAAACTCATTCCTGCTAGACAATTCTCTGCTCCAACGGGCATTTCCTTTGAGCCAGCCGCAGGAGGTGGTCCTGCATTTCCGCCGCCGCCACCTTGTCCGCCTTTCTTCCAGTCGTATTTGTGATTAGGATCCTTAGCTGGGGGCGTCGGTGCCCGCACAGTCGGAATATTATCCAGTATAGCTTGAACAGCTGATTTTTCGGTTTCCAAAGGTTTCTTCGCTGGCGCACGAGCTTTCTTTGCTGGTGGTGGCTTGGTTGATTGGCTTTTCACAGACTTGATTTTTGGCTTGATTTCCTCCTCATCTTCCTCTGAGTCCAATTCTACCGATTTTCGTTTCCTGCTTGTAACGGACCCAGTGGGTTGGTCAATCATGATCACATCAGGACTTGCATGACGCTCAGCTGTCGCAGTCTTCCCAGATACATCACCGTCAGTTCTTGACGCTTTACGGTTCGCGGAAGGCTTATTTTGTTTTGCCACAACCGGTTCGTCGTCGCTCTCACTTTCAACGTAAGCATCCTTCTCTTTCCCAGCTTTCTTAACGCCCGCCGCGAAAATGTCATCTCCGGCATCCTCATCATCATCTAGAAAAGCAAGTTCTTCATCGGCTAGGTTATTGTTGTAAACTACAGCCTTTGCCTTTCGTGTAGAAGATCTACTGCTGGTTTCGGTATTGGGTGGTGGATTTGGTTTGCGTGGGGTGGATTTGGTGGACTTTGGCTTCGACTTGGAGGTAGATGCGAAGTAATCTTCGGTAGTAGTTTCTTCTGCTTTTGGTTCCTCCTTTTTGCTAAGTGGTATCAGAATTCACATCAAATTAAAGGTCGATCTGGAGAGCGCATACGTAGGTTTCTTAGGAGGTGCTTTCTTGGGGGTTGCTTTCTTAGGACTGGGACGCGTTAGAATAGCAAATAAGTATGAAGATCTTGACATACACTGGCTCTTCCTCGTCGCTGTCGTCGATAATCTTTCGACTTTCTGCCATTAAATCAGCATTCTGCAGCATTTTACCCTGGATCAAACTTACTGGCCCGCTTTTTCTTTGGATCTTCCTCCTTTTTGACTTCCTTCTCTCGAATGGGAGTGGAAGTCTTGTTTCCGAAAAAGTTACGAATATCGGCAGGCATGTTGAATTTTGGAAATCTGTCTGAGATTCTGGATTAGCTCTGCGGAGCAATTACAGTCCTGTCTCCCAGTTCAATTTCAATGACGCGACTTCAAGAAACACTTTACGCGATCCATCGCGCAGGCACTCGGACGCTCTGACCATGTGATTAGTCATTCACGTATACTGGAGAATTGAACCTCATTGAAGATGATCTCTACGGCTTGTTGTGATACTGGTACCAACGCGACGTCAATATGAATTCTCGAAGCATTGTAGGAATTGCTGCTCGCCTGCAAAATCTGTCGATAGCTTCATCGCCGCTTCGATTCGGTGTTGCGCCTCAGACTACATGGAATTCGATCAGAGAAACTTCTCTCAAAAATGCGACGTCTGCGATCCGGCGACCATTTTCCAGCACAGCTAGCAGAGGAGGCAATTGGCTTCTGCCCACCGCGCCTGAAAAGAAGCGATCGCGAAAGGGACGTCCTCGTGTGCCTACTGGAGGTTCTTCCAGAGGCACAACTATGGTATGGGGGGATTATGGGCTGAGGATGTGCGATCATCATCGAAGAGTCAGCGCAGCTCAGCTGAAGAATGGTGAAGAGGCTATCAAGGTCAGGCTGAAGGGCATGCGATATCGACTATACAAGAGAGTTTGTGCGAGTATTGGTGTATATACCAAAGGAAATGAGGTATGTCTGAGAGATGCGGTGTCTAGGCACGAGTTTAACAAGTCCTCAGGCTCGTATGGGTAAAGGAAAAGGTTCTTTCGACCACTGGGCATCAAGGATTGCGGTCAGTAAGGTCATATTTGAGCTGAAAGGCGAAGTACACGAGCAAGTAGCCCGGGATGCATTTCGCCTAGCTGGAAATAAAATGCCTGGTTAGTAGCCGTTCAAGATATGTATAAACAAAAGCTGACGGTTTTCAAGGTCTCTATGAATTTGTCAAAAAAGGGGACGCGCCAGTCGTTGGAATCACAAAACTAGATGGCATTACGATGGAGGAGCTGAAGCGTCCGAGACGCAAGGTTCCTCTCCCAATGCCCGGTGAACTTCCAATTACATCGTCTACTGTTTCTACGTCTTTGTCACCAGAAGCTTAAATTTGTGTATAGCAAATGGCGTTTGGCGATCATTAGGCAGACAAAAGTAGCTATCTGTAATATAGAAAACATGTACGAAAGCATTTTGTAAATAATGGAGGCAGAGGTATTAATACCCATAAGCATGTTCATTCCGCACTCAGCTGAATATATATCAACGAGGAAGATGAGACCTCCTGCAGAACTTTAAATCCACCCTCTATGTAAGTATACCTCGAACGCCATATCAGCCAAACTCCGTGAGACCATGGTAGGAAGAGACATTTCGCTAATAATTGACTAATCCGATCCTGAATCTTCAGGCGGCTGTTGAGTATCCTTCAATTGCTATTCCTGCGTTAGTCTATCCCAAGGCAGAAGGATTACAAAAATGTCTACCTCATCGAGTCGTCGCTTCAGCTCTGACAGCTGACTTTCCTTGATAACCAGTGTTTGATCATCAAGTTCCTCGACAACAAATTGATTATCAGCAGCGTCGATGCTCATAATGATAGCTTTTATGGACGGGTCACATTGAACGAGAATTCCTGTTGAATATGGTGAGTGTCATTTCGTCAATCTATCGCTTGCCCACCGCATACCTATGACCGCCTTCACCATCTTGCCGGTCCAGATATGCTTATCTTACACAAAAGCAAAGCTCAGCTGGTAGGCACTTCTTCTGTAGGATACTATAGCTTCTCCTTCCTGTTATTGTTGTCGTCGTTAACAGCTGAACTGTGAATATCTGTATGCAACTCTTTGACCTCCTCCGTTTGTGTCTAAAAGCGGGGCCTTGTTTCTGGCTTGGCACTCTACATCTAGCTCCACACAAGCTTGCTGGGCGTACGGCATACTCGGGATTTCTGTGAGAACCAAATCGGCTTGAGCAACACCAACAATGTGCTTACGTTAAACATAAAGCGGGCTCGCCACTTGAGCTGGCATATTTCAATATGTACCGCGATGTCCTCCTTTTGCATGAGCTCTAAGCATCTCTCGCCCTCCTAGTGATCACCAAGTCAGGAGCTTTGTCCGAACTTCATACCTACGTTTTCGGTCGAACGCGGGGTGTCCGACTCTACACGATTCAACACCGTCAACAATTCGTCAGCAGCTTATACTCTGTATCTTTGACTCAACAGAATATACTCGGACGAGAGACTTCTCTAACCTGAGTTGATTGTCGACATGGCAATGCAGAAAGGCTTTTCGAAACACATGTGTCCTTGCAGACATTCGGCCCTGTCGTATTCCTCGCCCCTCCTCTTCCTTTCCATAATCCTTCCAAGATCATCGTACGCCCAGTTCACAAGTCAATCGACGTCAGTGACCCCAACAACACTTTTTACCTCAGCATCATCGAGTTCTCCATCAACTTCGCTTGGAACACCGACCGACAACAGCTCCTCTGGATGGTCGAATTCTTCGACGGGCACCCATGCGTTCAATTACTACTTCGTAATCGTGGCAGTCGCTGCTGTGTTTTTCTGTTTAGCACTTCTTTACTTCGGCAAACGTAAGAAACAAAAGGCCGCTTTGATGAGAAGGAATAGTCAGCGAGCTTTGGCCCAGGATGTTGCAGGATTCAACCTCAGGTCGAGAGGCGGCCGAGCACGTAACAATGGGAGGGGCTTCTGGAACGGTACACGCAGGGAGGAGGACAGAGTGGAAGGGCTTGATGAGAGAGGTGAAGCACCACCGCCATATGTGCCAGGTGGGAAGCCACCAAGTATAAGAGCCGTGTCAGAATCGGTCGACCTTGCGGATGCAAGAGATCCTCACGGTGCATTTGGTGGATCCGTCGAATTAAGCACTCTCCCTTCTGGCCTGCGAAGTAATGCAGATCCCCCACCCCCGGACTATCATGAGCATGGCAGCGGGGGTTCAGAGGATATTGGGGACATTACGAGACCTGCACCAGCGTTCACAAACGATCGCCACGAGTCTTCAAGAAGATTGCTCGGAAATAGTAATGGCTCGACTGTTTGAGTTCTATCGACTCTTTGGCGAACAATCGGCGTCACGGCACATGAGATCATGATTCGAACAAATAAATGTTTCAGAAAAGGCTTGCGATGGCTCGGCAAGAAATTGAATAGATGTAATTAATGTGGCCATGAGAATTGAGTAATTCATTCCCCTATTCTATACTCTTGTACGCCGTCTTTCTATTAGCTATATTCTATGTGATCTAATATCTTCTGACTAGTACAGGAGGCTTGTTGCCCAAAACTACATCAATTTCGTCTAAAATCTCGGGCGTGAGTTTCTTAACCACCGCAAAAGCCTTCGCGCTCTCGTAGACCTGTTCTGGACGGCTGGCTCCAGTAATAGCAGAAGAGACATTCTTATTTCTCAAAACCCAAGCCAAAGCAAGAGCAGCTTGCGTAACCTCAAGTTTGTCCGCAATCGGCTTTAGGTTCTTGACGATTTCGATTTCCTTCTGCCATTTCTCGTCTCCAACGTTCTTGTTGAAACCTTCAACAAATTTGTCGGTGCTGGCTCCAAGTCTCGAATCCTTGGGTACACCGTCGTTGTACTTTCCTGTAAGAATACCGAGTTTGAGTGGGGAGAAGGTAGTCAGGCCTAGTCCGGTCGATTCATAGAGATGTTCGTACTCTTTCTCGACTTTGTTCCTCACCAACATGTTGTAGTGTGGCTGCTCCATCACTGGACCTACTAGGCCTAGTCGATCCGCTACCCTCCAGGCATGGGAAATCTCATCGGCATCCCACTCTGAGGTCCCCCAGTAAAAGGCCTTACCAGTTTCGATAATATGGTTGAATGCACGCACAGTTTCTTCCATTGGAGTGTCCCGATCAGCTCGATGCGCGTAAATCAGGTCTACATAGCTTAGGCCTAGACGTTCTAGCGCAGCATTTGTGCCTTCGACTATGTGTTTCCTGGAAAGTCCAACATTGTTTACTGGGTTGTCACCAAATGCAGAGCCCCAATAGATCTTGACATCTTGTTAGTAGAGGACGAGTTTGTCGCGACGCGGAACGATATACCTTTGTGGAAATTACCAAGTCATTTCTTTTCCATCCGAACTTGTTAATGGCTCGGCCCATCACTCTTTCAGATTCTCCGGCAGAGTATGTCTCAGCGCAGTCGAAGAAATTGACACCAATATCGTAGGCGGCTTTCATGCAAGCAAAGGTGTTTTCTATAGGGAATTAGACGAGTTTCAAATCATCTGGAAGAACAAGACAGGATTGATTGGGTTTTTTCGTGTACCTTCTTCCACATGTCCACCATAAGTGAGCCATCCTCCAAGAGACAAAGCGGAAACCTTGAGACCAGAGCGGCCTAAAAATCGATACTCCATAGGTGGGAGACCTTCCGGGACGGACATGATTTGGAGTTTGCGACGTGAGGGTATCTCAAATGCGTAGGATTTAGGAGGATTTTATTTATGACGGTTACTTTACAAACAGACAGAAAAGGCAGGCTTCTTATGCTGTATTCATAGTGGGGTATATACCAGTTGCACATTTATCCAGCAGTGGGGTAAACATGAGGGGAGCTGGTAACCCCACATTTTGACAGCCTCACGGAAGATCTGTTCCTACTGGAGTAGTTTATTTACGCCTTTCGCCCTGCAATTTCTGAATACTACCTAGGAATTAGGCCTTTCGCCATCGTCGATACTACCTAGCGAGGTAGCCAGTCTGGTTCGGGTTCACGGAGAAACCCCATATTTGTTCAAAACAAAAATCAAGCAATGTTGGACTTCAATTTGTAATCAACCCTGTGTTTGGCATGCAGTTGCGTGTTTGACATGCAGTTGCGGTGGTGAATTATACATTCATTTACTGGTCCGGGTTTCAAATGGCGGAATACATTTCTCGAGTAGCTTCCGTGTCATAAAGGACCATCTAATCAAGCGAATCAATCTGCCATTTCTTGATGGAACGTTTTCCTTGCATAACAATCGCTGAATGCAGTTTGATCTGATGGTCTGAGACGGCTCGTAGTTAACCAAATAGCTGCAAGCTCATGGGAGGAAGAGGGCGGTACGATTTGTGTCGAGAGAGTCGGCCGTTTTGCTGATTTCCGAGGCCTACTAAATCGTCTCTATTGGTAGTATGAATGATGGTTGATCATCTATACTTGTGCTTACTTCTGATAGTTTTAAAAGCCTAAAAGGCTTCCTTCAATTGCATTACACCTTAGCATGGATCTGACTTCAGGAGATAAGCACTGTTTGGGTGAACATGGCGTCTTGAAGCTTTCAATGGTGTCACGAAATATCCTGTATATTGTTACTTTCCAAGGTTCTTGTCAAAGCTGAACGTGCGAACAAAATACCTTGAACACTTGCCTACCTCAGCCGGGTCGCTCTGGTTCTCTCATAGTCTGCCACCTAGGTATTGTAAGGTCTCTCTAGACAGCCTAGCCACTTCAGATCTCACGAAATTGCTAGTATCCCTCAGTAGCAGATTCTGCAGCATGGAGCGTTTAGTCGGAAGGTCTAAAAGACTGAATAGAGATAAGTCGTTATCTGCCTGCTCAGCTATACTGAAGCGGTGGCTAATTGGTTGTTGTCTTACTGTATATGAACTATTTCATGGAAGCTAGTCAAACATCTATATCTACAAGATACGATTGAAAAAACGTTGGATGCATGCTAATATATCTATATCTAAGGTATGGGCCTGTCAAACTGGGTCAGGTATTCACCTTCGACGATGCTGACTCAGGAACTGAAATTGGTTGCATCTTGTTGCAGTGAAAATCGTGGAAGGTGCTGGTGGGTCTTCCTTTCGCTTGTTTTCTCGAGGAGCTCTAACTACTTCCACTTTGTTTTGATTCCATTACATCCCAACAAAATTCTGCGGAATCAACAATTGCGACCGCAATTGGGATTCTGTCCATCTTTCTTCCTGATATTTTCAGCCATCTGGTCTCTGAGTCTTGCAGAGATCGAAGATTAGAACCCACTTTTACGACAGGTATGATTTGATCTCATCTTTCAATTTCTCAGACTGAACACACGCGTCACCAACCACGATCAGATCGAATACTTTGATGTTTATCATGGGCGCGCGAAACTTCTATCTATCTTACAGAGTATTTCGATCTTATAGAGTCGCTCGCCATGGTTGCGTCGTAACTGTTCACCTCCAACGCGTACTGACTGCGAGTCCGAAGACATATGTATCAGAGCACATGCTATCTGAAACTAGCTATTTTGGCTTGCTTGTTTTCTTCCCATCCTCTGATCGGTATTCTATTCTTTCTATTGCTGACATTTCTTTGATTATACAGACCTACGCAATTTCGGCCATTGACAAGATGTCGTGGGAAGTAGTTGCCGATGAGACAGATGGCGGTGGTGGTGGCGGAGATCAATGGGGGGCAAGCAATGAATTCTCAGAACCTCAGAGTAATGGCTTCGAAACTGTTGGAGGATCCGATGAGTTCGGCGGCGGGGGTGGGGGTGGAGATGGTGGAAGTACTGCCGGCGGCGGTGGTTTTGGCGGCGAATGCTACAACTGCGGTCAGACAGGGTAAGAGGCTTCCATAAGTGCCTGGATATATGCTCACGTTCTCAGTCATCCAAAATCTGAATGTCCAAACCCTCGCGTCGAACGTGAGTTTACCGGAACTTGTCGCTTGTGCGAGCTGCCTGGCCACCGTGTAAGTGTTCAGTAGCTCGAAACGTGCCATTCGTATTAATACCCCTAGGCATCTGATTGTCCATCCAAGCCACCGCCAATATGTATCAATTGCAAGGAAGAAGGTAAGAAATCCCGGGGCGTTACCCACATATCTGCTAAATGTTTCTTATAGGTCACGCAGCTGTTGACTGCAAAAACCAACGCAAGGTTGAATATCCTGGGGTTGAGGACATATCGGCAGAAGAAGCTTGGGAGCGAATCAAAGTTGCAGCGGAGGAGAGAGAAATGGACGACCTTCTTGAAGCTGCTGATTGTTACTTCAAAGCCGCCCCCGATGCTACCTACCCTCAGATGGAGAAAGGATTCCGTCAACAAGGTCTCCGTGTTTATCTGATCGGTCTTGAGAAAGAGTTGACATCCACTTACACTGTCATGGATTTGCAAGGAAATCTTGACAAGAAGTACACTGTTAACTGGCGCTTCTCAGACAAGCCATTGCGTCCATCCGAGAAAGAGGGTTGGCCAGAGTCTGCCGAAGAAAACATGAGCCGTCTTGAAAACGCAGGCAAACCTGTTGACCGAGGAGTTCCAAAGTGCTCTAACTGTGATCAATTAGGACATACCTTCAAAGGCTGCCCAGAAGAGAAGCAAGAGAAAACCGACAAAATTGTTGTCAGCTGCTTCAATTGCTCTGAAGTTGGTCACCGTATGCGCGACTGTCCTGTTCCTCGTGTCGATAAATTTGCATGCCGCAATTGCAAAGCAAGTGGGCACAGCAGCAAAGAGTGTAAGTTCGGACTACGCTGATATACGAGATTCCCTTTGCTGAACAAACACAGGTACTGAACCACGATCTGCTGAAGGCGTCGAATGCAAGAAGTGTAACGAGAGTGAGTTCCACCATCACGTTTGATTCTATATACTAATTCCACTCAGCGGGCCATTTTGCAAAGGATTGTCCTCAAGGTGGTGGTGGCGGTGGTGGTGGCGCTTGTCACAATGTAAGTGATGTTCTCAGGTCAAATTTGAAACACGAGCTAATCTACGACAATCCTCAGTGCGGTGAGGAGGGACACCGAAAGCAAGACTGTACCAATGAGAAGAAAGTCCAATGTAGAAACTGCGATGAATTTGGGTAAGTAGATATTTCCTCTTCCAAAGGTCCGGCCTAATTATTTGACAGGCATGTTGGTCGAGATTGTCCCCTTCCTCGTGATTACTCCAGAGTCACCTGTACCAATTGCCAGAAGACCGGCCACACGAAGGTGCGCTGCAAGGAACCCGTAAAAGAGGAAGATGACAACGCTGCTGGTCACGGAGCGGACACTAACGGAGACACTGGGTTTGCTGGCGATACTGAAAATACAATTGTTGGTACCTCTCCTGAGCAAACCGACAGTTGGGGTGGCGCATCTGTTGCAGCTCCTGCTGTTGAGGTTGGCGGTTGGGGATCAGGTGGAGGTGGTGGAGGCTGGTAAACAGCTGCAGCTGCCATGCTTGCGATGTGTCTGCCAACGTTTGCCATTTGGTATCTGTTTTATGATCCCGCGGTTCTCGTGCTGGCACTTCTCGGTGCTCCTTTCAAAAGTCATTACTTCTTGGCTCGCATATCAAGAAAAGTTTTACAGGAGGGGAATTTATCGATAGTTGCACTATCAATTTGCAGTTCTTGCACAGACAAAATTCATTAGTTAGATACATACAAAATGAACATATGCACTTCTCATCAGATCGTGCAATTGTGAATCTTTAAAGGTTACAAGCACATGAAGAAGGTTCTAAGGCTATCAAATATACTTCTATGGTTCGACCTTGAGTAGAACTCGAGAAGGGTCTATCCTATTGTTTAACATATGTAACACTGCTGTGAAAAACCACTGCTATCTGGATTTAGTCGATAAAAGGGTGTTCAAGATCGGATTGACTGAATAATGTAAGGCTTATAGGCACCACGATTCGGAGTCTTATTTTAACAATTTCTTATTTTAAATTAAAAGTTTAGATCCATAATAGTTCCACAGTCTTCGTTGCTTTATCAGTGAACATTGTTTATGTCTAAAAGCTGAACAACCAGCACGTTTCCGAGACTAGGGCAAACTGTAATTATTCGGCATCACAGTTGGCTTGCTCTATACGTTAGTCTTCGTAGTAGCAGAACAGAATCAAACAGTCAAGAAGAAAAGTGCAAGCACATGAGACTGCCTGTTATTTTTTGCTACAAACTTTAGCTGTTGTCTTTCGGCTTTCCCAATTGGGTAGTGCCGGGGGACTGCACTTGGTCATCGCCCAAACGCTCGCACGGTTGCGGGCAACTACAGTAAGATTAATTGACGACTCATCTCAACGTCCTCCATATTATTTTCTCGTGTCATGTCATTAGTCTTCGGCTCTCATGTCTAGAGAGAATAAGAAGATATATCGTTCGTTATACGTTCGGGCGTGCACGCTTCATCCGCTGACATTCCGCTGGTGAGCAGACGACGGTGTTCAGTAAACACCTTCCGCATCTTCGACGTTTCCTTAAACGTACGCTCCCGCGAAGCCAATCCACGCAATTTTCATACAAAGTATCTGATATCGATTAAACATCAAGAAGGTAGAATTACATGCGGGTCACTCGGGTTGTCACTCGTGCCAGCTCTTGCACGAAACCACGGCAATATACGTCACAAAACAGCTCCTACGGTCAAATCATGGATCAAATACAGCCGGGCCAGTCCGAGACGTCCTGTGTTATTGCGGTCTGTTTTTGATAAATCGTTTGGAGAGAGGAATTCTGGAGGAAGGAGTCGGATTCTTCAAGGATGAGATCAGTGGTGGGGTATGACTTCGGGGTCTTCTCGGGGCTTGTTGAATAGGTAAGAAAAGACTATCCAAGCTGTCTCGCATTAAATCACTGTTACGGGTGTAGTATATGTTTGATTTTTGTTGCAAAAGCTAAGAGAACAGAATTCGTCGTGTCTTGGGGAACATATGGGTTGTTTCCGCTGCTCTGCTCTCGACACCTCGACCGCAACAGGCCTTTAGCATGCATTTTCGGCACTCCAGGCAAACTCCCCACTCCAGTTCCTCCCCCTCATGTCGATCTCCAGGTACTAGTCATTCCGGTTACCACTCTGGGTTATCCGCCGTAACTACTCCACACCCCGTCTCCCAGTCATGAGCACTAGCATTAGCAATTGCGGAGAAGTGATGCCCTTCTACATACCCGTTGGCGATCTTGACTCAAATATGGATCTGACACCGCACCGAAAGGTGTCGTGCTAAGAATACGGGCGTGACGGCGACTACGAGAGAGATTAAGTTAAGGCGAAGATGGAGAATGTGGAGAAATTGGAAAACTCACACTTGAATCCACAATCAAATGTCACGCCTTGTTTGGAGCCTTTGGCTCACACCGTTTTGTACGATGCTTAAGCGTACAGGCTAGTATATAATAAGCGTTTGTGTCGCAGTGGTTGTCTTTCTTACATAAATGTCTATTTCCAGATGGGTTTTTCGTAGAAGCTGTCCCTACGACCTTCCAACACTCAATTCGGAAGCAAAACTCTGCTTCCATCATTAAAAGCGACATTCAGCCTACACACATATCCAATTTCTCCTACACGGTCATACTAGCACCTCATAACCAAACATCATGTTTGGTGGATCAAGATACTTCGGCCTTCGAGGCCAGAAGCTGAATCTGGTAAGCTTCTACTCCCCTGCCGTCAAAGTGAACGTAATACCATCTTGTTTCTAACGGTCAGAACAGGCAGTCGGAATTATCGCTGGGGTGGATTTCTTGTAAACAGACTTGCCCTTCGTTCACGGATATCATTTACTGACCAAAACAGTCTTTTCGGTTATGATCAGGGAGTGATGGGAGGACTGTTGACCTTAGGAAGCTGGGTAGAGCAGTTTCCTGAAATCGATTCGGTAAACAACCCGACTGATACTCATATTTCCACCATCCAAGGTATCACCGTCGCTTCGTACAACGTCGGCTGTTTCATCGGTGCAATTATCACCATCTTCATTGGGGATATCCTTGGTCGTAGAAAGATGATCTTTCTGGGTTCTGCTATCATGGTTGTTGGTGCAGCTTTACAGGCATCCGCTTTCAGTCTTCCGCACTTGATTGTTGGCAGGATCATCACTGGTTTTGGAAACGGCATGAACACTTCCACTGTTCCGACCTGGGCTGCAGAAACTTCGAAATCCCACAAGCGAGGTAAAATGGTTATGATCGAAGGGGCTATGATTACCGGAGGCATCGCTTTATCATACTGGGTGGACTTCGCATTTTCCTACTTGGAGCCAAATCCGGTCTCCTGGCGCTTCCCTCTGGCACTTCAAATTTTGTTCGCTCTGATATTGCTAGCGTTCATCATGGAATTGCCGGAATCTCCCAGAGTTTGTCTCCGTCTAACATTCCAAACCGAACCATCAAATACTGACGAGCACTTTAGTGGCTCCTACTAAAAGGAAATGAGCACGAAGCTATATCTGTTATTGCGGCCTTGGAGGACTTACCACAAGATGATCACGTAGTGCAGACCGAATTCATGGAGATTAAAGATACCGTCTTGGAGATGAAGTCAGCCGGTAAGCTTAAAATGACCTACCACTTTCGATTTTCCTTGCTAACTGTTGTAGGCTGGGCCGACCTCTTTACAATGGGACCAGAGCGAAACTTCCATCGTGTTGCTCTGGGGTACGTCAATCAGGTATTTCAGCAGATCAGTGGAATCAATCTGATTACGTATTACGCGCCAACTATTTATAATCAATACAGTACGTTGTTGTGGTCGTCTTTATCTAGTTTCCTGGTGTTGTGGAATGTTTTTAATTTCTCGCTTCCCCTATTTTCTTGCTAATACCCTCGCTTAGTCGGTCTACCCCATAGAATATCCAGCATCCTCGCCGCATGCAATGGTACGGAATATTTTCTTGCTTCATGGGTAGCCGTCTACACCATCGAGCGTTTTGGTCGTCGTGCACTCATGCTTTTCGGTGCTGCTGGAATGTCAGGCAGCATGGCCATTTTAGCTGGAATGAACTACATGTCATCAGTCAATCTTGGTGGCTCAGCTCCCGGTATTGTCTCCGCAGTGTTTTTGTTCGTATTCAATACGTTCTTTGCTGTCGGCTGGCTTGGAATGACATGGCTGTATCCTGCAGAGATCGTGCCTTTGAAGATTCGTGCCCCATCAAATGGACTCTCGACATCCGCAAATGTAAGCAAGCCACTTTTCAATCTATAATTTACTGTAAGGTTGGAAATTAACATGTAACAGTGGGCGTTCAACTTCATGGTCGTCATGATAACCCCCGTCTCTTTCACATCCATCGGCTACAAAACTTACATCATCTTCGCCGTCATAAACGCCTTCATCTTCCCCGTCGTCTACTTCTTCTACCCCGAAACCGCTTACCGTTCCCTCGAAGAGATTGATAACATATTTCGCAAGACTAGTCGTGGATGGAGAGGTTGGTTCGACGTAGTTAAGATCGCTCGCGACGAGCCACGACGATACGGAAAGCATGGAGAGCTTTTGATCGAATACGAGAACACCGATGAACATCGACGACGAAGCAGTGTTGCGGCCACTGATAAGCCTCATAGCCATCGTGTGGAAAATGCTCACCAGGAGACTACGACGAATAGTGCTGGTAGCAGCGATTATGAGAAGAGGAGAACTGATGTTGTTTGATTATTTGGACAACTCGGCATAGGCGTGCGATGGAGAACTCTGTTATTGCTATCAGGCATACAATATCCATAATTTGATACCCATACTTCAGAATCTTTGAATTTGCACCACAGCTGATTTTGTATCACCACACCTCTACGCTTTTTTTTCACATCACATGTGTAGACTCGCGGTAATAAGCACGGGTGACAGTAACCAGTTGAATATGCGCTCAAACACTCCCGTAGTCACTCATTATGGATCATACATGAGCTTCTGATGTAGGTAGCTGCGAGAAAGAGCTCATCAAGCTACATTTGATCTAAAAATTTGACGAAACAAGAGACGTCGTGTCAAGTTACTCAAGTAGATAGAGTGCTATTATTACTAATTGTTTTGTGCACCGCGAGTTCCTTTCGTCGGTCATATCCCGTTAAATGGAGTTGTGAGCGATGCCTGAGTCTGTGCCACCAAAACCTAGAGTAGCAGTCAAATTTTTAACGAGTTTCGCACAATCGCTTCTCCCAAAATGTCATGTCTTAAAAATAGTAAAAACATAATATATTTCGAGCACTGCACATTGCGGAACCAGAATTGAGCCGTTGATGACGGAACATAAAAAAAAAAGAGATGACTGTGCGTCAAATTTCTTGGTGGTGGTAAACGATTGACTGAAGACGACGTTACTGACAGAAATCTATGCAAAAAAAAAAATTGCAAAAAAGGATTGATCAGGCTGGGGCTCGATCCCAGGACCTTCTCGGTATTTGATGTTAACCAATGTTAACGAGATGTGATAACCAACTACACCACCCGACCAATGATGTCAGGATTTGCTTTTTTCATTATATAATAAAGTTAACATTGTAGTAGATCTGATTGGTTTACTTCTCACAGTGGGCCCCCGAACATGACGGACGCCGTTGGATGCCGGTGGCAAGCGAGACCACTTATCGACTGACTTCGTACGAAAGGTATGACAATATAATAAGTAAGTTTTTTATGTCCGCTAAGTATAGATTGGGGCTGTCAATCAAAGGAGGTTTACCGCTGTTTAATACTTAGGTAATCTAATCACTTGTAGAGAAATCTTCAAACAGTACTTTGATTCATAACCCAAAATTTACACACAGAATTCAGATCAACAAACTCTCACTCGAACGAAAACGTTGAGGCAAACCTCTCGAGTCTCTTCATTTCACCCAATCACTAACCTTCTTGTCTCAGTACTGGACTATAGCAATATGGTAGACAATATTTGTTAATGGAAATTGATATACAATCCTATTTTTGTAACGACAAGGTATGGTAAATGAAAAACAGTAAACTTCAGATCTCACATGACAGATGACCTAGTATTTGCGGAAGGTTGTTGACGAAAACATGATGTTTGTGTCATGCAGTAGCGCCCTCGAATAAGTCCCGAACATCATCAATACAATAAATGGATACACCGCCTACCACCGATTTCTAACAGGTGACTCACCCAAAGTTTCGCAGTATGTCCTGCGATGTAAACATGTGCAAAAATCAATTCAGTCATTCAGAGCTGTTACTATAGTGCTAGGACGGGTACATACATCTGCTGCTGGCCCATCTATTGGCACCCAAACCGACAAACTAAAAACAATGCCTCCCAGAAAGGCCCACGGAAGCTTGACAAGCGCTTGCTACATCAAAATCTTCTGGTTCAAGTTACCTTTCTGAGACTCACCAGCGACCATGAGGCGGTGATGTAATTGCTCAATCGTCAAATCACTCTTCATTCACACGACGGCTTTCATTATTGGCGCCTTTGGCTCCATGGAAGCAAGGCGATCTTGATTTGGGAGGCTTGGGACGGATGGGAATCGTGGGATACATCATAAACTTGCTTGCTTTCCTTATAATATATCTACACCGAGTATCACCTTATAGAGCTTCCATCTTGATGAGATCTACGAGCGGAAAGCTGGCTCGTCTTAATGGTACATGTCAGAGTTGGCGGTTAATCACTCGCGAACTTCTCCCAATTGACTAATAATCTCATAATACGGTTGGCTTGTGGGCTTTGATATCCCCACTTTTAAGTGCACCTCTGATCAACTAAGAACATTGGCATTATCAAACCCTCTCAAAAAATGTTTCCCCGATTCCTTTGTCGCTCGCCGCTTCGCGCCATGAGAAATATAAAACAAGTACGATTCGCAGTAGTCTCAACTCGATCGGCAACTTCCGCCTACGCAATTCCCAATATTCGATCGTTTTCATTCCACGCAGCACACTCCAGCAAAAACCCAACCTCACCAATTTGTCATATGAGTCCCAGAAGAGAACTCTTTTTCTTGAAAATGCAGGATGGACCAGATCCTCTTGTCTTTACAAGTGGTCATTGGCTTCATAGAGATGCGCAGCAGCGTGATGCACGGACGTTAGACTTCGATTTCAACGCGCTCTGCAAGAAAGTTGTCGAGTTATGCCCCGGGTCTCGTCAGGTTGAGACCTTTGAAAAAGCTGAAAGTGGCTTCAACAGGGTTTTCCTTTTTCTGATGGACAACGGAACAGGTATCGTTGCTCGTATACCATTCCGCATAGCTGGCCCGGCAGGACTCACGACCAATTCCGAGGTTGCAACTATGGCGTACAGTGAGTTCTTTTACCCTCCCCGAATTGATCGATCGAACTGACGAAGGCACAGTGCGCAAACATACAAACATTCCGGTACCTGAGGTCTTAGACTGGAGTGACTCAAACACGAATGTCATTGGTGTTGAGTATATCATCATGAAATACGTACCTGGTGTTCAGTTGCGCGTGAAATGGAGTGAAATGACCCCACTTCAGCATCGCCGATGTGTGAGCTCCCTTTCGAAAATGATGAAGTCTATGAGTGCTCTTTCTTTCTCGGGATATGGGAGCATTTACTTCGCCGATGCAGCCATTGATCATACCTTAAAAATCCCGCTTGGCGAATTTTGCCTTGGACCGGTGACTTCAAAGGATTACTGGAATTGCATTCCCTGGGAGCCTCGATACTATGAGAATCAAAAGCAAAAGCAAGGGCCTTGTAAGTACTCAGTACCGGTTTTAGGCCTAGTATAATCAACCTTTCTAAATGCTATCGTGTAGGGAGATCATTGGACCAGTACCTCGATGGACTGCTTGACCAGGGGCTCTCTCGGATTCCAAGCTCAAACAAAGCACCAAAGATTGAGCCACTGTACTGTGGAACAGTTCAAGAACACCACCGCTTACTAGATATCAGCAAGGCTGTCTTGAAGACTTTAGGAGATAGTCCGTTACTTCAAGCTATAGCCACACCGACTCTGTTACATCCTGATCTTTACCAACGCAATATTTTCGTCTCAGAGGACGATCCTACTATCATCACGTCAATAATTGACTGGCAATCTACTTGCGTTGAGCCAGCATTTGTCGTTGCAATTGACACTCCTGATCTAGTGAACAGAAACTCTGTTCCAGAATCAATTCGTGCTATCACTGACCAAGATGATACGGCTGAGGATCCGGAGGAAGATCCAAAGGCGATCGAGGAACGGAAAAGGCCGAAGCAGATGAGTGGGATTGTTATCAAGCATTTGAGCTTGCCCTTATCCTAGATGTTCCCACACTTTCAAAAGCTAGAAATGCAGATCAGAATCTTCTACGGCCGTTGAGATACTGTGGCACATCTTGGAGGGATGGCGCCGCAGCAACGCGTCAAGAGTTGATCGAGCTTTCAAAGAAATGGACAGAGATTGGCTTGCCTGGTGCGTGTCCGTACCAGCCTTCAGCCAAGGAGCTCGAGGAACACACCTTAGGATATGATCAGTTTGAAATGAAGCAGGGCCTCAAGGATCTGCTGATCGAAATGCATGACACCAATGGCGAGGGATGGATTCATTCTGATGACTGGCAGGCTGCAAAGGAGGCGCATCGAGAGATATACGAATGGTGGGTGAATGATGCAGAGCAAAGTGAGGAACCAGGCATAAGTGGGGAGCCCATAAACAAGTGTGGCCATTCGATATCGAGAATGAGGGGGTTAAGTCCTAGTACAGTTGAGAGCCTGATCAACAGAGTACGAGCTGAGAAACTAATTTGTAATATTAAATCTCAAAATTTGGCCTTCTCTCGATGTCCCAGTAGAGAAAGAAAAACATATTTCAATATTGCTTGTATTCAGAAATGAAAAAATCAAGGGGAGAGGGCACTTAGCCATCGTGCTACGATAATTGTTTTAGCATTATCAACATTATCTATCATGACTGAACGAATAATTTATCCTACCGACAATCAAAACACGATGTCGATTCGATAGATTGACAAGAAATGTCGCATATTACATCTAGTGCTTTCAATTAACAAGAAATTTCAGACTCTGTCGAGAAACCGTTAAAAGGTGAAAGAACCTACCGACGCACAAAGACATATTGAAATTGTCAGAATTGTCAGGAGACTGCCTCGCGGAGGACAAAATAAGTGTCAGTCACCTGCGCAGTAAACTTGGACTACACAAGTCGACTTCGAGCAGAGCGTAAGAAGCTTTATTTACTCAAAATAATACACGAAATATCTCATATTGTCCCAAATTAATCCACTAAATAACGAGATTTCGTCAACTTAATCGAAGAAATACCGTGTTTTGACTACCACTTATTTTGTCCACCGCGAGACTGCTACATAGTCGTATTCTCCGCCGTGAAGACTCTTTGACCCTTGGGATGACCAAAAGGGCCTCAAGCACGGGAAGAGGGCCTTTGAAGGGCTATGACGAGATTGACAATACCCCCACGGAAAGCGTGGGCTCGTTTTCTTCGCCAACAATTAAGGAAGGAGTGAGGGAGGATGAAAATCCCAAAAAGGCTCTTGCCATTGCGAGAAAAGAAAATCTCTACTGTAGTAGTTACTAGATCCGCCATTCGAAGGAAACAGCCCAGTCTCAGGGTGTCTCGCAAATCCTCTGCCAAAAAGAGGGCGACAAAAAACAACAAGGCAAAAAGTTCGGGCCCCCGCACCACTCGCCAGGACGGGGCATTAACACGGCCACCCATGGGGAATTACACCGCAACCCACACGCCCAGACGGTGAATGGTAAGACCTTACATCTTTTTGTGGCAACGATTGCGTTACCAATCGGCCATTTGACTGTTTACAATACTTTGTTTTGAAATGGTATATAATCTACGTTCGGGAGGGCCGTTGTGGGGATCCGTAAGAAGCTCGGTGGGGGACAAGACGGGTGAATGCTCTAAGTTCTCTTCGAACAATCGTCTAGCTGTAGCTGTACATTGCTGAGAAGACAGAGACGCTTTGAACGAAAGCCAATCACTTTGGCTTGGAAATTGCCGAAATAATTGAAATTCTATGTCAGGGAGGTTGGTGTTGAACGAATGTTGATCAACCCATCCTGTTCTTGCTTCGCACGTATTCCGAGTTCGCCAGGCCAAAAAAGACAAATGAGCCCCGAAGAAGAACGAGGAAGATAAGCGCTCTTCGATTTATATGCGACTTCTCTAGGGAAAAAATTAAATTGGCAAAAGTAAGCCAGACCGACGGATGTACCTGATGTTCAGAACCTGAGGAATTACCTGACACCAATTTATCCTCGCCGCTGGCACTTACAAGTTCCCCAGATCACCAGCTCTCCAAGTTTCGATATCAGAACCTATCTAGGAATTACCTGATATCGTCCCTTGGGGCGGGAATTACATCTGAGTACATCTTGAGCAACGGTACCGTGCTGCCATGCCGGATAGTTTAACGTGTTACCAGCACACCAGCAAGCTGGTTTGTTGAAAGCATTGTGCTTTAAAAAAGCTATAACCTAAGAAAGCATCAAGTGGGGAGGAGGAGATATGATGAACGCTGGTTGGAGTGCTAAGTGACCCTAAAGGGTGAACTCTGGCGCGGGAAACAACGCTTCATTGGTCTGATTCTGCTGTGCCGAGTTACCCTCTGCCTCTGTCAAGATTGGAAAGAAGACCAGAATTGTATGCTTTAACCGTCAAAAAGGGACCGAGGAGTCGGATTGAATCGATTTACAAGTATCAAGATCCGCGTGTGAGGGTGACATGCGGTAATTGGGAAGCCGCCTGCGCATCACTCAGCAAAAAGCGGGAGACCTCCTCGCTTCGCGGCTTCCCAATTCATGCTCCCTCCAAAAAACATGATCATACACATCCGAATTTCTGGAAGCCCAAAAATGCAAAAAGTTCAGCACCTTCGCGGGTGGTAAACCCACGCCCCGTAGGGGGGTATTACAACCAGCTGCTCGAGTGCCTACGTCTTTAGGCGCGTATGGCCGGCCCGTGCTCTAAGTAATTTTGTTCGGACCATCACCAACCGCCAACCCTTTCGGGTTGGATTGAGAGAATTGTGCGTATTATAAAATATAACACCATAAATTAAAAGTGGGTGCGGTACAAGTTCGGTTCAATCCAATTGCGAATGCGTAGGAGCCGTGGGTGAGTGAATAGGTAAGGTATGAGGACATGGCCAAGTAAAAGGGAGGGGGACAAATCAGGCCTCAAACGACTTTCGGATGCTTGTGCGGCACACTTCTTTGTTTGGTACCAGCACCCCTCACGTTACCCTTGCCGGACTGTAAACATTTGGTTTGAGATACAATATTGATGCAAGTTCTCGAATCAAAGCACAGTGAGGTTGGGCGTGAGGAGGCATGGGAAACAGCATCTCAGTTGATCCTTCCGCGACGGACACAGTAGAAACTCCAACCAAGAAAACAATCAAGTCATGTGGACCTCGAAGGGACGAACGAGGTGCCCAAGAGTCTTCCAAGACATGAATAATGTCCGACGTGATTGGAGGGGGGGACTCTGATGCATCTACACCGAGTGAACTTCTTGAGTACCTGCAGTTGACTAAGCGCACTTCGGTCGATTGACTCCATGAGTGCCGCAAGAGTAGCTGTCGACTTGCAGATATCGATTGGGAACCAAGATAGTTGCTCAAAGACAGGATTAAGGCAAGGAAAGAGAGCAAACTGCCGCATGTCTCGAAGACGGTGGTGGTTCAGAATCGCGAATGGAGTATATAGCAAGATGAGAATTTCTGCCGTATTTCCCACAACGTAATTAGACTAATATGACTCCAAACATATTGTAGATGCATATAATCTAGCATTAAGAAACAAGTATCATGAAGTAACGGCGAGGAATCTCCATAAACCAAGTACTGGGGTGCAAGTATCATTTTGATAAGTCCATAGCAGACAGGCTTTTCCAGCGAGCCAGCAGTATATCGCAAAGCTGACGGGAGAACCTCCTAATGTATCAATGCCGAAATAACAACTTTCTAAAGCATATTGACCATGAACAACAGAGAAAACATTCACCCGAAGAGGTGCAGCAAAGATAGCTTTTTCAATAGAATATCGTTCTTCTATCGAGGGGTTGTCCTGTCAGACTTGCAACGCACTGGTGAGCATAATCATTCTGCACAACCAGACTTCGTATGCTATATCCAAACCCAAAATCGAACATAGATCGTGAATAATACAAAGTTTTGCATGATTGAAGTCCCTTTGTGAACTGCATTGAATGAACGAGAGGGGGCCAATCCCTTGCATCCAGGAAGCGAGCTCAAAAAGGGGGTCAACCGGACTTTGCAAAAACAGTGAAATGCTCCACGAAACGCAAGATATAAAATATTAAATGAATTGGGCCAGTGCAGTGCTGTACGAAGAGACAGAAACGACAAGTTTTTGCCTTGATCCCAAAATACTGTATCGATATTGCGCAGATGGGGAAAAACATAGACAGACGAGAAAAACATGCAATGGAACAGAAATAGAAGATCAGCCAAAGTCGCGGTAGAATTTTGAAGTAAAAGCATCCGTAAATAACTAACAGAATGGCATCCTCCACGTATCGATTGAGGTAGTTGGAGGAGTCGGGTTTTCGCAGGGTGATCAGGTGATGTTAATATGTCGGCTACGTGTCAGGACAAGAACTCGAACTTTGCCTCGAAAAAGACTCTGAATGAAAGGAAGCGACCACGGCAGCTGCTGAGGTCTAGGTCAGAGAGATAATAGGTGGCTCGTACTTCGGCATTGAATGATGATGAAGGTTGCAGCCGAAGAGAACCAGACCGTGTTGTTGGAACATTTGGGGCAGCCGTATCGTTGAAAATAAATGCAAAAACACTGATCAAGAAACAGGAAATCAAGATGCATTTGAACCAATGCTTAAGTGTGCGCACTAGTGATACAACTTTCGGGGATTACTGTAATAATAGGCTCTGCTGCTCCGGGGCTTGGGCTCGGACGATCAATTGAAATACGCTGTAACCGAGACAGGCCCACTGACAGCGCCCCCCTCGCGGAGGACAAAATAAGTGGCAGTCGAACCAGAATAGTTTTTCGGCTAAGTTGACGAAATATCGTAATTTAGTGGTTTAACTTGGAACATTGCGCCTATTTCGTCAACCGTTTTAAGTAAATGAGACTTTTAAGGGTCTATTCGAAGTGGACTTGTTATTTAGTCAAAGATTTACGGGTAGGTGACTGCCACTTATTTTGTCCTTCACGAGCCCCCGTAAACGGTCCACTTACAAATATCTATTGTCATATTTTATCTCCTATTTCGGCCACATTAATGCTAATTGATATGTTCAACAACCTGTCCCTTCTCTTGAATCTCAAGGGCTCTTCTTTCCAACTCATCGGCGTAACCTGCGTTGTACGTCTTTTTATCCGTAAAAGCGACCAAGTAAGGCGCATTTGTGAAGAGGTAATTCATCTCCTCGAGTGGAAGGTTCTTGGTTTCCGGTAAGAGGAGATAGAAAAACAATGCATTTGTAAAATTACAAATGATGAAGAGGAAATAGTATCTGTAGCCGAGATTCGTCATGGCGACATCGGTAATTTGTCCGATCATCGTGTTGAAGGCAAAGGAGACCATCGTGGCAATAGAGACACCCTTGGAACGGGTTTTGGTGTCGAAGATCTCGGCAGGAATGATCCAAGATAACGGTCCGCACGTTGCAGAGAAGGAGAAGTTGTATGCCCAAGTACAGATGATAAAACCCCAAGATGCGGCTTTATTGTTTGCGACTCCGGGTGGAAACTGTGCAATCAAAATGCAGGCGACAAGGAAGCAAACCTGTCATTAATATCAGCAGGTGAAAATTGAGGCTACTAGAAGGTCCATCTTACCATGTTGAACAGATTACCACTGATCAAAGGCCGTCTTCTTCCCAATCTGTCGATAAAGACAACGCAGGCTCCCTCACCAAGCAAGCCGATAATGTTATTGATAGCTTGGTACTTGAGAGCGTTGGCCCCGTCGATTCCAATTTGACCGTAAATCTTCACACTGTAGTATTGAATAGCTGACACACCAGTCATCTGGACGGATGCTTGTAGTGCGCAAGCAATCAAAAGTCGTCGGAAACATGACCTGTCAGTGAAAAGTTCTAGGTAAGACTTGGCTTCGTTCTCGTGCTCGTGGGTGATGCTGGCTTGGATTTGATCGAACTCAGCCTGAACCCATGGATCGTTCACATCGCCGTTCGAATGGAGACGGGCCAGAGTCTTGAGGCCTTCCTCCGGTTTGCCATTATCCATCAGCCACTAAAGCAAATGTTAACATATGTTTCTTCGCAGATGAAGAAACAATACATACTCTAGGACTTTCCGGGAACAAAAATATCAATGCTCCGAGAACGATCGCTGGTATAAGTTGAATTGCCAGTGGCACCCTCCACTGGGCAGTCGAATCCTTGATACCAACATAAGTGCCGTACGAAACCCAACCAGCGACGAAAGCACCAATCCCGAGCATGAACTGTTGGAGTGCAGTTATTGTGCCACGAATACTTGGATGGGCAATCTCAGCCTGGTAGAGAGGGATGATCATGACGAGGAAGCCGACTCCGAGGCCTGCGAGCCAACGTCCGGCCATTAAATAGCTGATATTTGCTGCACCAGTTTGAAAAGCACCACCAATAAGGTAGATGATACATCCTATCACAATGGTCCATCTCCTGCCTAGTTTGTCGCCACAAGGGCCAGCCAATCCAGCTCCACAAAATGCTCCTCCGGTGAAGAAAGACACAACAATACCCCTAGAAATGTGTTAAAGGGTTATGATGCTGAGCCACAATGTGAGTCGGTACTCACGTCTGTGTTGGTGTCGGCTTATTGAAAAAGCTTACGAAAGTCTCTGAAGCAATGCTGAAAAATGTTAGCCACCTTTGCGAGAAGCTTGCCAAAAACCACCACTTACACTTCTGCAATAACTCCTAGATCATAACCAAACAGCACGGATCCCATAGAGGCAAACACACCCACGAGAAACTAGGTGTGTAGTCAGTATACAATCGCAACTCTTTTTGTTATGGCGGTATCCAATTTTCGAATCTTACCTGATATATTTTGGGGGACAGCATGGCGCCGAGTTGTCTTCGCTTCACTCCCTTGAGTAAAACAATATGAAGCTCAAGCTACTTGGTAAATCAAGAATGGGACATGTCCGATCAATTATACTGAGGCAAGACAAGACGCTGGGTAGCTTTAAATCAAAGCTCCTGCGGGGGAAGCTGGGGTAGCTCATGCTGGTCCCTGGGCTAGGGAGTAGAAGTATTTACCCCTGGCAACATTACCTACAGAGACATGGTACTTAGCATATGTTCTAGCATGAAATATAGAAAGCTATGACTGGGAGTTCTCCTCATTGGCACGCATATAGATGACAGTCTGTTGATCCCCGCTACCTAGACTGGTTCCAACATTAACTTTTGTCCGTTGTGGGACTAGGAGCTGTCATTATTTGTGTCACGAACGAACTTCCTCGGTTTAGCTTGACTAAAGGTTTGGTGTTGATGAAGTGTTGTGCGGTAGTGGACGGGATAGAGGGCGGGGAAATTTATTTTGCGGAGAAGAGGTCAGGTCAGAGGCTCGCTTCGAGCTCTCCCCACGGCGAAACCAGATCCTCCAGTCACAACCAAGCTCTGAAGAACCATTGTGGACTCAGCTGTATATGCGCACCAATAATGGGACCTTGGCTTCAGGTCCAAGACTCTATGAACGGCTGTTGCTGAAAGCTTCAATGAACCTCTCGTGCGAGTGCCGAAAGCGACGGCCTGAGCATCTTCGGTACTGTTGATACTCGTGCAAGCACCCTCGCGATGGACAAACAAACGGCAACCGGATCACGATATTTACTCGATCAAATGGGCACAATATCCCACATTTGGTCTAATATTTCAAAAAATAACCCAATCCCAGACTCCATCTGACAGACTAGTCCAAGGCTGCTGCCGCTTACCTTATCGACCGCGAGGCACGATTCGTACAACAAAGTCCCACCTGTACCGATACGAGTTCATCGCTGAGTGGACGGTCGATAGAAAACGAGCGATCAACTCAAGATCCACTTGAGACAACAATATTTGTTTTCTGACTTTGCTGCTTCAGTATAAACACAAACTCTCACTTTTCAAAGTATTTTTGATTGCTCTTTCAGGAATCATGACGACTTTCACGAGGATCGAGGAAAATGCCACCCCTTCTATGAACGTGGATATATCGAAGAGACTCTCAAAAATTAGTCAGTTTCGTTTGTCGAGATGCTGTAGACTGTGTACTAATGAATTGATTAGACGACAATATATATGGAGGCTTTACCGAGTGAGTGCTTTCAGAGCTTGTCTTTTTTGTTGCAAAGCTTTAAATTTGGTCGTGTGCACTCATCAAAGTTGCACTTTGTTGAGCATCTTCGTGTTTAATGAGACGAACCTGTTTGATGTTTCAAGAACGGCCCACAATCTTGCACTTTAAACTTCAAACTTCGAATTTGGATGGGGAAGTCTCCAAGGGCTGCGTACGATTGAGGAGAGGTGTATTTGGATGCGGAATATCCACTCCGGGACCTCTATTCCATGTGACGCATTTCGCAACCAGGAAAATATTTCATGGTGCTTGTTCCCGTTCGAATCTACCGCTCATGACGATGAGATTATGAGGATGTCTTCGCCCGTGGTGGTGAATGGCTCGTTTCAATCTCGAAATCAGTCGCTTAACATTGCAGCCCGATGTCTTCATGAAATTGAGTCTCTATTGAATTTTGAAAGCGCCACGCCTCACTTCTCTCCACCTTCACTCTTCTTACAAACTGACAATCTGGCCTCCATATCCTGCTTAATTTCAAAACGCTCATCTACCACATACACTCTACTTACGCTGTTTTTTCAGACACATGGGACGATGCATCTACGGCGGAATTTATGAACCAGGAAATCCCCTCTCCGATGAGCATGGCTATAGGACCGACGTACTCTCTGCCTTGCGCGAACTCGATATCCCAGTAATACGCTACCCAGGTGGAAATTTCGTCGCCACATACCACTGGCAAGATGGCGTTGGGCCAAAAGAGAATCGACCGTCAAGGCCTGAATTGGCATGGGGTGCCGTAGAGACAAACGAATTCGGTAAATGTTCTCATTCATGTTCATCACAAGTGTAATTACTTATCTGGAGTTTAGGAACTGATGAGTTTATGCATTGGCTCAGTGTATTGAGCGAAGGGAAAGAGAAAAGGGTGGAGCCATATTTTGCATTCAACTTCGGAACAGGGACCATGGAAGAAGCTTTGGCTTGGGTAGAATATTGCAACGGAACAAAAGACACTTACTATGCAAATCTTCGCCGCAAGAATGGACATCCAGAGCCCTATAACGTAAAGTACTGGGCTCTAGGGAACGAGGTACGCCCATCGCCTTTCATTTTATCCAGATGAACATAACTGACAATGCTTCTCATTTAGATGTGGGGACCATGGCAGGTTGGTAAGATTATCACTGTCATCAATCTCAGCCGGATACTAATCAATTTGTAGGCCAAATGACAGCCAACGAATACGCACATAAAGCTACACAATGGGCAAAAGCTTTGAAACTTCTGGATCCGTCACTCTGCCTCATTCTCTGTGGTCAAGAAGGTCTTTCTACCTGGGATTGGACAGTACTCTCCCAATGCATAAAGTTCGTGGACATGCACAGTATCCACATGTATGTTGCTTCTCCCAATCATCCACAAAACGCACTTGCACCACTAGCAGCAGAGAGAGCCATAGAAGCTACAGCTGCGATGATAGACGTAGCGAGGATCGAGAATCGCGTTAGTCCAAAAGTACCACAGACGACAATTTGTTTCGATGAGTGGAACATGTGGGATCCGATCCGAGCTCCTGGTGAAGAAGGAGGCGAAGAATCTTACACCTTATCCGATGCCCTGGGTGTGGCTGTTTGGTTGAATGTATTTGTACGACAAAGTCGTTGGGTAGGAATGGCAAATATTGCGCAGACTGTCAATGTCATTTCTCCTTTGATGACAACGAAAGATGGCATCATGAAACAAACGACTTGGTGGCCGCTCTTGCTCTATTCCAAATACATGAGAGGTTATACGATTGGTGTCCACGTCAGGGGAGGGGCATATGACGGAGAGACTTATCCTCCTTGGCTTCAAGGTACGCTTGCTGAAGGGGCAAGCTGGCTGGACATCTCTGCTTGTATTAGCGAATCTGGGACAGTCACTCTGGCAGTTGTAAATGTCAGCGAGACGAAGGATTTCGAGACAGATATGCAGGGCATCGGAAGCGATATTGAGGTCTTCACCGTGACTGGTGATAATGTCAAGGTCGTGAATACTGAGGGAAATGAAAAGGTTGGTGTAAAAGAAAGTAAATGGGACGGAAAAGGAAGGTTCACATTTGGAAAACATAGTCTGACTATGATGAGATGGAAGACAGGCGAAAATTTTACAGTATTCAAGAGGGAAGAGAAAGCAGTTGACATGAGAACGATGGTGTCTACGGCTAATGACTGGTCATAATCTCTAGACGTTGAATATACTTTGAACTTTTGAATACATACTCACTCTGTCTTACATTGACGGAAACACCCTGCGCTCATACACGCAAGAGCTTCCAACATTCCAAGAACTGAGATAAGAAAGCCTTCGGAAGTGATTCTCAAAGGTAGTTCACCAATGCATTTCAAAACTGACGGGACACTCTAAAACCACTGTTCCACAACGATATCAGAAAATGACTTTCTGGCGGCTTTCCTTGACAGTTATAGTTAACCTCTTTTTTAGGGACAATCTTGTTTATTTACTTAAACACTTTGAGAAATATAGCGTTTTAGGCAGAGGATGGTTCTTCTGCCGTAAGGAGGTGTCCCGTCAGACTTGCAGGCCACCGGTGCTAATGGAAATAATCCAAACCAAGTGATTTAGGAACACAGCACTTCTTTACACAGACTTTGCAACGAAGACGGGCTTGGTGAACACAATGAGCCTGAGATCACTAGGATGTTGAAAAAAAAATTGAGGTAGTAGACAATCCCAAAAAGACAGCCAGGTAGCGGGGAAATATCAACAATATATAACCTTCAAAGAGGGAACAAGGAGCAACATTCTCTCCTGCAGGCAATATTTTATAGCACGTCTATCTACAGGGATCAGCTCTCAACAGCAAGTGCCTTCACGCCGACAAGATTGCCATCTGCAAGTGTCACGACCCAATACTCAAATCTGGTGCTATCTCTCCCAATTCTGTAAACCCTAACATCACTCCCCTTACCCGCTTCCCTGACAGCCTCAACCACGTCTTTGTATTCACCTTGGGTATCCCACTCTCCAATGTCCATAATCGAAACTTCAGAGTCGTTTGGTGAGGGATGGCCTGCAGTTTTGGCAAACGTCGCTACAAATTGTTAGTCTCTGACGAAATATTCAAATTAAGTATCTAAAGAAAACATACCTTCATCCGGCAGCGAGCTTCCTTTGAACTTCAGAACAACCGGTGTGAATTTCTCGTCAGCATCACTTACATACCACGCGTCCTTCGTCGCATCCTGCAGAACCTTTGGAACCTCAACACCAGAATCCACAGCTTTCAGCTCAATCTTTCCACTCTTTCCCTGCGCAACACCTTCATTGGGATCTTGATTCGCTTTGTCAAGAAACGACGCGTAATCCTCGTCTGAAGCCATTTTATGTCCTTTTGCCTCTTCGTTTATCGCAAGATTCGCAGCTGTGCTACTGTAATACTTCTCAGAACTATTCGTGATAGAAAGTCTGTTCGTGCCAAAGAAAGCGGTAGAGATCAACGGGATTCTAATGGAAGAGCTCACGCAGCCAGAGGAACGGGAGCAGCAAGGCCAACCTCCCTTTGCAAAGCCGGTTGTCCACCAGTTCTCGCGCCGTCCAATTCCCCAACTGCCTTGCTTGTTTGTTCGCCCTCCAATTCGCGTCTTTCTTGCGCTGGCAAATCCTCTGCTGGCACGGCAGCTCGAGAAATAGGAGGAGGGCGTGATGAGTTGGCTTCGGCTTCTAAGCCTCGTTCCAAGGTACTTTGGTGGTGCAATGATGGCTGCTCTTGTTGCGGGAGTGGGCTAGATTCCTGGACTCCGTCCGTGGCTCCTGGTGCACGATGACTTATGCCTTGGGCTTCGCGATCCTTGGCAGCTTTCTTTTCTTTCTTCCTTTGTCGGCGTTCTTTAATTTCTTGTGTAAGTGGTGCGACGATAGAAAGAATCAAACCCATAAGTGTCGATCGTTGTCACTATTATGAGTCGTCCAAAGCTTGTTGGAGGGGCTGCTGTACGAAGTTGGAACGTGCGTCTGCTTTGCAGGTTTCCGAATGGGAGGGGTAGGGGTAAATCGGCATAGAATGACGAAATTGGGACTATTTGACAGCTGCTGTTCTTTAGTATGGCGTTTAACTATTGAGGTCAAAAGCAAACTCTGTTGATATGGATGGCATGTGGATGTTCGAGATGGGTCGCTTCAGATAGATTCACACTGACGTCAGTCGTCGCTCAATTCGTTTACAAGAGCTTATTACGAACAGTAGAACCATATACAGGACTACGGGAGGTTCGAAAAAGCAAATTTATAAGCTAATCTTTTACAACGGTATTCATGGATGGTCGTAATTGACATCGGAGTGTGGAAAACTTTCTCGCTTTTTGACATTTCCTTCATTTCATGGAGTCCTAACTACTCATGCCCAATTTATTAGATTGGGTAAACGTCATGAATACAATGTACGATGTGATTTCCCCCATTACACCGAATTGCAAAGCCGAAAAACGAAATGCTATCAACGCCAAATCTACGAAGCTGGAGCAATGTCTTTCTTGAGAGTACCCAAGAATTGGTGCTTCTCTGCTGGAGTTTGGTAAGCTCCGTGACCGAACTTGGAGGAGGTATCAATCCATTTCAAGTCAACCTTCTCCAAAGCCTTTCTTGAGGTGTGAACAAACATAGACTTTCGGAGAGTCATGACACGCTTCTTGACTCCAGGAACGGAACCCTTAACGATAAGGAAGTCGTTCTTAACCTCTCCATAACGGACGAAACCACCCATACTAGATAATTGTCAAAACCTGCAATTGTAAAGGATGAAATTCAACTTACGGGGTGATCTGCTTCTTGGAGTGATCAAATTCGGTAGTGGCGTTACCTTCATCAGTTCCCTTTCCGACACGGTAGATCTTGTGGTTAACAGATGTACGGTGATGGTATCCGTCTTGACCAGCACGGGCAACAGTCCATTGGACGTGAGATGGATGCCATGCACCAATACAGGCGACCTTTCGGAGACCCTTGTGTGTTTTTCTCGGAAGCTTCTTGGTACCCCATCTGCTGGTGACACCAGAGAATCCGTGGCCCTTGGTGACAGCAATGACATCGATCATCTCGTCCTGCTCGAAGATGGAGCTGATCTCAACTGGCTTCTCAAAAAGGCCCTTAGCGAAAGAGACCTTATCCTCAACGCTACCACCGTTGACTTGGATTTCCATCAAGTGTGCCTTCTTTTGCTTCAAAGGAGTTTGGCGGATCTGGGTGTGGGCAAGAACACGGACAACGGAGCAGTACTTGGCGATACGAGCGAACTCACGGTCGATCTCGTTCTTTCCGCTGGCATACTTCTTGGCGTACTTAGTGAAGGCCTTCTTCTTGGACTTATACCAGTTCTTGTAGAATCGGCGCTTGAGCTCGTCGCTCAAGTGCTCAGCCCAAACAGTGGTGAGGGAGCGCAGACCACGTGGAGTCTCGATGTAACCAACTAGACCAACAACGATCACCTAAAATAGATGTTAGCCATTGACTCAATTGCCAAGCGGGCTGCATTGTTCGTACTGGTGGTGTCTCAATGACAGTAACGGCCTCAACAACCTCCTTCTTGTGTGATTTCGCTCCGGGTCTGTCAAGATCGCGGACGATTGTGGTCATACCAGCCTTGTATCCGAGGGTGGCAGTGAGATGGACAGGTTTCTTTGGGTCATCCTTTGGGAAGCTTTCGAGGGAGAATTAGCGGAAAATTCGACTTTTATTTTAGGGCGCAATGGTAATGCGGTACCGACGTATCGCAGTCTCGCAGATATCGACGAAGGATTGGGAGTTTACTTACGACTTGACCTGTGAAGGAGTTAGCAAGCTTTTGTACAAGGGAATTGGCAAATTTGTTACGAACCTTTCCTCTATGGCGGGCAGCTCTCTTGCGTGGCAAGAAAGCCAGCGAACCGTGACGTGGTGCCTCGAATTTCTAAAGATATTAGCATTGCGAATATTGAGTTGAATCCCAAACTTACACGGTGGGACATGATTGATTTGCTAGAGGTTAGTTGTGTCGAGGTTCAAAAAAGTTCTCAAGATTTCGCGAAAGACTTCAACTCCAGTGTGGGTGCGCTAGTAATCCTTAGCCGAGTTATCTACTCACGTGACAACTCTCAACATCCACAACATACAAGGAGATCAGTCAGCGAAAACATAGACAATCGTTGCGTCTAGCGTAAATTGTACAAATTCTCGTGATAGGTAATATAACTAGAAGTGGAGAGATGATTTAGTCAATATAATCGACATGTCAATCTACAATTCTTTCTTTGTTTCATCAGACAATTCCAGACCCTGTGTAAATACTGATGCGAGCAAAAGCGTCTACCTGGTACCTAGGTAGGCTGGTACCGACGCTTAAGTGCGGATTTAATTAATGGTGTAGTCAAAATCTACTGACATGATGATTTGTATCTTGTCCGCAGCGAGTCTTCAGAATACAATATCTCAAAGCCACACCAGCACAAAATTCAAATCCTTTTGCCGAGGGAGTTGTGATCGAGTGTGTTTGAAACAAATGCATAACTAGCTAATAGCAAGTTAGAGTCACACACTAGGACAGCGAGGTGATTGGGTTGTTTTAAAAATTTGTTCAATTCAAAACACCATCATTTCTTACACACGAAGAGAACCGCCACTTCTTTATGAACACCTGCCCCGAATTCTTCGTCCCAAATTTTTCGTACTGGGCATCTGTACAAAACCCAACACTCATCAAGCCACACCCAAATTTACATACCAGAGAAGTTTCATCATAATGATCCCCTTGCACGCCGAAAAATCCACACAATGAAAAAAATTAAGCGGAAGCCTCGACCTTGGGACCTCCATTGACGACACCATTTGTGCCGTGACCATTAACAACAGCAGGCGAAGTTGCCTTCACTTCACCTGAGGTAGAAGCTGGGCCGGAACCGGAACCAGAAACAATTCCACCTTTCTTGTCCTCCTCTCCCGAATCATCGTAATCCTCATCGATGTCCATCTTCCTTGATGCTCGTTCGGGTTCACCAACGGGTGGAGGAGGGGCTTGCGATGTTGGAGGTGGCGGACGTTCCATCCGTTCTCTCTCACGTTCGCGCTCTTCGGCTCCATAGTCCTTAATTGCTGGTGGGGCAGGAGGAGGAGGAAGCTCCTGAACAGGAGTTCGTGGTGTATGGGCGGCTGAGGGTCCACCTTGCATTGATGGAAGGTGAGCTTGAGGTAAAGCATGTGGAGCAGGAGGGTGGTGTGCTGCATCTGACGGGTGATAGTTCTCGTTTGCTCGGCGTTGATCCTCCCGACGCTGGTCTTCCATTCTTCTCTGATCTTCAGCGCGACGTTGATCCTCCATCCGTCGTTGATCATCGGCACGACGAATTTCGGAGGAATTGCGACGGAATGGCTCGCGGGGTGGCGTCGATGGCCTTCGGTGGTGCATGTTATCCATGCGAGCTCTTTCTTCTTCAGAAGCAGGCTTTTTCATCGATGGTTGCTCATCTTCCCACTCACGCATCCGCTTCGGGCCAACAGAAGCAGGTCTATCACTGCTGCGATCTGCAGCAGCTTCTTGAGCCGCCATAGCAGATGGTGGCGGTGGGGCGCCACCTTCAATACCTCCTGGGTTAGAAATATCAGGATGGTGTTGCTGGTACGATTGTGGATGTGGATAACCAGTCTTTGGAGATGGCATTCTACTATTCTCAAGAATCGGTCGGACTTCAGCGCGAGGACTATTGCCTCGACCAAATGGTGGGTGAGGCCCCGGGCCAGCGCCGTTCATCTGATTCGGAGCTGGTGGCAGAGTGGACGAACCGGGACCACCAGGACCATTGTAATTTGGATTGGCGACCCGTGGAGGTGGCTGCGGTGGAGGAGGGCCTTGTTGTTGTTGAGGAGGCGGCTGCTGTTGCTGCTGCTGTTGCTGTGGGGGAGGTGGGGGAGGGCCCTGACCTGGATACGGTCCCAAGGGGTGATGCTCACGTGGAGGAGTACGACGAGACAATGGAGGAGGTCCTGATTGGCCAGGTCCATTTGGACCAAGGCCAGGACCCGGGCCAGCTATGCTAGCCAATCCTCCAGGCGGTCCGGGAGGTCCTCGATCAGCTCCTGGACCTGGGCCAGGATATGGACGCATCTGTTGCTCTTGTCTTGGGCTAGGTCCACGAGCGAGAGGTGGAATTGGGCCAGGGCCACGAGCAGGATCCCTTTGGTCATATGGGTTCGCTGGTTGAGGTGGCGGGTTGATTTCAGCCAGACGACTTCCACCCCAACCATTGGTAGGGTTTGGAGGGCCTGATGCTTGTGCTTGAGGAGCCGAGTTTCCCCATTGAGGACCTGGAGGACCGACGGCACCTGTGGCTTGGTATGCTTGTGGATGAACGTCTTGAGGAAGCGGAGCACTGGTTTGAATGGGTACACCACTGCTCTGACCATTACGTAGCAGCTGTAAGCGAGCTTTGATATGGATGTTTGTTGGATCGAGCTCGGCAGCACGTTGATACGCATCCAAAGCATCGTTGATCTGATTGTTGCAAGATTCGTACTGTAAAACGATTAGCCACTTCTGAAACAAAGGCCCGATGAAGCAAACGGAAGCTCACCAAAGTACCCAAGTCGTACCAGACTTCGGAGATGTACGGGTTCAGGCGTATCGCACGGGAGTAAGCATCGAGCGCATCTCGGTACTGGTTGATCTGGTAATACAGAACGCCAATCGAGCACCAGAAAGTTGGATTCCGACCGTCACGATATACTGCTTGCTGATAGGCTTCATATGCTTTTGGGTATTTCTGCTGTGACATGTAGCATCGGCCAAGTAAGTACCAGCTCTGTGCATCAGCTTGGTCTGCCACGTGTTAGCATGTACCATGATGGACAGGTTCTATTTGGTGAGTCTCACCTGAATTGACGGATTTCTCGAGGTACTCAATGGCACGCTCCTGACTTGTGAAGCTGTTACTCTGTTGATGATGCAACCATCCAAGCTGTTGAAGAACCTTTGCATGATTCGGATCCCGGTCGAGTACTCGTACATAGGCTGACTTTGCATTATCGTACTGTGAAATATTAGAAATATTTCGCGACAATATGGGCGGTTGTCCTTACGTCTTTCTGTTGCTCATGAACATGACCAATCTGGAACCAAATATCCTCCTCGGTCAGTGGGGTGGGTGGAACCGATACAATATATCGGAAGCACTGCCCGCGGTCAGTATCAGGTCAGCACGTGTTTCGAATTACCTACCTCAAGACTTTGTTGGTATTTCTGTTGCTGCTTGTAGATTATACCAAGGCGGAAATAGATCTCATTGGCTTTCTCAAAATCTGGCTGCATGCGCATGACTTGCGAGAAAGCTTCCTCGGCGTGTTCCAATGATCCGTAACGATCATAGAGGATTCCGATCCCGTACCACAATTTTGGTTCCTTTTGAAAATTAGATTTGTCAGTCAGAAAATGCATCATGGAACGAACCTTAGGGTCTCTCAAATGGTATAGTGCTTGTTGATAAGCAGAATATGCCTGCTGGAGATCATCCATCATCAGATAGCAGTGGCCTAAGAATGGTAAGCAAACGAAGAATTGGCTGAATCATTGTGATAGCCTACCAAGACTACCCCAAACATCGCCATTATTGCCATCTAGCTTGAGTATGTTTTGAAGATATTCGACGGCCTTGTGGAATTGTTCTTGTGTTCTGAGAATGCAGCTGATCGCATTCATAGCTGGGATAGAGCGAGGATTCGATCGTAAAGCATGTTCGTAAGCTCCAATCGCTTCATCAAGATGTCCTAGTAATTCGGAGAAGCTCCCTACACAATGTCGTTTAGTCCCACGGCTTGTCTATTTGCGAGTCTAGTACTCACCAATTTGTAGCCACACCGCTTCGTTCATGCTTGCCAGTTGCTGCGCAGCTGGCACCGGGAACGGGCCCTGTTGTTGAGGTCCCATACTTGGAGGTGGAGGACCACCAGGAGGACCATGATGCATTTGCATACCTCCTGGAGGCGATGGGTGATGGCTCGCCATTTCGGTAGCTGATCGTTGAAGTTGGCGACGTGGCGCTGGCGATTATTTCAACGAAGCTGGTCTTGCGCACGAATCGCGTCGCATGCGACAAATGGCTTTACTGATTGCCCTCTCGATAAAGTGATGCTCGATTGAATACCGCGTGGTGTTGAGATAACGAGCATGCAGTAAATCTTAAGGTGCGCGCCGAGGCGAGTCGAGGGGCTTCGTGGTCGTACTGTCGAAGCGTATCGCGCCAAACCTCCACACGCTGGAGATATAAATTAAAGTTTCGAGTCGCAGATATACTCGTGTATTTATATGGATGTTCTATTCGTGCCAAATAGAGACGGGGATCGGAGGCGGTGGTCGCGAAGCCGTTTGGGAGTACCAAAGCTGTCCGATCAGGGTGAGATCAAGATTAGAAGGGAGAGAAGAAGTCGTAGATGGGGAAAATGAACGATCCGCCTTTTACTGGACTAACAGTTCACCTTACCCATTTGTTGCTGGGTTTATTCTTTTGGTGTGCCAGACCTTGCAGAGTGTCCGATTAAAATAAAAAGGCGGGTAAGCCGTCAGACGGGGACGCGCTTATGCTGATCGGGCAGTATTTTCTTCGACCCTTGCGCGGGGGTGTGGTCATTACGAGCACATGCACAAGCATCCATACACGGGAACAAGCGGCGCACCACAGGGGTATCAATTGACAAAATACTTTGATTATTGAAACACAATCTTGTTGATTCAAGTAGTCAACACTTGAACGTAGCTTTCGTCCAGTATCTTAAGTTAATTGACTTTGGTGAGTTCCATAGCAAGATATTTTGCATCTGGTTACCTGGATTGTGACTACCTAGTTCACAGCTCACGGACAATCAGCATCGTCAGGGCCGGCCCGGGAAAGAAAGCTGGGAAATCATATGCTTCTAGTCGATGTAATCTTCTACTTACGCCGGCAAGATCACCAGAGCTTGAAGATTGTCTACGCAAAATTGTGAATCTCATGTCGACATAGTCTCCTTTGCCATATGGAGCGACGTCTTCTAGCCCAAGTTGTCTTCTGGCTGACTCCCGTCCCATCACTGCCGACTTGGCAAGCGAACAACCTTCTGAATCTGTTCCCCTTACTCGAGTTGTAGTGCTGACCACAGAAACTCCAAAGAATCAGTCGAGATATGCGTCGCTTAGAAGATGGAGCTGCACTTTGTTCACTGTATACTGTATACTGTATTGCTCTGGTTAATTTGAAGTAGAGAACAAGATAGATTAACATACCTTGTCCTTTACTGCATTTTGCAATCTCATAAAACATAGCACAACAATCCAGATCATTTGCTAGAGTCATGACTTCTGAAACAACTAAGAAGAGAAGTGCAAGTCCTGGTCTCCTAACTCTAAACCATTAATCGTTGATTTCTAATTCGCCCTGTAATCATTTTAGCGGTCATCTCATTCAAGGTACAGTTGAGAGTCTGGGGTATTTGAGCTTCGAATCCAAAGCCGTACGATTGTTGGCATGAGAATGTCCATAATTTCGCATTTCCCATTATTGGGATTGGTCTTACCTCTATATGTTGATTCAAAGTCTCATCATCGGCAGTTTATCCCCTGCTTTTGCTTCGGCCACCGGCCATGTATGACGATATGCTGATCCCCTTCTGAAGTCCAGCCTCATTTTGGCGCCCCCATCCCGCCGCCGTTCACCTTGGCGGAGCCATTTGGCAGCCTAAGCCGGAAAGGCTTTTCTTCTCCATGTTTAGCACCAACCAGATGTGGTTGGGGTGTTCTCATTATTTTCCCAAGGCGAGGAGCGAGGGAAGAAAAGGCTTCTAGCAAGGTTCCAATGAGGGGGTGGTGAGCCGTTGGTTCAGGACCACAACCAGAAAACGACCAGTGTCACACAAAGGCCACAGCAGACAGGAGACGAGGCGACGCAGGAAACACAAGGAGATCTCCGCCGCCATCCAACTAGTCCTGTGGCTCCCTGGTCGCTGGGTGATATCCTCAGCGCTCTCTCCCGCTTCTGTTTGCGACAGCTCTTTCATTCGAGATGCCTCTGTTATTTTCATCACAATAATCATTCATGACCATCAGCGAAGCCGCGAGTGACGAGTTCCACCTGGTCGATCAACGGCGTTCGAGAAGTCGTCTTCATGCAACTCGCAGCAAGCCAGTTATTGCGGTGCAGGCTAATCAATTCTCTCGTTAATCATCCGCCGTCTAAGCCGAAAAGGGGTATATGTCAGACCCCCTAGCCGTGTCCACGCGCTCTTCTGGAGACCGCAGCAACGAGGCAAGAGAGAGGCGTGAGGCGTGTCTGGGCGGGTGGGCGTTTCTCCTCCCACGCTTGACATGCCGTGAGAAATGATGTGCTGCAGATACGCACGGGAAGAGAAGGGTTGGAACTCGTCTCATTTTTGCTCCACCGCTACCGTAAGTGCCACCTTTTGCTCCCACACAACTTACTTTTTCCTTGCAGGTCGCAGTCGCCCACGAAGGGCTCCAGAAATCAATCAAGCATCCAGTGCAGTCTTGTAGAAATAATCTCGCTGCAGTAGTTGAAATGCGCGCAGCGCCCGTCATCTTTTACCAACCCACACGATCGGTGGTGACGGGGGTGCACTCGAGTCTCGCGTAACCAACGACCAACAGGCAGTCAACAACCCCTTCTTCCGGTTCCAAATGGAGACGATCTCCAAGCGTGAACACGCCCAAGCTCACGGTCCTCCTGAGCTTTTCTAAAAATCGCAGGAGTGAGGCTCACACGGCGCGCCTGCGTCCCGCAAGCAAATCATCTTGACGAGTAACCGGACTCAACAGCATGCTGATTGTAACACTCGCTAGGAAAGTCTTACGGAGTTTGTGGCAACCTTTACCAAGGTTATACGACATGAGTCAGGTCCGGGCGGTAAAAAAGGAAACAGATGCTACCTTAATTCTTTCTAGGGTGCTTCGAATCTTCGATGCGGGGAAAGCGTCTGAGGAAGTGAGATCACGATATCGAGAAAGTTGAAACGTGGACTTGGAGCCAATCAGTAATAGATACGTTCCGCTGGAGAGACATGCACAGATTAATAAAGCACGGTTGAAAGCTTTTCAAGTCTTGATCAACGGATCTTCATCGCCCATGCCACGTAGACGGTATCACGTTTCCTCCTTGATGGCAGACTGACTAAGAGAAGGGGCAAAGGTCGAAGCACGAGATCTAATATAACAAGTTGACGCAGTAGCGGAGTTTCCTTCAAGACTTCCAAGTAAGTAGTATTTACTCGTTTCAGGAATCTAACTGAAAAATATTCTGAGAGGTTATCAACACTCTCATATACCACGAGTATACTCATACAAGACAAGAAGCCTTTAGGTAGAGGCCTGAAAAAGATTGCATTCCCACACGGGTCTTAACATTCTACAAGGCGATGTGGTGTTCCTGTTATTTATTAAGCTTTAACAAAAATACTCCTACCGTTGCCGAACCGCCCAAGCCCAGCAATATCTGTGAGGAGAACGGGTTGCTTTTGCACAACATGTCGTTTCAACAGTTGCAGGTTTCGAAATGTCGCCGGGTCTTTGGATCTCTTGGCAAATGACCATGAAATAGACCACGAGTGTGAGTTCAATAACGACAACCTACGACGGGAGTAAGCGCTATGAGGCGAAGTTCTTTTGCACGAATACAGGATTTCTTATAAGGCACCACACAATAGCTTCATGGAGGCAGCCTTCAGAAGAACTCAGAAGTCAGTTCAACGGCATGACTCCCATATTGCCTTGGCTGTCATACAAGCAACCGAGCGCAGCAGTTCGCTTTCATCCCATCTTGGTCATTTATTGTAACAACGAGCTTGGCTGTCGTCTTCTCCTCTTGTGTGCTCTACTAGCAAGAGATGCATACCTCGAAAGTCATCCACCTGCCAGAATTAAATCAATTTATTTTGGCTCAAGTGCGTCGCAAAATCTGAGCTAATGCAATATCACATCACATCACCTCCGACACCAGCGAATAGTGGCATTATCATCACATCGTTATTACTGTGTTTGTGCCGAAGCGACTCTCGCGTGGCTCTTCGGGTTCAATTCTCTGGGCTTTCCTGGCTTCCTCCCTCTGGACGTGGCACGCTGTGGCTGTCAGAATCGACGCATAAATATTGGACCGTTTGCTGCAGTCCCCTGCTCGCTTCGGCACGGGAAGTGAAACTTGTTTGTCCACCACTTTCAGCCCAGATGCCCCGGTGGATTCAACCGGGGCAGGAGGGTGATTTCGGAGATATATTCACACGTGATATATGTCGTGCAACTGAGCTCCGAATGTTTGTATGACATTGGGAAAAGGGACACGACAAGAGTTCAAAAAATCGGATAGTCGAATATGACTTCGATATGCATCATCAGTCGGCAAGACTTCCGAAATAGAGTTGCAAAGTGCAATCTCCCGTGATGATCCACGTGCCGAAAGGTAGGCAAGAGTTCACGATACTTCAAAGTAGAAGGTGAGAGGCATCTCCGACCATCCTTCAAGGTAAGGTACAGCCTCGAATCTCACTCTATACGACTTGCAGGGCAGCTCCAAACCAACTGGGTACCTAATAACGTAAATGATCCTTCTGTCATCATCCTAACTCTCATGTGGGTCATACACTACCGAAAAGGAATCCCTCCAGATCCAGCCTCAACCACCATGAGAACTTCAACAATACCCGACGTCCATCCAGCTTGGGCTTCAAACGCTCATATGAGTCGAACAGTGGAATTGCAACCGACAAACACGCCATGCGAGAGATGATGGCGGATACTTGCCTTGAATCCAGACACGCAGAGCACACTGCGCCCTCGCTTCAACACAAAGATTACAACATGGTCCGTACCCGTCACACGTCGCACCGAGGATGCATATGTACGCAGTATATATGTCGCCTGCCGAATACATGTACAGTTACAGTAGGGTACATACTGTACAAGTACATACCAAGTACAAGACATGCAAAACGACCCAAGCCTCGTAGGCTTATCTGACCCTGCACCTGCTATGCTCCGAACGATAGCAACCGGAACATATATTTCCTCGCCACACCACAACCACACCCTTTCCTTTCTCCCCTGGCTGCAGGTCAGCGGGGGGATACCTAACCCTCTTTTGTAGACCGAGATTTCGGGCTCCAATGACCAGTGAAGTGACACCTATCTGGCGCCCGTTTGGAGGTCATTAATGATTAATCCCACCAAAGCACACATGTTTGTTGGATGTACAGTACCGGATTTCGCTCAAGCAGGTAACGCCGTTTCATCCCTCGCCCGGCTCATTGTCCATTCTTCGGGTGCACGATCAGATTTCCGCGAGACATGATGTGAGTCGTTCCGTCTTGGTTTGCTTGTGTGGTGAGACATCGAAGAATTCCATTTTCAAAAGGAATGCCATTTCCACGACTCTGGTACCTCCGGTTCAGCAAGCCTCATCGTTCGGTTTTCAGCTTACATTTTCAAAAAGAACTTCTGCGATGATGTTTATTGGCCCTTAATTACCCATTCTCCCCATGGACGATATGAGTGGTGGGTAGGAACACCATATCCATTCAATTCTCTTGGATTTTTAAAGCCTCATTAATTCTAGCTACGACTCGGGAAGTATTATAATTCAATGGAAACCGGAATTTTTCAATGAAATTTACGAGCACTTCCCCCGTGCACCACAGACCACGCAAACCACAAGTTCATATGTGGTAAGCCACATTGATATCAGCCTGGAACCTTTTAAATTGAAAGAACCTTTGACTCGATCCCAGATACAGCGAGACATCTATTGTTCCCATTATCTAATAATTACTACCTCAACCCACCCAGAAAAAGAAGACTTTTCTACACTAGATTTCTTTTTCTAATCCAGATAGCTGCTCAAACATCTTCGAACAGTGCCATGATCCGAAAAAGTGGTCCTTCGAGAGCTCCACTGATTTTCAATTCCTGGAATAAGCACAGCAGTCCATCCAGTCTCTACAACGTAGTGGTATATGTTCTGTACTCCAGATATCTATTTTACTCTAGCCAGATGTTGTCAGACATCAATCTACAGGGTAAGATATAATTCGTTATCCGCAGGGATTTTAGAGGAACATGGAAGAGGGCACACCTGAAGGATGGAACTTGTTGATGTAAATAGCACATTTTCTCGTTATAGTCTAGCGTGCAAGTTCACGATTTGACAGATCGAGAGAATGTTGAGGTATAACACTATAATTTAACAAATATGCTAGTTCCTAGAGTTGACACCATGTCAAAGGTAGATATGCTTTCTCAAACCACGGGTCAAAGCGGATGCATCCATATCACAAGCGCACAGTAAAAGCCTAGTATCAATGATCGCTGTTGGTTCGAACTCAAGTCTATCTAAACCATTCTAATCCACACACATGCATTAATCTTCCAACGCTATCCGCTCATATCCAGGTACTGCGGCTCTCATGGCGCATCACGCTTCCACCATCCCAAAACTATATGCAACTGGTCTCCCAGTCTCGCTTATCGGTATTTGCTCTGTTCCTTGACCTCATGTATGAGTGTGGACTCGACTTCTACATGCCTCGGCGGCAGTAAGTTGGCATACTCGATCGGCACGCCGTGTGGGCGGCATAGACCTGCGGTATGAAGGAGGCGAGGCACTTGCGTGCCCGCTCTGCATTTCGTGGGGCTCGTGAATGTGTTCACCACGTGCAATGTCTTCATCGTCGGAAGTTGATGATGGCAAGCTGCTGCTGATTAGCGACCAAACATTACAATAGCGGGAAAGATGAGTAAACTTACCGAGTTGCCAGCACCATAAGCAAGCTTCTGACCATGAGCATCCCAAGATAGAGAGTATTGGTTCTCATCACCAGCAGAATCTTGAGACATGGGTGTACGCCAGCCCGATTGATCACTCCGAAGCCAACTCGCTTTTGGTGCAACCGGATCGTCGACCTTCCAAATGAAGATTCTATCAGTTGTACCAGCAGCTAGGAATGCACCGTCCGGCGTGAAAGCCAAAGACACGACTGCTGAGCCCATCGTCATCGATCTAGGTTTCGAATCGGTAGAGCGAGCGTTCCACATGCTGATAGCTCCATCCTCGCCACTGGATACTAGGAGTCGTTCTGATTCTTCGCCAACGGCGACAGGGAAAGGCAAAGGCTGCCAGGCTAGAGCGGTAATGTTTCCTTGGTGAGCGTCAAATGATTGACACCGCCCAGTAGGATCCCAGATCTGTTGAATGTTAGTACGTCCATGAACAACATCTTCTGCAGCACTTACATCAATGGTACCCGTCTCGCTAGCTGTAGCCAACAACTCAGACCGCCAGTCGTATGTAATTTTCGCAATAGAATGGCCTTCTCGGGTTTCGAACTTTCTTGATGGCGAAATGACAGACTCTACGCAATGCAGTCCTTGAAGTAAGTCTCCGCCACTGATCACAAACTCCTCATTCGAGGTCCACACAGCATCGAGTACCTGTTCGTGCAGGTTGTGCTGAGGTAAAATATATTTAATAGCCTCATCGTTGGTCGGGCTCATAATGGTGACGACAGTCTCAGTCCCTCCTTTATCTGGTGATATCGACAGACATGCTGTGTTTGAAGGGTTCCACCGAAGACATATGATTGGCGACTCGAACGTATTAAATGAAGCAAATGGTGAGCCTTCAACCGTCCAGAAGTCGATTTTTGCGGTTCCATCATCAACAGGTTCACTTGATACTGCTAAACTTGCTCCATCGCTGGACCATGCGAGTCCCGTGACAGTCGTCGTAGGCGAGGCGCTGCCAGGCAATAAGCTGTGATGAGGTTGAAATTGAGGCTTTCCCCCCTGCGCATCTGGCTCTGAATCGGCCGCCGTACGCTCAAGGGTCCACATGCGTGCTAGTGCATCGGTACCCGCAGCTGCCAAGATCTTTGGATCTCGCGGGTTCCACTCGCACTGCAACAAAACCGCATTTCTCGAGGCCTGGTCGTCTGACAGTTCGAGGAAGACCGTTTCTGTCGAGAGTTCGTTGACTTTGTCAATCTGTGTGCCCTGTTCAGGACCAACTGTGGCCACAACGGGAGATGGCAGCTGCTCCGGCGACGGATATGCGTGCTCGTCGCCGTTCTGCTCCTCATCTACTTCCATAGCATTAGCATCAAAGCCATTTTCGTAGCCATTGCTCAGACGTGGTCGCTTGGGAGGCGGACCATTGCTCATAGCAGGCTGTTCGTTGTCGATTTGTCGTTTTCGGACATTTTCGAAATCCTCGTCGTCAGCTGGTGCTGCCGAAGTTGACGATGTTGGCGTTAAGGGACCAAAAAACCCGGTCACCGCTACCGCATCGCCTTCGGCGGTTACCTGTGCAATGCATCAGCATTGAATGAAATTACTAACATCATTAGCAATTCATTGAAGACGTGACATACCTCTGCAAGTTCTCTGTCGATTGCAGTGTACACCAGGCCTCTGTTGAGGAGGACTACTAGTGCATGATTCGGTACGTGGGGCGCACATGAGAGTGACTGCGGATCTTGGACGTTCCACTCCTTTTGGAGGCGGACAGCAGTCTCTTGATAACCTGATGAAATTGCTGTTAGGATAGAAAAGGGGGAAGGAAGGACAACATCTCCTGTCGAGATGAGATGGGTTGTACACGCACCTGAATCTATGAGGTATCTGTGAGCAACAATTGCCGTTAGCGAAAAGCACCTCATCACTCCACGTTCGTCCTGTACCTGAATTCCACGCAGGCGGATCACGGGGAGAATCACGTACCTCCAGATCATGTAATTGACTCGATCCGAGTCGAGCGACTCCTTCGTCATGGTTGCGGTGCGCGTACCGATGCAGATGGTGGTCTTGCGGGTGAGGGCCTGGGGATATCGTGGGTTGAGGAGGTGCAGCTGTATTGTTGTATGTGTGAAGGTTTTGGATGTGGAATGAAGAACCAGGTGTCGGATGGTAGGTCGGTGTCGGTAGAGGAGGACGCCAAAACAGACACCCACCCAGGAGCCCACACCCGAGATTCTCAGGCAAAGGAACAGCAGAGAGCAGTTATTGACCAGCGATGGTGCGGGATGAGATGTGGAGACTTTCCAGCAGGACCAGCACGCTCCAGATTATAGTAGGCGAGCACAGGACTGGGACTGGGAGGTTTGGGGATGCAGGGCAGGCGCCGGAGGCGAGAGGACAAGAGGCTGCTTGGTGCTGCTGGTGCTGCTGTTTGGGCTGTTTGTTGCTGCGAGTGCGAGAGCCAGATGAGACTGCAGTCCACTAAGTCCAGTGCCCACAGTGACCAGTCGAGCAACGGACCGGGGTAAAGGAGGACGTTCCAGGGCCTTTTCGAGCGTTGATTCGTGGTGGTGATTGGCCAGACAGGGCTGAATTTGCGTGAACGGCGCTGTGGTGGAAGGGTGGAAGGGTGGAGGACGGCGCGCGGTGGTGCATGTGGTACAGAACTCCGTACTGATTTAAAGTGGATGCAGATGTGTGGGTAGGGCCCGAGAGGGGGACGAACCCAAGCCAAGCTACCCGCGAAGCGTCAACAGAACTTGACCTTGATAATTCGAAATGCACCAATCTGTACAGCACGCTGGGGAGAGATGATCTGGCGATCACGAAGGTACCCCGTTGGATGATATTTTGATCCTGCTGCTCTGCTTCTGCAAGTGCTCGATGGCCCTCAGGGCTGTTCTGGCTTTTGCCCTGCGTGTGTAATGCTGCTGCTTGGATGGGTGGAACGGGACTCTTCCCTTTTTAGCCCCGACCAGGAGATCGACGCAGTGCAAAGGCGCTACCGGGCCTGTCGAGGCGTCCGATCTGCCAGTCTGGCAACCAAACAAAAATCCCGGGGCCCGCAGCGTCGAAATGCTGGAGAATCTGCCAATGACACCACGGGGGCCTGGCGGGGGTATATATTCAGACCTGCCGGCGGTGACAACGTTGACAACGTTGACAGCTGCAACAGCTTAACCTGCGGAGATATGATTGCTGTTGATGATGATCTAAGGATGCCGTTTTCACGATCATGTCCTGCTTAGTCTGCAGACAGACTCACAGAGGTTGCACGTCGTAGTCGTACGGAACGGGAGCGGAGAGTTTGAATTCGGGTTTCTGGTTGAGGTGCTGGATCAGGGAAGGACTACAAAGCGTGGCGTTTCGCTGGACTCGGCTGTGATGACGGCTTTGTGTTATATTTGTGTGTCTGGTGAATCACAATCCAGCCCGCTACTGCGACGAACAGTCAAGTGAGACTGTGAGACGGAATCGTGTGCTGCGAAGAAGATGTGGAGACGGGCGGTTGAGTGGTGGTGCCAGTACAGTAGAACATGCGGCGACGGTGCAACCGTTTGAGATATTCGCAACGCGCGGGAATAGAGATATATGGATATGGAGTCTTGCTCGTAGGTTTCGAACTTAGTAGAAGTGTACGACGAATACTCGTACCGTCATCTCAACTCTGCCTCTGCCCCTTCTGTCGGTGGGTGGTCGATTGATTGCGAATGAAACCGACATGGTTGTGACGAGCCTGGCTTGGCTCCGATGGCCCCAAAGGTTTTAGCCACATGGAAAAATAGAAATCGTCCCTGTTGGGACGTGTCACCCAAACGAGGAAAGCGGAGCGCAATCGAAGCTTAAACTCAAATCACGTGGTATTAAGGAACCTCGGCTGGATACTTTATCTGAGCCAAGCGCCGGCATATTTGGATATTTGAAGACTCTGTTACGGATCGTGAATCCTGCAGTCAAATAGACGCGACAACCAATTCCATCTCGCTCCTAATTTTGGTGTCAGTCTGCGGGTAATGGAAATCATAGCTTCCAATGTTCCAGAACCACCAGAACGGAGCGCCCCGTTCAACTTCCGTCACCTGCGGCTGCAGCGACCATGCATGCCCCTATTGGCCTCAGGTGTGAACTATGATCTGGCCAATGCACGACGACCGACTGTTTCGGGAAGTGTCAACATTTCTCTATTGAAACTTTTAGAGGGAGCGCCGTAGTAGACAAAGGATTTCGCTCGACATCCGCACCCACGACACCATGCCTACAAGGCTTAACATCCCTCCGATAACTCGAATTGTCCTCGGTGTGTTGATCTTCCAGTCGCTGCTGAGCGGTGCGATCCGCTATCGACAATGGTCTGGGAATAGCGACGTGGTCGTCCCTTACCTAGCGCTGATACCACAGCTTTCCCTGATATATCCGTGGACCTTCTTGACGACTACTCTGGTGGAAAATAACATATTTACATTTGCGATCGCGGGGGTGACGATATTCTACGGAGGCAGATACTTGGAGAGAGCTTGGTCGGGCAAGGAATTCGTCAAATTCCTGGTTGTCGCATCCTTGGTGCCGAATCTTTTGTGCTTCGGAACTCTGGTGTTTTTATTTGCTGTCACTGGAAACGTCGATTGGACGTAAGTAGCCAGCTTGTAAAAGTTATAGCACATTACTAACGGTTCCTCAGATTGACCTCCGTAAATGGCAGCATTCCGCTCCAGATAGCTTTCTTAGTCGCCTTCTCGCAACTCCTACCTTCCCATACGGTTACTCTTTTCAAGGGCATTGTTTCCCTGCGAGTGCCTCGATTTCCTCTCATCCACATCATCACAATATTCGCACTATCGCTTACACCCCTCCTAAGCTCCGCATCCCTACTGTTAGCAATCAATGGCTTCTTCGTTTCATGGACATACCTCCGATTCTACAAATCTGCGTTTGCAGACCTCGAGGCTCAACAATCAACGCCTCTACGAGGTGACGCGAGCGAAACCTTTGCGTTCGCGGAATTCTTTCCAGATCCCGTAAAACCAATCATCGCGGGGATCTCAGACCAAATTTACACGATTCTCGTATCATTCAAAATATGCACTCCCTTTTCGGCGGCAGATGTGTCTGCATCTAGGGGCGAGACGATAGTACAAAGAGGAACACCAGGAAGTGCTAGGGCGGAAGCAGAGAGAAGGAGAGCATTAGCATTGAAAGCGTTGGATCAAAGATTACATGCCGCGACAGCCGCAACATCAAAACCAAAACCTCCCCCACCAGCAACGGGACCTAGTGTACAAATACAGCCTCAGCCACATGTTGAGACATCAGGGTCAATGCTGGGGGAAACAAGCTATGTACCAGACCATGAGGGGGATAAACAGTGAAGTTCTGCGTCGGGAGCCTTAGGAAAGCGTTAGTCGCGCGACTGTCTGACTAGAAATATGAGCTTGTTTGGAGATAGGTTTGGCGCCGTTTGAATTTACAAACACTGGGGAACGGGGCGCTTGCAGCTATTGTCCTTTGTATATCAATATTCATGATACCCAATTTCTATCTCAGAACTGTTGTATAGCATTTCCCGGATCCGCGCTACTTGAATATCCTATTGTATGCCTCGTGTGTATAGGACTTTTGACTTGGCTGAAAATCTTACATTTTACGTCTATTGTAACATTTCTGATGTAGTGAGAGGGCTGGTTTAAAAAAGCCTTCAATTGCATTTATACTAGATATTCTGAATACTGCTCCTTACGGGAGCCTCTCGAGCTTTAATATTTCTATAAAATAATTCCCATCCGTGTCTTCGACTTAACAACTGTACCAGGCTTGTACTCCGTCATCTTTAACCTCCAACCAGTCATAGCGTCAAAACTTCATATTCGTATTTCGGAACCTTGGATTTTAAGACAAGATCTACTTGAAGATCAACACGAGAATCTAAATATTTGTGAGCGTCCCGGGTTTTGATGATGGGAGATGCATGACAATGTAACTTATTCAAGGGTTGAGTTTATGATGAATGAAATGGCAGTCTCCAGTAGGGTATTAGTGTTTCGTTCTCGGTGAAGTAATTTGTGAGTTGGCTACACTGATAGATGAAAATAATGGAAATTGTTATGTGTTGTGGTCAAAGGCAAGTCTACTCACCTCGCACAATTAATCCTTTCCCTTACTAAACTCCTTTTTGGATAACTCCTTTCGTTGTTCCTGATATTTCGGCGGTATAATTGTTGTTCCCATCGAACCTAGATCCGAAATTTGTGGCTTTGGACTTAAAGATTTCACATTCTACTGATGCTAGATAGGCAGGCTCACCATATCTTATGGACAAAAAAACGCAAAGTGAAACATGTAGAATGATATGTAACTTTTACCCCATATATCCTGAGACCAATCAATTAGCTACAAGGTGTGGTAATAGCACCAACTTGAAAGAGGGATCTTCTGTGGCTTCTTGCGAACTTGTGTATAAGTACTATTGTGTCCCAGTCGGTAGTTGGAGGAGAGGATCAAGTGCAGTAAAGTTTTCGTTCAAATTAACTATGAAGGAGTAATTTTGTCAGCAGTTCTGGGATACTCACCTTAATCAAATGATTTCGTGCTGTTGTGTAATACAGAAATTTGTGGCAACTAGCTTTAGAGGGAGAAGGTTGTTGGACAAGTTTGACATGCGTGGTTTAGGTATGTGAGAGAGTGAGAGATCATAAGCTCAGTTTGATTGAGGTCTATATTCTGCATTTCTTGAATAACGTACTGACAACATTTTTTTGACAATCAAAACTCATACTTTGTTATGAAATACTGCTGAGTACAAAGAGCACTCTGCCATGTCATCCATCTTCTTGAGCGCCCTATGCTGGGATGGAAATTGAAGAATAGTGATAAAAAAGGCTCCTGAATTCTAACTACCAAGAATGAGGGTATGAAGGTTCAGTAGATCCTGCTGCCGTAGGATTCGTCAGAAATAGAAGGGCACGAGTACCAGTACTGGAATCAGGATAGCGGTATCCTCTCTAATTCGAGCAATCGTTACAAAGTCCTCTTCACCTCCATGGCATCTTCGCTTGAAATATGCAAAACTGCAGTCGCCAACCATGGATTTTGCAAATAATATGTCAATGTTAAGTGGGAGATTTATGTGCTAACATTAACAGAATTCATATTGACAATGGTCAATCCTACCGCCTGATAGTCAAAACTATAAGGACACTGAGATGTTGTGCAGAATGAGATATCATGAGCAACTCACTCTGTGCAAACACTTGACCTAGATGGGAAAGGGGAGAAGAAGAGGTTCTGCTGGAGACCTATCTACCATCTCTGTGATTCTTGCATGAAGAAACAGCCAATATGCTAGTCTCATTGCGACAGAATGCCAAAGGTTCTCCCACCAGGTGCATGTTGATAAAGTCAAACTTCGTTTTAGGATGAGATCTCGGATGAGATCTAGGATGCTCACTTGAGCGTTGATTGAAAACCAATAAAGTGGATATCAATATCGTGCTTGTAAATGCAAAGCCGTTGTACGGACATCCGATGCGCCAAAGGAGGATGATGCTTGAAACTTTTCAGATCTGAAATTTAATGGAAACCAATTGTGGAATTCTTGATGGGATGGAGACATTGGATGAACAAGTCGGTTGTATGATGGTAGCCTGAAATAGGTCAGAGAAGAGACCAAGAGAAATCAGATAGCATCAGGAAATTTCGAGGGAGCTTATGTAGATGGGAATCTTCAAATCTTCATATGACCCTGCAAGAGGGGCCAGAAAGAAGTGAGAGTATCTTTGGTAACGCGTAGTATCCGTGATGATTTCATTTATATTTGCATACACGATGAGTAACTTGACGTCTTCTGTCTTGAACGCAATACTGTACTTGACATACTTATTGGACGTTGCACGTCGTAGCATTGTCATGATCAAGGCAGTGAAGGTCCACTTCCTGGGATGTCTGGAGTTGGATTCTGCGGAAAACTTGGAAGAATCAAGTTGCGACGTGCAACATACGCTCGATTAGGTTTGGAGAGGACTATATGATGTATTATGTTTCTCAGACATGTGAAGTTGAAATAGAGTTGAATTCCCTCTCTACTTGCGGAGAGTATATTCAGTGCGATGATTCTTTGGCGTTGTTGGTGTTGGTCCATTCTTCAACCACGTTGAATGGTTTGATACGTAGCGGTAAATATCGGCCCCACCGAGAAGTGGATAAGGCGCCGACGAGATTGCTGTATTTTATGCCCGCAGAAAGGGGTGTCTGGGAATTGTCCAGGTCGTGCTTTTGTCCATGTATGAATGAACCACTCGAGTATTGGTGATACCGATGAACTTGCAAGATAAAGATAAGTACCTTCAGTGTTGATAGTTTGAGAGTTCCTAGAATTCGTGGGTGTCGTCATTTCCCAACTGCACTGCCGCAATCTGCCCAGGGGGACTGCACGTTGAGTTTCCATCCGCCGATGTCCCGATAGGAGGCGCTTCGTGGCTTGATATTTATAGATTTTGCCAGTAAATACGATGTACGAAACCGAAGCGGTGGAGACAGGCGAGTGCTGACAGAACGGTTGAGATGGATGTATCTCATGGTGATTAAGTGTTGCGAAAGTCTTAAGGAATTTTAATCATATCCTGTCGTGGTAAAGCAACCCAAGAATTGGAACAACAGCAGGCCAAGCATGCTTGTCAGGGGCAAGAAAATAGACGATGCAATCTGTTCCTGAGTGGGTAATTCCCCTGAGATTGCGATTTCTAGACAATTTTCGGTTTTGTGGTTCTATCTCTATCATTATTACTACTGTACCGAGATGCAATTGTTGTTTCTTAGAGAATTGGGTCTCTTTCGGCTTCATAACTATTCTGAAGTCCGACCTGATCCATGGATGCTAGTGATACGCAACTACTGTACCTAGTAGATTGGTGTCGGTGCGGACTTCGTGCTGTGCAGTCTCTTTGATAGTCTCCACAGGGTCTTGTGGCCGTGTTTATTTTGAAGTATATGCACCGGACCGGTTGTCTCTTGCTTAGCTACAGGAAGGGCAATGAAGATGTAGCGACGGTACTCCTAGCAAACACGAGGGATCCAGAAATACGACGACTGGTGAAGTGGTGATGATTGAGTTTGCCTCACGACGGAATCCTCAGGATATGGTAGAGCCGACGTCCAGCCGTGGGAGTGATTGGAGATGTACAGACCTCAGGAACACAACGTTTCAAAGATAGAAGCAGTCTCTGGAAATTTAATATCGAAGTATATGTGATTCTTCCCGTATGATTGTATTGATAGAATGATATACTGTACAGCACTTCCACGTCTACACCAACCACTCGCCTCTTGCCCCTTCGTCCAAACGCCGAAAGCTCGTCGCTCTGAGTCTCTTGCCCCTGGACCAGTGGATCAACACTGCTAGCGACCAGCCCCCATGTCGCCCAGCGAACCTTGAATCTCCTGCTGCTGAGCCTGAACCTGCACCTGCGAATCTCAGATGCCCCCGTTCCCGTGCCTCGCAGTCGTTGTTTCGCCTGTGCAAGCAGAACTTTGACTTTCTCCTGGCCTGCTCTCCTCGTCTCCTCTCCGTTCTCGTCCTCCCTCTTCTGCTCGCCGTTTCTCAAAAGGCACTCCAACTGCTTGCACCTGCCCCGACAAATCATCCATCTCGTTTCGAAGTCGTCGACTATTCTTCCGGTCCTCACGGTTGCTCTTGCACCCTTTTCCTGCCACGATATCTCCCTATCCCGATTCCGACCTTCGACCATCAATTCGTACGATCGACCACTCGTTTTTGGGCAGCAGCTCCTCACCCGCGAACCGCAGAACTTTGGATACACTCGCCGCAGATTTCATCTCACTTCCCTAGGCGAACTTTTGGATTGTATATCCATCAATTGCGTGCCACCCACGCGCAGACGACATTATAGAGGAGCAACAGCGTTGCGGTGGTGCGATTGCCAGGGAGGTTGTCAAGGACGGAGTCCCTCTTGCTGTCTCTACCTTGCCTTTGACCTCCTCGCTTCCACGCACCATTTCACCACCTCCTCACCTCTCATCTTATTATATCCTTTGAACACATTCGACGGGATAAATACGCTCGGCCCTCTGTGAACGAAACTTTCATTACGAACAAAACGCCTGCTATGGACGGATCCGGGGCGCCAAAACGACCACCACATATAACAGTTAACTCGGGGAGCGGGGGAAATCTAATCGAGAGCATGCGATCCGCAAGCTCAGCGTCGTCCGTTCCAGGGACACCTGGAGCGTCACGCAATTTATTAACATCCACGACGAGACCTGGAACCGCTCGAACGCACACGGGACAGTCAAGTTTATACGCAACTCCAGAAATCGCGGCTTCAGCGGAGATGTTGCTTCCGCCAGCAAAGGCACGAGGTCCAAGACCGTATTCAGATTTCGATAATTCGTCACGGAATGTATCTGGCATGTCCTCAAGAAGGACGAGTTTTGATTCAGAATCGGCTAGCAGAGACAGTCGTTATTCGCCATTCGCGTCTCCATTCGATGATTCAAGAGCCCCCTCAAGAGCGGGGAGCGACGATGACAACGTCAATACCCAAACCGTATCTGAGAAATACAACATCATGCCATCCGCAGGTCTTTTACTGTTTCCTGAAGACGTGGAAAAGGATGACTGGTTACACAATCCTGGCCCGAATGATAATGATCGAGAAAAATGTGATATCTTCACCAAGAGAGGAATGACGAACGTGGGAGGACTTATGTTCGTCACTGTTGGCCTATTAGTTTTGTTCATTGCTTATCCAATTCTGTACGTTTTAATGCCTCTTCGTTGAATTCATGCGCTAATGATGTTAGAACCGCTGTCAAAGCAGTTGCACCCCCTCGAACCGAATGTGAAATCAACGCCAACTGCCTCACGGATCAAGCGCCTGCGATGAAAAACCTGAAGCTGACTTTGATTGACCCCGCTACACCCGATGCGGAACGTACAAGAACGAATAAGGATGGAAAGACCTTAAAACTGGTGTTCTCTGACGAGTTTAACACTGCTGGAAGGACGTTCTACGATGGCGATGATCCTTACTTTCAAGGCGTGGATATCTGGTATGGTGTGACACAAGATATGGAGTGGTATGATCCGGATGCCGTTTCGACTGGAAACGGGACTCTTAATCTGAAGATGGACGCTTTCCAAAGCCACAACCTCAATTACCGGTCTGGCATGTTGCAGTCATGGAATAAGCTTTGCTTCAAAGGGGGGCGACTAGAGGCAAGCATATCTCTTCCTGGCCGAGGAGACACTCAAGGTTTCTGGCCTGGTTTCTGGGCTATGGGAAATCTAGGACGCCCTGGTTATCCTGCGACAACGGATGGTCTTTGGCCATACAGTTATTGGGATAAGTGCGATGCCGGAATCACTGCAAATCAAAGCGCACCTGATGGAATAAGCTTGTTACCCGGAATGAGGCTTCCCGCATGTACGTGTGCAGGCGAAGACCATCCAACTCCTGGGAAGTCGCGGTCAGCGCCCGAAATTGATGCGCTTGAAGCCAGTTCTGGCTTCATAGGACCCGGGCAATACGACTTGGCTGTCGGGACAGCTTCTCAGTCCTTCCAAGCAGCACCATTCGACATTTTTTATCAGCCAGACTACGAATACTTGGAGATATACGATAAGCAGATTACCGGAATGAACGTCTACCGTGGAGGTCCATACCAAGAGGCTTTGTCTGCCGTGACTTGGCTCAATAACGAGTGGTATGATGGTGCTGCTTATCAGAAGTATGGGTTTGAGTACACGCCTGGCAGTACCGGCAATATCGATTGGTTCGTTGGGGACCAATATACCTACAAAATGGACCACCGCGCTCTCCGTCCTAACGGAAATATTGGTCAGCGAATCACACCAGAAGAGCCTATGACCATCATTGCGAATTTTGGCATGTCAATGAGTTTCGCTCAGGTGTTCCTACCCAACTTGGCGAAACTGATGCCAGCAACCATGAGGATCGATTACATTCGAATTTACCAAGATCCTGACGCAATTTCTGTTAGTTGTGATCCACCAGGATATGCAACCACTCCATACATTAAAAAACATGCAGCTGTGTACAACAACCCGAATTTGACATTATGGTAGGTAGTTCTGACGAATTTTAATATGATCATCTACTAACTATGGTTTAGGAGCCAGACTGGTAATACATGGCCTAAAAACACACTGGTCAACGGTTGTTCGGCGTAGACTCGAGCGAAGTTCCCGAAACCTGTATAAACGGAGCACCTCCCACTCTCGACAATCAGAGTGGTATGAAAATAACGCATGAAAGAATATAGAAGGCGTTTATCAAGTTCAATTATTTCGAAAAATCACGGTTCTAATTAAATGCATAGCGGAGTCGGCGTTCAAACACACAAGATGCAACAATAGTTTTGATTTTTATCTTTGCATTCATCCCGTCACTTTGTATTGGCTGGCTAGCATCTCGAGCGGAGTTTCATTCTTGTCCTTAGCCATTCCACGACGGTGGGAGTACTGGCATATGTTTTTTTTTGTACAATACCATTTGCTCTTGCGGATGTGATTATCTTGCTGGAATTGAATTTTAGATGGGGGAAAACGAACGGGCTCGACTCTTGACGAGCGAAGTCGACATGGTATCATAAAGACGCAAGTTCTTTCGGCTGTATATTTGAGGGATAACTGGGAAAGGCCTCGTCAGTAAACATAGACAGGCTATAGGAAGGTGGTCAGCAAACAAGGAGGACATAGATGTCTGCTGTCACCATAGGCTTCGGGGGGTGTAGATAGTGCATTAAAATGTGGTAGATAGTAGTAATACCAATAAATATGATGACTTAGATATAAGCATTTCTTGACCCTTTACTTCCCAACAAGAACTCAACTAACTCTGAAATTGACAGTCAATGCTCTTTGGACTTACATCGACTAGATTAAAACATTCAGGCTTCATCTCGCCACCGTTCAATTTAGCATTGAGAAAGAAGATACTGTCGAGCCCATGTATGTTGTTGATAAGTCGCCAACTGTTAAACACTAATATAATGTACATCAAGGCGAGATTTTATAACATACAGTCTCTAGATACATCTGTGCTCCGTGGTTTCCCATCACTTTCGTCTTTCTTCTTCTCTCCGAATTAGTGTCCTCGAGTGGGTAGTCCTAGATTCGTGTACGGCCCCTCTCGGCACACGAAAATCTTGCTGATATTACAAATTCGATATGTACAAGTGTGCCATCTCGTCAAAGGCCCATTTCCAGCCTGGAGCCCGATACTCCTTACAACCAAATACATTGTGGTTTCTGCTTTTCCTATTTGGTTGTGGCCTTGCTCTTGGATTCCCAAGCCGTGGTTTCGACTGAGAATGTTGCGTTGCGGTCGCGGCAGCTGCGTGGATTTTAGTAGATTTCGTGAGAGCGTGATGGGTTCGGGGAGGGGAGAGATAAAGCTGGGCTTTCGGGATATGGGGGTATGTGAGAAGTCGTTGAAATTGTGACTCGTGCATGACCAGACCACATCTCGACAGCCTAGCCCTACCACCATCTCACCCCCATCTGATCTCCCTCCCAATCAACAACAAACCAAAAACAAACATACCGTCTAAAAAACCTCTCAACAGGCCAACACCTCACAATCGCATCACCTTTCCTCCTCATCCCGCCCGCTTTTTCATCAACAGAGCATTCATACTGTAACATTTCGAAAAGCTCACATCGGCTGAGATCGCCATCGAAATCCTTCCGTTTCTTGTTCGCGAGCGTGGTTTGTGCTTTTAGGGGGAGTAAGGAGGGAGGGAAGAGTTCTATTGGTGGTGCCATTTTGGGTGTGAGTTGAAAGGGGAGAAGTGCGAGCGATGGAGGGCAAAATAATTTCAAGTACCGAGATCGCGGGACGGAGATTTTTAAAGGCGATTGAAGATGAAGAAGAGACTTTAGAAGATGTAAGATCCCTCTCCCCCATTTCCCATACAAACATAAACACCCTAATCCCCATCATCACGTTTCGTCAGCTGACCCACCCCCAGCTCCTCACCTCCCTCCGTAACGCCCACCCCTCCACAACAGCAACCTCTAAAACCTCTATCCCATCCCTCGACAACCTCCTCAACGCCCATAAAACCCTCTCCCTAACCGGCCGTCCCCTCCCCCTAATCTACCACCTCATCACCACGCTAATGACCTCCCTCCCGCCAGCAACACTAGTAATAATAGACCTAACCCACCGCTTCTCGCCGTCGCATCTCCTGCCTGCGTTAAGCGTAGAGGAGTTACGACATATCCATGTGTTCCGGGCTACGAAAGGGAATTTGGCGGCTACGGTTGCGGAGGTGGAGCGATATATGGTTGGGGGGAGGCATGGGAGTGGGTGGAGGGTTTGGAGGGGGAGTGTGGTTTTAGGGGGGAGTGTGCCGGCTGGGGGACTGGGGGATGGGTTGTTGGTTAGTACGGGGTGGAGGGGGTGGTTGAGGGTTGAGAGGGAGGAGGTGGGTGGGTTTGGGTTGGGGGGGAGTGTGGAGGAGGCTTGGGGGGGAGAGGGGAGAGAGATGGAGAGTTAGGGAGGGGAAGGGGGGGAGGGGGGTTTGTGATGAGGGGAGCTTTGTGTTTCCGTGAGGGTTGAACGTTCTTGTGAGTAATTGTTTAGTTGGTTCCTTGGACTGTATACAAATGGCTATTGGCTGCCGCGTGAAAATGTACAATATCTTGCCATGATTTAAGGATATCAATGTCAGGAGCCGTGTTCGGCCGGGAGTGTCGTTGGTTATAATCACATTGCTCCAACCCTGAGATATAGAAACTCCTTCAAGGAAACGTACTTCTTGCCAAACAACTGGAATCATGTTGGTAATGTACAGGTTGATCCCGCCATCCATGCCCTTCCCACCCACAGTGCCCTTCCATCTACAGCATCGACCATCCCGACATTCTGAATACCCCAAATACCCCTTCTACCATTTTGCACCTCCTCTATGCCGCCGCGTTTGCTGCTCGTTGATCTTCGAGTTTTGAGTAGAAAAGATCGCGTCTGCGGACAGCTGGGACGTGGTATCCGTACCAGAATAGATAGCCGAATGATGTTCCGAGACCTGAGAATTGATTGTTAGTCTCTGCTTCTCGTTACGTTACATTCCAGGCTGGCAAGCGATTCCAAGATCAAGTGATAAGCAGCGAAAGGTCATCGCATTTGTTCCGGGACCCCTCGCTCCCAGCCAATCCTTCGTCCTCGCCATTAAGAACTGATTCTCGCACAAGCTTAAGATGGAGTATACAGTCCAGCTCTAGACAGCATTTCATGCTTCTCCCGAGTGTTTCCTCCACATGAAAGCCCCCTTGGTGTGATTTTGCGGATTGGCGCTTCGGAATACCCGCTATAACCTTGACCAGCACAATAACCTCCGCCGAGGGTCCCAATACCGCCCATAATCGTAAACTCTAGAATCACTTGTACGTACCGAAAGCGACGCTAAGGTCGAGGACGAGGCCCCTTCGGAGCATCTGTGAAAGGAGTCAGCACATGGATTCTGGAGCTTCTAAATCGTGGATTGAAGGTGCCTCAAGCTGCAGGGGCACTTTATCTATACGTACTCCGGTGATAGGTTTGATTGCCATTGTGTATATGTCTTCGGCTGTGGGTGAAATCTCTCAATTGTTGTTGGTAGTGGTCTGGTAGAGGCTCGTCGTTGAAATCGGATCATGCATGAAGTCTAGCGGGACAAACACCGATCCGCTTTTGTATCACGTGATGCTACCACGTCCGTCACGGCTTTACATTACACTTCATTGAACGCATCTCCTCAAGTTTGCGCGCCTGTCGACATCCGATCGCTCCAATAGAGACCACCCGGACTCGAGGATGCAAGTGACTCCAAGGGTGAGATAACCTCTTAGCGCAAAATGAGCGACGAGTCCTCGAAACGACTGACCGACATGTCCCCAATTTCCCCCATCTCTCGAAAGCGATCAACCCCCTCACAAAGCGACGACGAACCCGCAGAAGAGCATGTTAGCAAAAAGATAAAGCTGGAACCTACATTGCCACGTACCCCTCCGCCAGAAACAGCGCAGAAACCTCTTCCTACCAGAGCACCACATTATGATGATCATCCCAAGTTACTTTTATCCCGCTCGATCGCTATAGCTTTGAAGCATGTTGGTTTCGATGGGGCGGAGCCTTTAGCTCTAGAGGCAATGGTCGCAGAGGCCGAAGAATGTTGGTATACCCATTTCAGGTCTGAAATATTCTAAAAATTATAGATATGCTTCACTTTCTTTCAAAAGTAAGAACTACCATGCTTAATTCGCGACGATCACACCCTACACCATCCGACTTTCAGTATGGGCTCTCCAGATTTGATTGCCCCCTACTTTCACTCAAACCGCATCTTCAACCACCAGTCCCTAGGTCAGAAACGTTGATAGAGATGGAGCCAATGCCTAAGGAGGAGGATCAAACATACTCGACGATACGTCTACTTGGAAATGAGCTTAGCGGTGAAACAGACAGACGACTCATGCCACATATTCCTGCGGGGCTCCCGGCGTTCCCCAGCAAACACACATACAAATGGACAGAAAAAGAGCCATCCCGAGAAACCGATCCACGAAAGATCAGAGAAGAAGCTGCTAAGTCGGCAAAATCCGCCGAGGAAGCCCTACGAAAATTCGTCAATGTGAGCAAGGCAGGCAAAGAAAAGGATGTAAAGAAGAACGCGAGTAAGGATCCAAGGAGTAAACAGAGACATGATCTTTGGGAGTCGACCATGCAAAAATTCATGGCCGGCAAGACAAGACATGGTGAATCTGGACATGCAGACACAGCAGAGGATGATAGGAGTATGGTTGTAAACTCTGAACGGCGGTATATGAGGAAAGGAGCTACGGCTAAGAGAAGAACTCAGCCAGTGGTAGACCATGCGCAGATGTAGGAAGTTGGAATTCTGGCTGTTTATTGCACAACAAATCGTTTGCGGAGGCTACTCGACAAAACTAATGACACGGAAGGGAAATTTTGGGATTTAGCATGGCGTTGGAGGTAAAATTATTTCAGCATTTCATGGGCAGCCTGCATATTATAGGATGTTAAGGGAGCGATGACTAGCGGTGCAAAGAGCACAGCACAATCCACAGGAAAGTGTACAAACAGGCAGCACTGAGCTGCAGGCGAATAGACGAATAGTATAATATAAGTCTTACTCGATGTTGGCTATTATCTTTCGTCACTTATGTGTTTCAAGTATCTTGCCTTTACTTCACTTATTTGGGTACCTTAGATGGTTCTTTCCACACGTTCATTTTCGTTAGAAGGAGCCATTCGCTACCGTAAGTAGCTCTGCTGGACTTCTGAGGATTATTCCCCTCGTCCCATTTACCAGTTATTTAAGCTGGGATATATCCTAGCAGTCCAAACTCATGTCAAATGAGCTATCAATGTTCGTGATTGTTTTGTGATATTATTGTTTATTTGCTTGCCTCTCCTACTCAGAGCTTCTCAAACCTTGGCTTAGTCTTCTTCAGTCCGCTCAGCATAGCTCTCTCAACATCACTAGTCTGAATAGCGGCGCTGTTCCAAACTCCTGTATACCTCAGAGAGTCGGCCAGCTTATTATCCCTGGCGTGGTTCAATAACTCTTTCGTTCCCTGTACCGCGATTGGGCTCTTTTCCGCTAATAAGTTTGCCAACTCCAGAGCCTTGTTCAAGGCCGCCGCCTTGTTGTCTAACACATAACTCACAAAACCGACCCGTAACGCCTCTTCTCCCCCGAATATTCGTGCTGATAAAGAGACATCTTTGACCCATGAAAATGCGCCGACGACTTTTGGAAGTCGGGAAAGAGTTCCAATATCAGCGGCAAGCCCAATATCCACTTCTTTCACAGCGAATTTGACGTCCTTACTACATATCCGAATATCGGCGCAGGTAGAGATGTCGAGACCGAGACCGAAAGTTATGCCATGCATCACGCATATCACAGCTATTTCAAACATTTAGCACATTCTTGACTGGTGGGACAGGAGACTGCATACGTTTCTCGCATTTCTCAACACTACTAATACAATCCTGGAACTCTTGCACGTGTCTCTTTATTCCTACTGCCTTCCTAGCTACATCATTGCTTTTCCCTGCTTCCTGTTGTAAGACGCCCTGCTGACTGGCAGCTTGTACATCCAAACCAGAGGTAAATGCGCGATCTCCTGCGCCGGAGAGAATGATAGCCCGAACGTCGGACGAAAGCGAAAGGGTATCAAATACTTCTTTGAGCTCCAGCCACATCTCTTCGTAAAAGGCATTTAGTTTCTGGGGTCTGTTGATTTGGACGTGTGCAACGAAGGGCGCGGGTGTATCCACGAGGAAATGTTTGTACGCCGCCATGCTGGATATCGGCGAGGTGGGATGGGAAGGTGCAGATTAAAGTGAAGATGCGATTGGAATACCTCAGATGTCGAGTAATTTGAGGTTGCAAAAGTCGTGAGGAGGTCTGCGAGACAATAATTCCACTGTGATGTGAGATCTGGGGTACAGCCCGTTCATGATTCTAGACCTCGGGAGCCGAGGCACAATCAGAGGCTTGTGATTCGCCAACTCGTGAAGAGCTCACGAGCTTCACAGAGCACTCACTCTTGACTCAGTCGTACATCGGAGAAGACGGTTGGGCTTGAGCTGTCAAGCCATGACTCCAGTGAGAGTGTTTTTAATTTCTTGTCCTCGAAAGACTTTTGATAATGTTTTTGGGTATTTCTAAGCCCCAATTGTGACGCTGATACAAGAACAGTAGTAGCTAAGAAGCTCCAGATATCGTACTGATTTATCATGTTCTCGTAAACTAGCCTATTAGCTTAAGTTAGGGGTAACACTGCATTTGAGGATTTCCGTATCGTTCGTGTTACCTTCATTACGGAGGGATAAATAGAAGGCCCCAAAAGCACTGGATATACGGATACCTGCCGGAACGGACCATCGAGGAATGTGCCTGCTTCCGAGATTGCGGATAGATAGATAGGCTCACGAGATCTCGAGAGCGACTCGCACAAACCCGGCAGAGGATTTTCCTGTAGTTTTCAAGAGATTTTTGCTTGAAGTGGTCCTTGGTGAGTTTGATACAGAACCGTAGCTCTTGGCTCCCCTGGTGCTACCGTGCTACTCAGGCACCTTAGATGAACTAAAGGAGAACGCAGCTCAGAGTTCTCCTTCTCACTTCCTCTTCCCAGCTACAGAGTTTTCCTGCCATAGAACTTTTCGAACTTTATGGTCGCCTACGATGCCCTGTTGCGTGAGGAAAGGATGATACGCTTATCACAGGAAAATCTAGGCGAGATAACAAGCTGCCAAATTGCCAGCGCACTTAAAAGTTACACTTCATGCTCTCCATGAACAACAGAAGGAGGTTGTGGCCAAGGGAAGAACTTCGTGATCCTTAAACTCTCGTAACCAAGAAGTAGCAAACAACTGAATAAGTAGAATCGGCGTTGAAATTGAACAACACAGAGGTCACAAGTCCACTCATCTCGGGGACCTTTAAGGTTCTTAATAGCTCAGAACCCCGGAATTAGGATGATCATCAGTCGTGTATTGCGAATCGATCTCGACGATCTACATTAAGCGTCCGGGTGTAAGGCAGGCGGCTGGTATTCAACCGTATAGTGGGATGTCGTTGAGATGCGAGGCTGCAGCACACTTGAAGCTGTGTCTAAACCATCCACAATATACTTGCCCGACCATTCTTCTGCTGGGCATTCAATTTGTAAGCAAGAGGCTTGTAGAGGAGTCCCTCCACTATAAAGGTTGTATGACGAAGACGCCCGAAAGGGTAACTCACGAGGCTTGGCAGCCGTAGGATTCAACCTCCTAACTCTAAATGAGCTGGTTTCCGGGGAAATATGGGGCGAGTATCTTCTTGCTTGTTGCGATCCTGGCTCAAACGAGTCCGTAAGTAGGCGGAAATGGTGAAGGGAAGGAGGCATACGATGTTTAATCCGTTTCCATAGTCGATACCTGTCATGGCTAGAGCATTGTTGACGAATACAAGTCAGATTATGTCTTTCCTTCCGATCGTAATAAGTGAGGGAAACCCGCGTCCAGAAGTCGCACAATAGAGTGTTCTAAAGAAGGATATGAGATTCCAGGTTGTGAGCAACCGCTTTGTAGCTTGCGGAAAGGAAATGGAAATGTTGGCATTGCATCTCGCATGCAGAAAAGCGCGCTAAGGCAGTCATTGTATATCAGAATTGTAACATTGTCAAGGTTTTGCGGAGACCGCAGTCCGCAATGTCGAAATCATTACTCTTAGGAGAATAATAGCCAATGACTCTTCACCGCTATCATGCTCCTTCGAACGCTCCTGGAAGTTGAATTCTTTAGGTTTGTTAGTAAGAGTTTCATGTCGGCCAAGTCGGCCCACTCGTACCTTTCGTCGTTTGTCCCCCATGCTTGCTCACTTCATTGTTGACTCCTCCGTCCTCCCCTCAACTCCGTACTCGACACGGTCCACCCTCTCACCTCCCTCACCAGTCTCCGCCTGTAGAACAGAGTAACACTTGCCGGTAGCACCTTGTTCTGGCAAATTGTCGAACCGCCGAGTGCGTGCATGGCACTTCCGGCTGCCCACAGAATCTTACAACCATGCCGTGTCACTGTACCTCTTCCTCTGTACCGCGGTTATATCCTTCTTGTCATGACCTCTGGGATTCGAAGATTGAGCCAAAGTCGATGAGTGTATGTCCTCATGTATGTCTTGAACTGCATGCTGCCCATTTGAAGCTTGAATACTGATTTCACCCTCCAGATTGCCGGCTATGTTTGAGATCAACGAAGATGCCCTTCCCATAGTGCGGACCCGTCAAGCCCTTCTGCTTCTCGATTTACAAAACGATTTTCTTACGACGGGCGGTTTATTAGCGGTCGAGGAACCCGCAGGCTTTCTGGATAACATCCTGAACCTCCTGCCGCAGTTCCGACAGTCAGGAAATAATGTGATATGGATAAGGAGTCAGTTTGAGGTTTCTCGACCGGTCAATGGACCAGGTCAGGATTCCGAGACTGTTATATTGGACGGCCAAAAGCTACCAACCCACCGGCGAGCTGGACAGAAGATACGGAACCCGCCTCAGCGTTTGCTTGATCACCATGCGCGAATCGTACAGAGCAATCGCCGGGAGAGTGGAGCTGAGGAAGGAATGTTGGAGGCGGATGAAAGGCCGGATACGGAAGACGAATTTGTCGTAGAAGAAACATACCTTACAATACCCGAAGGACAACAGCCTCGTGTTGTAGTTGCAGCTTCTCCTGGAACAAACTTTGCTCCGCGGGCGCTTGTAGGGTTTAGCACGGCAGAAGATTTGATTTTCCAAAAAAGCTATTACTCGGCATTCAGAGATGGCGCGTTGATGGAATTTATGAGGGCACAGTTTATCACCGAGATATTCCTATGCGGATCTCTGACGAATATCAGCGTCTTCGCCACTGCTATGGATGCTGCTCGTCATGGTTTTGCTATCACGATCCTTGAAGATTGCTTGGGGTATAGGAGTAAAGCTCGGCACGACGAGGCGCTTCATCGATTGACCATATCCACTGGCTGCGACATAATAAGTAGTAGAGAACTTATCGGTGATTTAAAACACAAGGCACAGGAGCAGTCGGACAGAGCTCGGAAAAGTGCCCCACCAAGAAAGAGAGGGGGCGACCTGGAGTCATTGATGTCAAGAATGAAATTGAGACATACAGATCATTCGAGCTCCAGTTCAAGTTCAAGACATAGTCCAACTGCAGACACGAGTGTAGATCTCAATGGTGGAGAGGGCCGCGCAATGTCTGGGCAGATGAATTTGGAGAGTGGTGGCAGTTCTGAATCTCTTCGCGAAATACCGGAGACAGTAAAGCTGGAGGCTCCTGTTGTAGCGGATACGAGAAAGCGAGAAAGAGTGCCAGCCAAAATCAAAAGTCGGAGGCGTCATTCCAAACCTAGATCTAGTGAAAAGGGCACAAATACTGACCACGGTACGACTCACAAGCGAGGAGTATCGCCAACGTCAGCGACCTTGACCGGAGTTGCTCAAGCGCTTGAGAATATTCCACCAAGTTTAGAAGGTGCGAGCGAACCAGGGCAAGTCTTTAGAGCCTCCAACAATCACGAAATCCCTATCACATCAGAACGTAACCCGTTGGCTAGAAAAGTCAATCTTGAACCATCAGCGAAGCCAACCGAAGGTATCAGAGATAATACCACAGCCACTGTAGCGGAAGGTGGCGACCCAATAGCTCAAAATGTTGAACCTAAACCCAATTCGCCAACCCAAGAGAGTGCTCCAGCAGCCGAGACTCGGCAAGAGACGCTATGTGAAGGAGACACTTCAGTTTTCACAAATTTACTCGACAGTAAGGTTGAAGCAGGCATTTTTGAAAAGCTTCGAGACGAAGTTGAATGGAAGACGATGTACCATCAAACCGGTGAAGTGCCCCGACTTGTCGCAGTCCAAGGCGAAATTAGAGATGATGGAAGTATCCCTCTATATCGCCATCCATCAGACGAATCTCCTCCTTTGCTACCGTTCTCGCCCACGGTTTCCTTGATCAGAGCAAAGGTGGAGGAAAAGCTCGGACACATGACCAACCATGTTTTGATACAATTTTATCGAAATAGCCTTGATCATATTTCTGAACACAGCGATAAGACTTTGGATATTGTTCCTGGTACATATATCGCAAATGTCAGCTTGGGGGCGCACAGGACAATGTTATTTCGCACAAAGAAGCCCCAGAGTACTGCCGATCCAGGTCCCCGAAGATCCCAGAAAGCACCTCTACCCCACAATTCGATGTGTAAAGTTGGCTTAACCACTAACATGCGGTGGATGCACGAAATTCGACCCGATAAACGACAGACCCGTGAGAAGTCTGCCGAAGAGTTGGCGTTTGACTGTGGACGAATATCTTTGACCTTTAGATCGATTGGCACTTTCTTAACTAAAAACGAAGAGAAGATATGGGGACAGGGTGCCGTTGCCAAAGAAAAAGAAGAAGCTAGGTATGTTCTTAATGGGAAGACTCCAGAGTCAGAGTCTATGCTTAAGGCGTTTGGGATTGAGAATCGCTCTTCTGAGTTCAAATGGCGCGAAGTTTATGGAGGCGGGTTTGATGTGCTACACATGTCGAATGAGCGAAGGCTCTTCCTCTCTGGAGATAGCATCTCGGACATGAGAGTTAAGCTCCTTTTGTCGGAGTTAAACCTAAAATGGGTTCTTGGAAAGTCGTCCACAGCAGCCCACCGGAAAGATGGAGAAGCTTTCGACGATGCGTCAGAAGGAACTGCGAATGGAAGTGTTAAACTTATTGATAACGATGTGGAAAAATCTACTGTTACTGGCGATCACCCAATCATGCTCTATCTAGAATATGGGTATGCGCACGCTAAAGGCGCCCCTCCAAAAGCAGATTTGGCTCGACAATGTATTCGGCTCGAGCTATCCCGCGTTCTACTGAGCAGATGGCGTACGATCTCTTACACTATAGATGCATTCGTTCGCGAGTTAGCATTGTGGGAGAAGTTCGCTTCTGAGCACGCGTTCATTGCCTCGCCAACAATCTCCGTAGTTGACTTCGCAGTTTGGCCAATCCTGGATGAGATTTCTCGTGGATATAACGGATTCAAGAATTACCCAAATTTGTCTGTATATTATGAAAGTATGAAGAATCGCCCGAGCGTTAGTGCTGTTATTGATGCTTCTGGGGGTTCAAGTAGCACTAAAAGCTCAAAGGAGACGTGAAACATGGGGCATAACATGTGTTGGCTGGTTGAGAAATGAGCCAATGGAGTGTGGCTTTCTACTGGATGACTTTATGGGAAATGTGATTAACGACAGCATCGTGTTACTTGGATGGCCTGAATGGAAGCATTCATGACGGATACGTATGGCAATTCAGTTCAAGCTATAATGCTTGATGCCAGTTGACCTGTAAATACAAAAATAATCACCAAAATTCTCACAATGCACATCATATTACTATCGATTGGTTAACTATACATCTTTCGTTGACATTGGATTGGGAGAAGCATTAGAAGGCAGTGCTGACACTTTGAGACTGCATATTGCAGAACATGTGAGAGGAATGATTACTGTCGTTGGAGGCTTCGATGAATCGAGCAAAGAATGTTGGTCAATAAGCAAAGCACTTTTCATTTAACCTCTTCTGTACTCCCAGCACAGCGCACCAAAATGTGAGCAGTTAGCTCATAGTATATCACAAATGAGTAATCCCTCGCAAAAAGAGCACAATGCACATAGAGACCGATTTTGCTACAAAGTTCATTCATATAACTAAGTACTAGATGGCAGATGCTTCCTCTGGCGGATTGCTCTACCGTATAAATATTCAGTCCATTATACATTACCTAGTTATACTGATAGTTCATCTTCTCGCTTAGCATTGTCCGTTGGCATTGCAGAAGTGCCTAGAATGAAGATCAGCTTTTGTAACAGCAATCATGTCGAAGTTTCCCAACTCACCACTTGATATTAGCAGTTCCGAACGCAGCATTGTTTGTCAATTGGTTCCAAGAACCAACACTAAAATCGATGTGATTCTCATCACAGCCAGGGCAAGTATCCGCTACAGTTGCAATGATCGTGTTGCCCTTCCCACCGACGCCATCGTTGGACCCGGTGTTGGTGACTTGCACTTTGCGTCCGCAGTAGGGACCTGGTGACTGGTTCTTTTGCCAGTAGTTGGAGAGTGCAACGATGTGTGCGGAGTCAGAGTTTTTCTTTCCGCAAGAGCCTGTTCCGCCGTTTTGGGTGTAGACGGTGGCCAAGCCGAAGTGGCTAGATCACGTTAGCTATTTGAAGGAGAAGATGATAGGGAGATTTACTCGACACGCTTTGAAAGTCCTGTTTCGGTGACAGGATTAGGTGCGGCAATGACTGAGGTAGCCAGAGCCATGAGTAGAGTGGAAAGTTGGAACTGCATCTTGATTTCGCAACGTGCCGCTGAAAGATTTCTAATATCGTCTTTGTTGGTGAAAGATTTTCGAATAGAGATGCTTGAGACGATGTTAATTTGGGAGAGCTGCGCTCCTCTTTATACACAAAAGATATCTCCGTCTTTCAGAGGCATTCCCCGCGGCTTACCAAAAAAGGACAGCCGTAGTCATAACTCACTCGGTAGTAACGACTTAAATCTCACAACTGATCTGCAGCTCTACCATGCTACTGAAAAGAATGTCGTAAATCTGTTGCCGGCGCTGTGGTGGCATCAAATGCGAGCTGTGGTGAGCTTATCATTAATCTACTTACTTCGCTGTATGGTCAATCTAGGAAGGAGGTTGATTAGAAAGTAACATATGCTGCGGTAAGAGGCTAGAAGCGGTGACGAATCGAGAAATAAAATTGTGTTGTCTCGCCACGTTGTGTCCGTGTGACTGTTGAGCGACTCTCTCAGTAAGAGCATCTCGTCTCATGTCAGCGACAATATCTCTTACCAGAATTACTGCGAATAACGAGAAGACTGAAAGCTCAACTTGAGGCCACTGATTCGTTGGACTGGATTCGAATCGTTTCTAGACCTCCCCAAGGCAGAATACACACTATCCCAGTATTCGCCAACCGCAAATTGTGGCCTTCATCTTCTGCATCTTAAAGTGATTGATTGCGACTCGACACGAGGCTGCAATGTGCCCTGACATGTATTGAAAAACGCATGTCACTCACGTCCCTGTTGTGTAACAATCAGCAAGGTACGGCGGGAGTTCCGACTCGGCGACGCAAGCCTGTGACGCCTGCAAAGCTTATTATTAATGACTGTGTTAAAAAAGTGGAACAAAACATATGATCAGAAGTTTCTGATCATTAATATAAAGAAACAAGATGATCACAATTTCCAAGGGTCACACTGTGACAGACGGAACGGCGAGAACTTCCGGCAGAGAAGCATTTACAGCCCCGATATCAACAAAACACTAAGCCCTCTGTAGATGATGTAAAATTGCAGGAAAATATAGTATCAGAACTTTGAAAGAGCTTTGATGGACGTTATTGACTCCAGAAGTCATTGCCCCAAGAAAGACACAATGAGAATAGGTAATACCCTTGATTGTTACATGTTACAGTAGATACATAAGCTTTTGCAGCAGGAGAGTTTTCGTGTAGCCTGATTCAGCCGATGTTGTCAGATTCAAAAAAGCATACAACCTCATTTATACAAATCAGGAGCTGACTGTACTCGAGTATCAACGGGCTTTCATCTGACATATTCTAAGAGTTCAGAAACATCAGAATCCACTTAATCCCGGAAAAGTGTGACAAAAAAGGTTGAGGATACACTTGCCTAAAGAACTTACGTGCCAGATAACCAAGATGGCTCGAAAATCTTGCTCCGTGCTCTCAGTCAGCTGCTCGTCTTGAAGAGGCGGTGAAACAGAAATATATTCTATGTGACTCCTAGCACTATGAGCAATGAATCCGTCGATGAATGTTTGGATGTGGGAGGTTTCGATGACTTGGACAAACCCGGCTTTTCCGCGCGATTTTTGTAGCCATCTCTGGAAATTGCGAATAAATATCTCCAGCATGAAGAATTGATGTAACAAGTATTCTGTAGCTCATACTAGCCCGCTCAGTAGATGCCTATTGACTAGGTATTTAGAGTATCTCTCCACGGTGATTCATCGTAAGGAAAGCTGCTGGAGTAAGTTGACTGTAAGGACATAAATGAAAACAAACTTCCCAACACGCTTGAAACTTCGGGCTTGAACAGTCTCAACAGAGCAGAGTACCTCGTCACTGTGATCCGCCAATGGATTTTGCAAGTGCAACAATGCTATAGTTGGAACAAAGCAGGGAGTAATTGGGTCAATCAAACCTCTCGTGCAACGGAACAGATTCCGATATATGGTGTTGGTCATCGTAACTTGGTTGGGGGAGTTCAAGATCTTTTGTTGTGGAGGTAAACTATTATCTTATAGTTCCCTGATTAATCGAAGCCGGGTAGCTGGTCCATTTTGAAATGCTTCGGCTTACCCTGGTAAGTTAGAGTCCTGCTACAAAAGCGTGACCTTCACAAGCTCAAGGACTTCAGGAAGTGGTAACACAAGAAGTATCGTAGTTTGGGCGACGTATGATTGAGATTCTGAGAACATGATCTGACCAAGATCCGTGTTGTTGTTCTCAAACCGAACGCACATCGAATTCGATCCCCATGAAAGCCTTGGAACGTGATGGCTTCATGCTTCGGCTCGGATGAAATTGTATCCCCCTCAGAGCTTGCCGAGAACATATCTGACAAAGAGATATTTTTGTTCTTTCTAACCCCTCGGAGTGTGTTCAACTATATTCTCCAAGTCAAATGCAAATATCTGAGCACTATACAACCTTCGAAAAATATCTCCGACTTGTACTTCGTAGCATCATGACCTCGGCAGCTGTGAAGTGAAGTGCGGTTGTGGGATTATCACGTACTAGGTTCACCCGTTCGCGATACCGGCTGATGATCTGATAAGATTACGTGTGGGTGCCGTGCTCGTGCGGTCGAACCCACTCGCTACCCTGGCGTCAAAAATTTTATCTGATGATCTGATTAAAAGTTCTTCCTGGTTCGACTGCTTGGCCGAGTTGCATGCATCCTGCAGTCTACCCTGCTGGTGTCGACATCCAGAGCCAAGCCGGCTGGTCACGGTAATTAAGCACATATTGTCTCGTAATTTCAGCAAAATTTGACGATCGTCAGCTTTCTTTTCACCTCAAATATCCACCATGACTTTGGTACAAATGGAGAGTGGGTGCTTAACTAGTGCAAGGTATGTATCAAAGATGCGCTCCCTTCCAGTGGAGCTTGCTCTGCCAGCTGGTCGGGGCCCAGGGGTCTATGGATGAGAGTGATCATCAGCTCAACTTTCTCCGCAAACGCAAACGCGACTGCCTGCGATTTCTCCGAATCTCTCCTCTGTGCTCTGCTCTGTGATTCTGCTGTAGCTGAGGGTCAATAACGAGGGTTGCCAACGTCAATGAAGGAGACCCTGATACTGTCATTACCTTTGATACTAGCATCATAGCACCATGTCCCAGCAATCATCAACTCAACAGGTTCAAGCTTCAACTCGCGGTCCAGCCAAACAGTCACTTCTATACTTTCGACTCCTGCTAGCCAGCGGCCCAGAGCTTCTCGATTATGTGTTACTACTTGGAGGTGTAGTTTGTGGTATTGGGGCTGGGGTGCCATTCCCTTTGTTGGGAATTCTGTTTGGTCAGTTGGTAGATGGTCTCAATGAAGCCTCCTGCTCTGCGACAGCATCTGCAGATACATCAAATTCCGTGTCCCAAAGCGTTGTCGACAAAGTTCTTTTAGTTGTGTATGTCACCATCGCTAATTTCGCCTTCATATACATACACACAGGATGTTGGAGTATACTGGGAGAACGACTTGTCAGACGACTACGGAAACAGTACTTGGACGTGCTCTTACGACAAGAAGTGGCCTTTTTCGACACTCTTCCGGCGGGGGAAGTGGCTTCCCGCCTTGATGTCGATCTCCAAACAATTCAAACTGGGACGTCTGAGAAGGTGGGTATTTGCATCTCAAGCGTATCTTATTTGGTGGCAGCTTATGTCGTGTCTTTCATCAAAAGTGCAAAGCTTGCTGGAATACTCATGTGTCTTCTGCCATCCTACCTCCTTATGGCATTGATTGGAGGCCATTTTACTCAGAAATATGCGAGCAGAGTGTCCGATCATGTTGCTGCGGCTACTGCTGTCGCTTCTGCTGGCCTTGCAAATATTCCATTACTGCAGGCTTTCGGAGCAGGCTATCGGTTGGAAGCAGTCTTCGCTAAACATCTCGCATCCTCTCAGAGTAGTGGGATCAAGAAGGCATTTGCTGCGTCGATACAGCTCGGTGCCATGTACTTTATTGCATATTCAGGAAATGCGTTGGCTTATTGGCAAGGAAGTCGCCAAATTGCTGATGCAGTCAGCCGTGGTGGATCAGGTACAACAGTTGGCGCGGTTTACACCGTGATATTTTTACTGATAGATTGTAAGTTATGGTTCTTCTGTAGGTTCTGGAGAGAGACAAGTGTTGACATATGTGGCAGCATCATTTGTTATTAGTCAAGTTGCCCCTTTTCTGTCCATTTTTGGGTCGGCCGCGAGTGCTTACGAAAAGTTGGTTGCAACTATAAATCGAAACTCCAACATTGATGGGACCTCTGAATCGCACGGGGGAGCACCCACAGACGTGGCTGGAGACATTGAGTTTCGTAACGTCTCATTCTCTTACCCATCTCGTCCTGACGTCCCAGTCCTGCAATCATTTTCACTCACTATTCCTGCTGGTAAACAAACCGCTCTGGTAGGACTTTCGGGAAGCGGCAAGTCAACTGTTGCTGCCCTTGTTCAGCGCCTTTACGACCCGGATTCTGGTGATGTATACCTTGATAGCCATAATTTACGAGACTTGAATGTTCGACATCTCAGGGGTCTTGTGGGCACAGTTTCTCAAGATTCCACCCTCTTTGATCGATCCATTCTTGAGAATATCGCATATGGACTGGTAAATTCACCTTCAGAAAAACACGGGAGTCTCCAAGATGCGTTGCTTGACTCTAGCCTGCCAGATCTGACAGCGGCTATCCGAAGCGGAGCAAACATTGACACCGCTGTGGCCGCCAGTCCTCCACCAGTTCAACAAATTGTCCGGTTGGTTCGTGATGCTGCAAAAGACGCGGATGCCATTTCTTTCATAGATCGCCTCGAACATGATTTTGCAACAATGGCAGGCCCTGGTGGGAAACGGATCAGTGGAGGTCAGAAACAGAGAGTGGCGCTCGCGCGGGCGTTGGTCAGGAGTCCTAGCATTCTTTTACTTGACGAGGCAACGGCCTCGCTCGACTCCGCTAGTGAACGTCTTATACAGCAAGCGTTAGACAGAGTCGCAATCGGACGTACTACCATAACAATCGCCCATCGACTCTCGACCGTGAAAACCGCCCAAAATATTGTTGTGATGGGACCGGGTGAGATCTTAGAGCAAGGAACCTACGGCGAGCTCATTGCAAAAGATGGAGCCTTTGCTAGCATGATCCGTCTTCAAAGTTTACAAGCGACTTCTGGGTCTGCCACGGATAGCGATTTGCAGATTCTTCCCGCCGAAGCAGTAGAATCCTCAAGACCAGTTCTCACTTCGGAAGATCAAGTCTCTTCTGAGAAACTGTCTGCCGATACTGCCCGCGGAATAGATATCGATACGGTACCGGCACCAGAAGATCAGGATACAGCTTCGAAGTCACTCAAACCACGGCGATCATTTATTTCAACCTTTTTTGGCATTGTTTCGCTGGCACGGCGTCACGTGTTTTTTCTACTTCTGGGAATATCTGCCGCAGTTATAGTTGGAGGTTCTTATTCCGGAGAAGCTGTCATATTTGGCCACACCATCAGTAGTTTGAATCCGTGTCGCGGGGCTGATAACATCCGGAGTAGCGGTCGGCTTTTTGGTCTACTGTTCTTCATCTTGGCCATTATCGAGTTTGTCGCGAACATTCTTAGCGCTTCCTCCTTTGGTCGGGTAGCTGAGAAACTTCTGTACTCTGTTCGTGTGCTTTCTCTCAAATCACTGTTCACGCAAGACATGTTTTGGCACGAATCGGAGGGTCGATCACCAGGAACCTTGATCTCTTATATTAGTAGCGACGCAAATTCCCTCAGCGGAATTACTGGTGCAATACTGGGGGTCATGCTTTCAATTGTTGTGAGTATGACTGCCGGCATTATTCTAGCACACATCGTTGCTTGGAAAATAGCTATCGTGCTTCTAGCCACTGTGCCCATCCTTCTGGGATCCGGAGTACTGCGTCTACGACTTCTTACGAAATTTCACGAGCGACATCAGAAGGCATTTAGCCAGTCTGTGAGTCTGGCAACCGAGGCCGTGGAGTCAATCAAAACGGTTGCCGTATTCTCGTTGGAGGTCGAAATTGCGAATACATTTGATCGGTCATTGAAAGCTCCCTATAAAGAGACGCTGAAGACTGTGGCATATGGAAATTTCTGGCTAGCGACATGCTACAGTATTGGAAATCTGATATACGCACTAGCTTTCTGGTGGGGCACTAAGCAGGTTGTTGAAGGAGCAGCGAGCTCTATTCAGTTTTTCACTGTTTTGCCTGCACTCCTGTTTAGCGCCCAGCTTTGTGGTCAACTCTTTTCGCTCGCGCCGGATATCTCCAAAGCAGGAGTTGCGGCTGCTCGTGTCCTTGACCTGATTGATCTTGGTCCAGAAAAGAAATTACATCTTGCGTCAGCGCGCGATGATCTTGAATCATCTAAAAGCTCAATTGAGAAAATGCCTCACAGAGGAGATGGGATGAGAGTCGGTTTTGTGAACGTGAATTTCTCGTATCCCGCTCGGCCTCACATAGAAGTTCTACGGGGATTGACCCTTTCTGTATTACCTGGAAAGTTCAATGCTTTAGTCGGTCCTAGCGGTGCTGGGAAGTCTACGATCATTGCTTTGGTGGAGAGATTTTACTCGCCTGGCTCGGGCTTCGTCGAGATAGATGGTGTTGACACGTCTCGAATCGACTCTGTCGCTTTCCGGGATGAAATAGCTCTGGTGCCCCAAAAGAGCGTACTTTTTGATGGAACAGTCCGCTTCAACTTGACTCTCGGTGCGCGGCCTGGATATGAACCTACACTCGTGGAAGTGCAAGAGGCTTGCAAAGTGGCCAATATTCACGAAACCATAGTATCATTGCCTGAAGGCTACGATACTCCTTGCGGCTCCAATGGTGATCAGTTTTCAGGTGGCCAGATGCAGCGGCTATCAATTGCACGAGCACTGCTTCGGAAGCCTCGACTCCTATTGCTTGATGAAACTACCAGTGCTCTCGACGCGGAATCAGAAAGACTTTTCGAAGAGGCACTTGAAAAGGTGGCTACAGGAGTTACTGTTATCGCAATCGCACATCGTTTGCACACCATCCGCAAAGCAGATCGTATTTTCGTACTTGAGGATGGGAGATGTGTCAACCAAGGCACGCATGAAGAGCTTTTGAGGAGTAACGCATCTTATCGAGACAACGCGACTCATCAGACGTTGGATCACTAAAATTCCATAATAGCATTTGCATGCAAGGAGTTTTTGGAGCATTACTGTAACCGATTCTTATGAACGACAAATATCTATTATCTAGGCAATTTGTGAGAATACTATTATTATGCAGAATCGACTTTCAAGCCATATTGTAACCCATTGAGGGGAACCATTTTGCTACAAGCGCCGGTCTCGGAAGTTAAAATCGACAATGTTCAGTTTACGCCAGACAGACCGTAAATTCATGAGCAACACCCCAGCAGGTTAGCTCCGCGTAAATTACCTTACTGTGCAGATCAGACACGGCAGGATGATCTGATAAAGAGAGAATTTTTCACGCCAAGTCCTCGGTACGGGATAGAATGGCCTCTTTGCCAATCAAGAAAGAACATCGCACAGTGCCAGCTCCGTTCAACACCTCGGCTGAGGACATGGGGAAGATCTGATAAGATTACACCCGATCTGATAAGATCAAACTTTTCACATGCCTTTCAGCCCCACTTTGACCTCGATCCCACAACTGGAAAATGTGTCAGAGTGCCGCTTCACCCCCAGAGCCCAAGTGGATTATTGGCTATTTGCTCAACGTGGAGAGCCTCTCATTTGGCAATGCGTCGCACTCTTTCCTCGCCTGGGAAATTTTACGGTAGACTCTGTCTGTGGGATGGATGGTGGTACCAGTCGTGCCAGTAGAGTACTAATGAGGCAGTTTGAAGTATTATTAGCCGAGAATTAGGCCACCGACGATTTATGTGACACCGGAGATGGGTTTCCCTGAATCTTGACTCAATTGATGAGACCCTGATGTACGAGACCGCTACTTTGGTACATTGGTCCAATTCTCCGAGCGAAATTCTGCCGTGTTCTCCATCGGCGGACCCTGCCATATTTCGGAACGTTCGTAAGAAGAAATCAGTCAAATGTATACCTTTGGACTTGCTGAGCAATCTTTTGACGCAATTTCGTAAGTAGCATTCAATTTCAACAACTGCCGAGTTGCACATCGGCTGGAGCCTTCTACGTCTTATTTCAAATATTGATCTCCTTGGAACGATGGAGCATACTTCTATGGTAGATGCAGCGGCATCGCCAATCTCAAGATTACAAGAACCCTCTTCGCAACCCTACGACCTCATCTGTGTAGGCTTTGGAATCAACAGTCTCGCACTCGCCGCAGCAATCCAGGAGAATCACTCATCCTCAAATGTTCTATTTCTCGAGCAAAAGTACGAGTTTTCTGCCAAAGATGTGATGAATTCCTCGTCCAAACACATGGAAACCTCATTCATGCATGATCTGGCTACAATGAGGAACCCAACATCCGATTTTACATACTTGAACTATCTTCAAACACATGGAAATTTTGACAAATTCCTTGAACTTTCGGATGAAGGATCACCAGCACCATTACGAAGCGATTTCTGCGAATACCTTTCTTGGGCGGCTGGGCGATGTGATGATACTGTGGAATTCGGACAGCAAGTGGTTGAGGTGTCTCCTATCTCATCGAATCGCTGGGCGGTAGCATCAAGAGATACGAAATCAGGTCAGATTCGCGTACTAGCTGCGAAGAAGGTTGTTTTTGGAGATGGGAAGAAAGCAAGGATTGCACAGATATCGTGAGTCTTAAGTTTTTAAGATCTGGGCTTAAAATGGGTTAACACGCATGTAGTGACGCGGATGAAAACTCGGGGCAGAACGAAGGAGTTCAGATGCTCCAAGTCAGCGATGCAGTGAGGGAAATTTATACTGAAGACAAGGTAGAGGTAGGTCGAGTTTGCTTCCAAGAAGTTTTCTTACAGTTGACTGACGATAATTCTTGTGCAGTCACCCGATATGCGATTCACGACTCTCTGTACGAACACCGTCGAGATACATAATAAGGTCTTCTTGGAAGCCGAGCCTCTTTTCATCCGGGCTTTGCTGTAATTGTCGGCTCTATGCTCGAGACTGGAACGCATATCATAGTTGAAATTATATCACATAGCGCGGAGTAGGATGGGTAAAAACGGCGTACACTATCAAATACATTGAATCTACACAATCTGCGCCGGCTCATTTTCGATCACGGAATCAATTGACAAAAATGTCTCCATACCACATCATGTCAGTCAACGCGTAAACCGACAACGAGCAAAACAAAAAATCAACAGCGTCACCCACCTGTCGATCATCTGTAGCTCGTCCACCCCCCACGATCATCAAAAACTTACACTAATCATGCTAGCTCGATCAGATAATTTTCGGGAAAATCCACCCGCCAACTCAAGGGACGTCAGTGGATGCCGGTGCGGAACTAC